ACGATTGTCGCTTCGAATTTTGCTTTAAAAACTGATGTGGATGGCGAGTTTGTCGTTTTTTTTTACGACTATATGATTCATAAAAGTTCGGCAGTTCTATTAAATAAAAAAAAGTGGCGGAAAATTCGACATAACGTTAATATTTTAATGTGAAAGTGGAAATGGTGTACTACTGGTGCCTGGTGCGGCACTGGTGCACCCACCCTAACTTTATTTGACTTAAGTCATTATGAGACATGTCACATGGACCGCATATATTGAAATAAATAATATTTTAGGTAATTTTACCGAAAAAATCATAAAATTCGGTTGATAATTACGTGTTTTGTGAGGTTTTTAAGTTTAAAGTGACAGTTTTGACAGTTATAACAGCGCCACCTATGCAACTGTCAATCTAAACCTTAAAAATCAAATATCTCAGCTATTTATTGATGAAATTTAAAATTACAAAAACATTTCCACGTTATTTTCACACAGAATTCAACATGAAACTAGTTAAACTTAAAAATCGCTTAATATTTGCGTGTTTTATGTTGATTTAAAGATATTAGTACCAAATTTTGTTTCCCACATATTTTGTCAATACACCAAGGCCTAACCGCTTTAAAACTGCGTCATGAATGATTTCTCGATTCTCAGATTTTAAAGTTTAATATTGACTCGCGCACAAAAATTCATTCTTGTCCCATCCGTTTATTTTCGCATTTTGTAAGCGGTGCGCTCCGTTTGGTCGTCGATTGTTTAATAAACTCAAACATGCAAATATTTGCATAAATATTAAATTTTCCCGTCGCTCGCTCGTTCTCGGTGCTTGCTTGTGCTGTACTATTAAAACTTTTGCAAGCGAGCGAATGCAAACGCAAGCAAAGTTCGTGGTGCAATTTCGCACGAAAAATAAAAGAGAAAAAGGCGAAGACGAAGGACATAAAATTACAATGTAATATCAATACGACACGAGCGTTGTGGAGCCAGCCGGGAGGAGGAAAAAAACGTAATCGCAAGAAGAGAGGAGACAAAAACACACGCGTCCAGATGTCTCCTGTCTCGTTAATATTATTTTTCGGCTGAATTCTGGCGCTTTTACGATGTTGTCGTATTTGCATATTCAATAAAATATCATGGGACAAGTCGCATCGACCGCGAAGTGTTAAGAAATGTACGTGTAACCTAAAATATATTGTAATTTCGGTTTTAAAATAATTTTTGAGGCGTATTGCAGAAAAAATCGTAAAAATCGGTTCATATTTGCGTGGTTTATGAAGTATTAAAGTTTAAAGTGACAGGTTTGACAGATATAACAGCGCCACCTATGCATGTGTCAAGATAAATCTTAAAAATCAAATATTTTCGTGTATTTATTGATGGAATTTAAAAATTTAAAAACATTTCCACGTTATTTTCACCTAAAATTCAGCTTAAAACTTTGTTAAAGTTGTTTTAAGTAACTTTACTTGACTTAAGTCATTATGAGATATGTCACATGGTCGGCAAAGTGTTTAAAATGAAAAATATATTGAAATAAATCATTTTTTTGATATTTTATCGAAAAAATAATAAAAATTGGTTAATAATTACGCGTTTTATGCGATTTTAACTTTAAAGTGACAGATTTGACAGTTATAACAGCGCCACCTATCCAACTGTCAACATAAACCTTAAAAATTTAATATCTCACGTATTTATTGATAGAATTTAAAAATTTAAAAACATTTCCACGTTATTTTCACCTAAAATTCATCTTAAAACTTTGTTCAACTTGACTTAAGTGATTTTACTTGACTTAAGTCATCACTTCGACTAAAAAATACGAATAATTTATAAACCACCGAAAATATATTGAAATTTATACAATACAACAAAAAAATCATTAAAATCGATTAATATTTACTTGATTTGCACAGATTTAAAGTTTTTCAGACACTTTTGACAGTTATAAGAGCGCCACCTATACAACTGTCACCTCAAAACTTAAAAATCAAATATCTCGCGTATTTCTGCACGAAATTGAAAAATTCAAACGTTATTCATCATTGTTTTCTTCCAAGAATCACCCTGAAAGGCTTAACTTGTCTCAGTTGACTTGCCTTAAGTCATTTTCCTACCAGTATATTTTTAAACCGGAAGTCCGCGGTCTTTACAAGTGAACTATAAATAAAATTCGTCTCACTCAGCGGTTAAAGTAATAATATAATCACTCTACGCGTACAACTCGCCGCCGATATAAGTAAACATAATTAAATCCCAGTCCCAGTCAGTCAGCATCACTTAAAAAATATATCAATATCAATTGATTGATTACACTTATTCCCACTCAACGGTCGCATTCAACCGCTCAACACTGGCAAATGAAAGTGCATTGATTAACTAATTAAAAGCGAATTAATCTCGCGCGTGATAGCCGTAAGGTCGCGCGCCGGCAGCCGCAACAAAAGCGATTACCTAAGTAAGTAACTCAACTTGACTTAACCGAAGTCAGTTATTATGCATTGTGTGTCTTGCGCATGTATAGAGAGATAGATAAAAGTGATCAGTGTGAAATTAAAAACGAATGAGGCGGTGCGCTGGCCGCGTTTGTCGTTTTGTTGCAATCGCCTTGGCACAAAATAGAATGCTTCATTGAAAAGCAGTTCGCGCATGCGTGGAATTCGACCAATTCGAGCTAAATAAGTAGCGGATCAAATCAATAAATATAAAATAAGTCATATGGCTTAAGTAAGATTTTGCTCTCATTCTTTCACCGCGCGCTGCTCGATGCGTCATTGACAACTTGGAGCAAACCTGCATCGTCGTCGTTGCGGCAAAATGCCCGCGGTGGTGCGATTTTAATTCGTTTAGCGGAGAGATAAGTCAAGTGTTGCGCACGTAGAGTGCAACTTGCACTCAATTTGTTTTTCTTGTTTGTCGAGTGTAGCGTATGCTAGATTTCACTTTTAATTCGAATTCTTTGCGAGTTACTTAAGTAGATTATTTAGTTTACTTAACTTAAGACATTTGTTGTGCAATACTTGCATTAAATTCCATGTAGTAGGTTGTTATAAGTACATTTGTATGCAGGGGAATTTTTTTAGGTTAAAGATTTGTATTTTGTGTTTTGTAGAAAATTATTTAAAGAAATTACGAGAAAAAATCATTAAAATCGGTTGATTATTATGTGTTTTATGATATTTTAAAGTTTAAAGTGACAGTTTTGACAGGTATAACAGCGCCACCTATACAAATGTCACTTTAAACTTAAAAATCAAATATCTCACGTATTTATTGATAGAATTTAAAAATTCAAAAACATTTATACCCCACAAACTCAAAATTTTCTCGTGAAATACTTCTTTATGCAACACAACAAAAATCATCAACTCCAGTTGCATAAAACCAATTTTTACTTCAAAACCCTCTCAAATCTAAACCATTCACCTTAAAACCACAAAACAGGTGTCATTTCACTAATAACTAAATGATCTTTAATTTATCACACCGAGTGTTAGTGTAACATCAATAAATCAACCGCTTATTGGCGTTGAAAGTGAAAGTAAAAATATAAAACACATACGAGTATTCCATGCCTTTCGCTCAAGTTGCGTCTCAAGAGGCAGAGATATTGGGAAAATCTGTTTAGAGACAATAAACAATAAACCATAAACTATCGCGATAAGCGGTAAACATAAACAAATGAGTACACGCGATTGCGCAACGCGGCGATGCGTTTCTATCATTCGCTTTTTATGTTCGCATTAAACAATGAATGCACTTTTGCAATGGCATACTTCATCGTATTATGCTAATTCGGAATGTAATAGAGGTGTGGACATCTTTAATTATGAATAAAATTAATTATTTTTTGTGGAAGAAACAATAAAACGTGATTTTGTATTGTCGAATGTGAAAATTACATTTTTTGCTAGGAAAATATGATTAAATTAGTTTTTTCGCATTTTTTAAAATAAAAACGGGTTTAAAGTCACTTTTTACGCACGGAGTGACAAAATAATTGATTTTATACCCTGAATATAAGATTTACTAAATTTTGGCGTGTTTAAAGTCAATGTTTGTACTAGTAATGTCAAAATATGTAATTTTACGCACTTAATTCACGATTTAGAAAAAATTGACGTGTTTAAAGTCAATTTTAGTACACGCACTGTCAAAATAAGTGATTTTACACATTAAATTCACGATTTAGTAAAATTTGGCGTGTTTAAAGTCAATTTTTACGCACTCAGTGACAAAATAAGTCATTTTAAAACCTAACCACAAGATTTAGTCAAATTTTGCGTGTTTAAAATCACTTTTTACGCACTGAATTATAAAATTTGTGATTTTATACACTCAAAACCCGATTTACTAAGATTTCGCGTGTTTAAAGTCACGTTTTACCCACGCAGTAACAAAACAAGTGATTTTTCTCACTAAAAACCTAAATTTTCGCGTAGGTTTTTTAATAGTTAATTACCCAAGCACTTAATTCAACTTTAAATGTCGTTAAATGAACCAATAAGTAATAAATCTCTGCGCTTTTTCCTTTCCTTCCTTTGCTAAATTTAGTTCTTCAGTTCAATGTCCATGATTAATCAGCTCTGGCGAGTCTCAGCTCTCTTGTCTCTCTGCGTTTCTTGTTTTGAACGATGTGCGATCGTAAAATTAAGACTGATCGACGTTTTTACAACTTTGTTGCGCGTCCTTTTATCGCTTTATCACTATATCGGGCGCGCGCGTTTTATGAGGCCGCGCGGATTAAAAGCTCGCTCGGTTTAAACAAACGCGCCGCGTAAATAAACAAAGTTGGCGCTCGCTCGCGAAGCGAATTCGTTCGATTGCGCGCTTGTGAGAGACGATAAAAGTAAAAATCTAGCATCTAACGGGAGATGCGAGGAATAAAAATTGCCATGTCGGGTACACTTGCAATTAAAATAAGAGCGAGAGGATAGTAAAACATACTTGATGTGTGTGTCTTAAGTTAAGTTAAGTTAAGAAGAATGGGATTGAAGAGGTGTTTAAAGACTTACCAAGAACTCACAAGAAGATGTTGTTAATTCTGAAACAAAAATTAAAAATTAAGTAAAATTTGATTTTTTTGTTTAACACGCTGTATATTGTCAAAGCTTTTATGAAAATTAATTTAAATGAGGTCAGTTTATAGCTGATAAAATTATCTTTCAAATAATATATGGGATGTTGTATTTGTTACAAGATTTGTTTATGTTATTAACGTTTAAAGTTGAAAGTTTAAATTATTCGATATAATTTGAGAAAAATCAACTTTTTATTAAACACCTTGTAATTCTTTGATGCGTGCATCAAATTTAATAATTTTGGTATCATTTTGTAGGTGATAAAATTCTCTTTAATATTATATACTGGGTGTTGAAGAATTATATAAATATCTTAGACTTTTTCGTGTTTAAAGTCAAAAAATAGTTTATATTTGAGCATTGGTCAAATTAAACATGTTTATTTTTACTAAACACCTTGTATCTTTTTAATGGGCCGTTCAAAGTTACATATTTTGATATCATCTTAAAGCTGATAAAATTATCTTTAAGATGAATATACAGAGAGATAAATATATTGTAAAATTTCTTGACATTTTTCATGTTTAAAATCAAAAATTATTCGCAAATTAAGCAAAAAGTAAAATTAGGCGCAATATTTTACTAAACACCTTGTAATTCTTTATTGCGTTCATCAGATTTATATAATTTGATATCAATATAAAGCTGATAAAATTCCTTTGCAATGATATACAGAGTGATAAAATATTCCTATAATTACCAAGATATTTTCGAAGTTAAAGTCAAAAATTATTTTTTTTAAACAAACAAATTCCACTTTTAATTTTCTTACTTAAAAACCAAATAACTCCCAAACTAGACCTTCCACACAATCAAAAACCACTCCCTTGAAACCCACCAAAATTCCCTACAAGATAATCCCCATCATACCCAATGAAACATGCATTATCCCGCCATAATCACCATCTAAAGACAAAGATTAAAAACTTTTCGAGTAATGCTAATTCGCCTGGCACTTCAGAGCTTTTTCAGTCGTAAGAAGCCAATTTTCGTGCATAAAGCACGCGTTGAATGCGAGCCGCGCCGGTCCACATTCAGCACGCAGTGATTGCCTTCATTTAATTTCGCACGACAACCGCCTGCCGGGGCCGGGGCTAATTCCGCCGTCATGCTGCGTGTATGCGTTCATATTTCCATCGTTTTCAACCCTTGCATGCCGCCTGCTGTTTCAGTGCGTGAGCTTTATTTGTGCGTACGCACCGGAGTAGCCTAATCGCGTTGAATGCTCAATGGCGGAGCGCGCACTTGAAAAATAATCCCTTTCCGAACTGTCGCATACACACACACAGGGAGACGTAAAACATACACACGTAAAGAGTAAACGCACCCCTTTTTTGCTTACTTGCGAGACGGTTTAAAGCTTAAAGCTTATGCAAAACACACAACGTCTAAAGCTTGATATTTTATCGAGTTTTACGCGCAAAAAGCTCGAAATTTTTATTTCCCAAGGCGCAGAAATTACCCACGCTTAACTCCTCTGGAAATTGAAAACTATACAAGGTGTTTGCGTTCACCTGCGTGTATGTTTGTTTTTTTCTGGTGCGCAGTGTGTGTAACCCGATGCCCATCAAAGCTCATTTCATCGCACATCGCGTCGCATCAGCCCACGCGCGTGTGAATACGGCGCATAATAAATTTTTTCCATTCGGTTTTTTGCAGGCGGCGCACAAAAGCGACACAGGAAACGAGGCGACGACGACGACAACGACGGCGGGCAGGAATGAGGTGGATCAAGTGGAAGACTGCGCACTAATTGCCCCCCTGCGCCATCCCCCTCGCAATCCCCCCGCAGACCCTCCGCGCCGCCGCCCCGTGTCGCCGAAGACGCGCCGGAGAAAGCGGAATGATGGCCTTCACGACGAGCTGGACGCTGTTCGGCGCGCTGGTGGCGTGCTGCGCATCGAGTACGACTATTGCCGAACAAGGTAAGAAAATTGATTTTATTTTTTGAAAAATTAATTTAAGGGTGTAAATATTATTGGATTTTTATTGTTGAAGTGGTTTTTATTAGGTAATTAATGAAGGTTTTATATTTCAATAGAAATATAGTATGAATATAATTATTTGATGGATTTTTTTGAGTTTAAAGTCAAAAGTTTAAAAATTTTGGATTTTAAGTTTAATAAACTTAAAATGTTGAATAAATAAAGGTTGCGATTGGGTAATTGTAACATGCAGTATATAATTTTAAAGCTGAGTTTATCCTCTTTCAGATGATACCATATTCAATAAATAATAACAATTATTGCAAAAGTTACAGAGTGTTTAATGAAAAAATGCAATATGTTTTACTATACTACTGTTTTTTTGACTTTGTTGTTAAATTTAGCAATGAAATAATTTAAAAATAGCGTAACTCTGTATGTCATTTGAAAGATAATTTTATAAGCTTTCATTTAAGTCCAAAATTAATGTCCTAAGATAATTATTCAAAAAGTTACAGGGTGTTTATTTCACTTTTGCAATTTTTGAACAAAAATTAATCTTTCTCGACTTTGTTCTTAAATTTAACAACAAAGGAGCTGAAAATTGACTTCACCCTATATATTACTTCAAACATAATTTTATCAGCTTTCATTTAATACCAAACTCAATTTATAACAACAATTATTGTATTAATTACAGAGTATTTAATAAAATTATGCATTTTTTTTGCACTAAAATTTCCTATTTTTGACTTTAAACTTAATTTTATCAACAAAACACATAAATATCATAAAAACTCTTGATATAATTTAAAAGACAAGTTTATCTACTCTCAAGTGACACGAATTTTATGATCCTACCCTAATTATTCTAAAAGTTACAGCGTGTAAATTGAAATAAAATGCCTAATGTTTTCCGTTTTCTCGTCTCTTACAACGTTCGACGCGAATTTAATTTTCTACGAATTCTCGATGTCTCATTTAAATGCGGACGCAATTTACATGATAATTTGGTCATAATTAATTAATTAATCCCTCGAAAAAGTGGAAACCGGCCCCGGCGCGACTCAACAAGTTCGCCTCCGATCGCGGCGATTATTCTAATTCCCATCTCGTTTCTTCAACTGGACGCAAAAGCGTTTGTTTTGATTTTATTACGAATATAATAAGATTTTTTTGTTGTTATTCCTGTCGTCTCTTCCACTACGGACCAAGCGAGCAGTAGCAGTGAGTGAGGAGAGGCCTTGAGCGACACGCAAACGCACAGCTCTCATTCTTAATGAGCGTCGTCGTCTTAATTATGTTCTCGGCGTAATTTTTCGTGTTTTAATTAAATCGCGATTTTATGTTAAAGTAACGTTTTGCGCCGAGGCGGGGAATGGTGGATATGCCCGTATCGGGCGACGACTCTCACGGGCGCGTTCGTTAATGCGGCCATTAAAAACAAAAACTTTTACGATCGGACACAACTGCGCGCCGTTCTAATATCTGTTTGATGTTTGACGAGAGCGGATTTTAATTCGCATTTAATCGCGCGCGAGCTGGACAAATCCGTGGAAGACAATCTTCGCGAGAGGAGATAAAAATGATCATGAGAAATACGAGACGAGCGGAGATATTTAATTTCGCATGATGCAGCTATTTAGTATCAGTAGTATACTCGTACTCGTACTCACAAAGATGGGAATTTAGAATAAGTTTCAATTTTAAGTCGCTGTAACTTTTAAAGTATTAGATGTTGTGAATTGGGGGATGTGTCAGTTGAAAGAGGGTGTAATTAGCTATGAATTGACGTATTTGTTGTTATCATTATTTATCTGTTTCCTTATCAAATTTGAATTTAAAGAAAAAAATGAATTTTCTTTAAAATTTTGCATTTTTTTTATTAAACAGTCTGTATGTTTTGCAATAAATGTTATTATTATTTAAAATTATTTTCAAATGAAAGATAATAAACTCAGCTTTCATATTATATACTGTGTGTTATTATAACTTGTCCGGTTTTATATCAAATTTAAGATCAAAGTTCAAAATTCGCAATTTTTGTGCACATTTTTAGAAAATTTGAGTTTAATACTCTGTAACATTTGCAATAAATGTGATAATACTATAAAATTTATGTCACATGAAAGATAATAAACTCAGCTTTCAAATTATATACTGGGTGTTACCATCACCTCTTCGCTTTTACATCAAATTTGATACTAAAGTTCAAAATTCAACGTTTTTGTGTAAAATTTTTAGAAAATTTCTGTTTAACACTCTGTATCTCTTATAATAATAGGAATATTATATTCAGGGGTTGATATTACTTGAAAGGGCATACAATTAGCTTGGAAATGATATATAGGGTGTTCAAATTAGTTATCAACTTCATTGTTTAACTTGAAATTAAACAAAAAATCAAATTTTGCTAGAAATTTTGCATTTTTTTAACTAAACACCCTATAACTACTTAAATTATTGTTATTTTATCTTAAAATTTATGTCATATGAAAGATAATAAACTCAGCTATCAAATAATATACTGCAATGTTGAATTATAGTCTTTCCTTATACGAAAATTTAAGTTTAAAGTTTAAAACAATAACTTTTTTCAATAATTTTATGTATTTTGCGTAATTTTCACTTCGACACCCTGTAACTTTTTTAATAATTGTTACCCAACACTGCAATTAGTGTCAAATGAAAGATATTAAATCTACCTTTAAATTTTTATTCTGAGTGTTTCAATAATCCAATTACTTCTATAGAAATTCTGTCATCAAACAATTTTAATCCTCCCGCTATAACTTGCCGTCTAATTACTTTAAAATTACATAATTGATGTCATTTCAAAGCGTGTAAACTTATCATAAAAATGACACTCAGCTAATTAGAATATTAATAGCAAACCAACTTATAATCCTTAAAAAACTCAACTGAAAACCGCGTAATAGCAGAAAAATGGAAAAAATTCAAATAAAATCTCCCTCTGGATGTAAATTATTCAAATGACATTTAATTCTGCCTAATTAGGCGCATCTACGCCACTATCCTGTGAATGTTTCTTTCGACTGCAAGCACATCCTCCAATTTCCTTCCTTATCCTCTCGTGTCGACTTCTAAGCACTACTTACGCAGCCATTGCCATCCATCTTCGTTCCCACGTGTTCGGCATCGTAATTATCGACGTTCGCATGTCGCAAACTGCGTTAATTACTAATGACGCGGCGTGCCGCAAAAAATATCACATGCGGCCAATAATATCTATGCAGGAGCGCAAAAAATGCACGCGAGGAGGAATTTTTCTTGTGGTAACACGCACAAAATGCAAATTTCGCAAAAAATTATCTTTGCGCGCAGTGAGAAGAAAAATAAGAACAAGTTCTTCTTTGTTTGTGGATTTGATAAAGAAACGAATGGAATGTTGGAATTTCTATGGTGGCATTTTATAGTTTAGTTTATATTGTCTCAGATGAAATAAAGTTCAATTTATAGTAACAATTAGTTTTTGAATTACAGGGTGTTTTATAAAAAATGTAATTTTTTTGCAATTAAATGCATTTTTTACTTTGATGTAAAATTTAGCTATGAAGGAGATAAATTATTGTATCACACGGTATATTATTTTAAAGCTGAGTTTATCGTCTTTCATATGACGTAACACTCGATATATTATAACAAATATTTTAAAAGTTACAGGGTGTTAAATAAAAAAGTAAATTTTAAAGTTTTTTAAAAAATTTTTGACGTTTTTTGTTATCAAATTTGACACAGAAATAAATAAATAATTGCATCACCCAGTATATCACATGAAAGCCTAACTCACCTTCTTTCATTTAACATTAATTTCAATCTAATACAACAAATAGTTTAGAAGTTACTGAGTGTTTAACGAAAAAAATCAAAATTTTTCCCAAATATTTCATCTTCATTTTTGTTATCAAATTTAACAAAGAAACTACTAAATAATTATATCACTCAGTATATCATTAGAAAGCAAAATTAACCCTCTTTCACATAACCCCAAAATAAACACCATCCCTCTACTAGTTTAAAAGTTACAAGCAATTAAACAAAAATATTCTGTCATTTGCTGTTGCGCCACACCTTTGAACACATTTTTCGTCCTAAATCCACCAAGAATGCAATAAACCAAGATTAAAAATGCTTTGTTTATAACATTCACCATTATACCACATCTACCTTTCGAACGACCGAATATAATTACGATATAATTAACTTCGTTGAATTCGTCACTGAATTGCCCCTGCTTTTTGTGAGAATCTTACGAAATGTCAAAGATAAATAAGTAGTGCGCTTCTGTACGGTAAAGTCTGTGAACGCGCGCGTTCTTCGACTTCTTCGGCGCGCGGCGTGTTTGATTCGAGATGCCGTTACTCTCTCGAATCGTCCAAGACTCCGCAGAGCCGAAGATTTCCGCTAGCTCTGCTAGTTGTGCGGGCGCGCGCGCGCACTCTCGCGAGCTTTTCTTCTGGCTGCTCAAAATCATCTTGTTTTTATTTGTTGCGTTTAACGCTTTAACTCGTCGTCCGGCCGTCCGAAAGCCACTATGAAGGATTCCTCCGAGTGTTGCTTCTCGGAGGAGAGATAAAACCGACCGTAAAACTAAGCACTAATGAGCGCGAACGCCGATCGCGCGTTTTTTTCCTCGAGTCTTCTTCAAATTTATTTTCATCAAATGCGAGATGATGCGTTCGTTGTGTGTACGTGTGTACAATCAAACTTTTTTTCACCGTTGCGTTTTATTTCTTATTTTCGGCTTGATTAGACACACAACGTCACTTTGTGCGCGCAGGTAGCTGGTACAGCGTCAGGTTATAACGAGAGGAAATTATTCTTCTTACGTCAAAGATTTTTTGGAGGAATAAAGAAAAAAATGAGGAATTATGGTGGTGTATTTTTTGTAAAAGGGTGATAACTCCTGAAGGGGTTGAAATATTTTATTGGGGATTTTGTCATTAGGGAGGGTATTAAATAAGCTTTGATTTGATGTGCAACATTAGGCGATACTTAATTTAGAAGTGACTTATAATTTGACTTAAAAAATGACTTAAACATTTTTATTAAGTAAATAATTTTGTTGTCATTGTTAAAAGTGTGATAACTTTTAAAGTGGTTGAAATATTTGATTGGGGTTTTTAGTATTTGATAGGGTATTAATTGGGCTTTAGTTTTATGTATAACATTAATAATTATTACCACCGGAAGTGGCGGAAATATGGCCTCAATGTTAGTACATCAAAAACTAGTAAAAAACTTTCCTATGTTATAATGTTCTTTAAATTACGATAACTCACAAAGGGGATGAAATATTTTGGTGGTGTTTATACCAATAGAATAGGGTATTAACTCAGCTTTACTTTAATGTATAAAATTATTTAAAATTCCAACCGGAAGTGACTTAAATCTTGGCATAAAAACAAAACAATAAAAAGTAAAAGTGGTATTTTATCGATTTCAATAAAGTATGTTTTAGGGTGATATTATATTAAAACTGCGATAAGTCGTGAATGGGTTGAAATAATTGATTGGGGATTTCATGATTTGATAGGGGATTAAACTAGCTGTAGTTTGATGTATAACATGACCGGAAATTCATTCCGGAAGTGACTTAAATCTATACTCAAAGTTCACACATCCAAAACTAAAAATATTTCAATATTTTTTTGTAAAGTATTTTTTAAACCGAAATAACTCATAAACTCCTAAAAATATTCAATCACCCACTTGACAATTAAAAAGTGCATTAAATAAGCTTTCATTTGCTCCATTACACCATAATGTACACCGATTACAACTGCGATTAAATTCACCTCAAACCAAACAAAAAATAATCGCGTCCTTCAACCGACATAAAACCACAAATCAATTTTTATAATAGCGATTCGATTATAATTTCATCGAAGTTTTAATTGTTCGCTTTTGATCAGCTGTCAGAGCACACAATGCGCGGTGTGCCCAAGTGGAAAGTGCATTAATCAAACTTTAGAATGACACGTCAAACAATGCTGTTGGCCTTGTTATTCAACCAAAAATTAATAAAAACGCGGAGTTCCAATTCCACAAATATCACCTGCTATCAATAAAATTTAAATAAATTTAAGTGTGTATACACAGCGTAAAAGGTCAGTCAAATAATAATCATATATTCCGTCGGAGGATATTTTGATAATACGAATGCATTTATATTCAGAACACAATTAATAATGAATGCGCAATTGAATTTTATCGCCGCGCGCGCGAATGAATTAAACGAGGCGATTGTTTTAATTGTTATTTCCTGTGTGTCGTGTGTTGCCATGCCGGCGCCTGCCCCCCTGCACCCCTTATCAACCCAACTCTTGCATTCATTTGCCTTCGAATTGCATTTTTGTTTCTACTGCTTCTCTCGAATGAAGTTGAACACTGTGTGGAAATGTGTGGAGAGAATTCGTGCGCGTGTATTTATTTTGCGCGTTGGTGCGCCGAAGGGCGGCAATGGCGACGGTGGCGCCGCGGTCGGCGGCGTTCCGTATCGATTTTCTTAATGCCCCGAGGGACCGGTTTCTCTACCCTCTCTCGCCACCGCTGCCGCCGCCGTTGCCGCGCGGCTCTGCCACCGCCCGAAAGTGCGGGATTTCGCCGGGCGGACCGCCCGCCCTTTGAAGTTTGAATACCTTTAGACTTTACCACTTACCAGAAACTTGTAGCCGAGCGTGCCGCCGCCGCCAACGCAGGCAACGCACTCGCATTTTCGAAATTTCCGTCTACAGGGTGCTGGAAACACAAGAGAAACGAAAAATTATTTTTGAGAATTTTTTTTATAAAAATAATGATAACTTTGGATTGGTATAAAATATTTGATTGAGGTTTTTATATTTTGGAAGGGGATTAAATAAGCTTTAATTTGATGTATAATATGTATGATTAACTTAACCGGAAGTGACTTTAATCTGTACTTAAACTTAGAAATTATTTTTGAAAAACAGAAAATTTACAAAAATGTAAAGTTATGTTACAACATCGATAACTTTTGATTGCAACAAAATAATTAATTTATCTTTTCATAACTAGAAAGTGCATTAATTACCCTTTGATTTGATGTATAAGACTATTATTTATCTTAACCGGAAGTGACTTTAATTTTCACTCAAAATTACAAAATATTTTTTTCTCTAAAAATTTAACCTCAACTTTTAAATGTTTATAATTCCTAGCCATTTTATTATTTTTCTCTCAAATTTAAACAAAACAACCCTAAATTTATCCGACTTTCAAATAATAATATAATAATATAGTTTTTTCTTGTATGACCCTGTATAAATGTGTAGTTTCCGCAACGGTTTGTTTTACGGCCGCCAACGTTTATTAACCGCCAAACTGATGCCCCCGATGCGTTTCGGCATGTTGTTTGATGCCTTGCGCTCGCCGCCCCTTTTACGAGCGAGTTAAAATTCACGCATCCGCCGCCAGCCGCCTCCGCATTTGCATGTTTTCATCCACCACCGCTGCTGCGGAGTTTTCAATTCTTTCAGCGGGCGCGCGCGCGGAAATATGCATATTGTGCGTGCGTGTTGCCCCGAAACGAGGGTATAATCATGCCGCCGCAGCCGCCTCCCAGGGGTTGCCCTAAAGGTTATTAGGGTACTTGCGGGCGCGTTAGAAACACTCCGACGAGGCTCATAATTTCGCATGAAATAAAACAACACACCCACATGAAAAAATATCTCTGATTGTGATTGACATAATGTGTCTGGATGCCAGGGGGGCGGCAGATGACTGCTATCTCTATGTGTATGTGTGTGTGTAGAAAAATAGTGTTAATTTGTTTCGCAGTCCGCGGACGTAATGCGTCCGACAGCTCTCTGACAATTCCCATTTTGGCAATTTGTGCGCTACGTGCTGCGCGTTACCTACGGGGCGGCGGCGGCGGTGATGCGGCGGCTCGCGAAGGTGGTAAATACACGCGCGAGCATCATCAAGGGGGAGCGCGAATTGCCCTCGCCGCTTCGGCGTTCTACACGGCCGCATCGCGCCCTCGCCTGCCGCCCCCTCGCACCCAATATATCACAATTTAATCATGAACCCTGTATATACTCATTGCGTTGCGTCTGCATAGTGTATCCGCGCACCGAGTGTTCGAATCAATCAAAACGTGAATATTTCACTTAAAGGGTTGTAACTCACGATGGGGGTAGGTGTCAATTTACAACCGTGGAGTGTTTTATAGGGGATGAAATCAGCTTTCGTTTGACGTATGACATGATGTAATAACTGTATTAGTATCAGAGATATTTGATGTCAAAATGCCAAAAAGATTTTTTCATTTCCCAAAAAAAAATTTAATTGTTAATAACTTTTATAATAATTTAAATAAATTAACCAAACAAAAACTAGTTTATAGACCTAAAAATTATCTTTCATATAATGTTTTAAACAATAAAATCCACCAAGTGTTTCACGAAATATTCAAGCTTTTTACTCAAACAAACAAAAAAAATTATCATAAATTTTTTGATTATTATTCAAACACACGGTATATATGTCAGGGGGTGGCGGTCGAACGCTTCGCTGACGTCGGCGTTATTTACGAGCGAGCCGGCGTGCCCGATATCGCCGTAAATCGTCGGAATTTTATACATTTTGGCTTTTCTCCGCGCGCGGCGGCGGCGCATCGCCGCCTCTCAATAAAAGTGCACGCGCGCATACGTAATAAACAACGGCGCAACAATACAATAAACAAGCGGCGAGGGTGATTCGCGCACCTTTCGGAATTTATTTCCGGGTTTATTTCCACGATACCCACACTTTGCTTCACTTCCGGATTACTTATTGAACAATTTATATTACACACGGGTGCAGGTACATATGTTTTACAGCGAGGGGGGATGAGAATTAAGAATATAAATTGTAAATATATATTGCAGATGTTTTTGAATAAGAATAAAATGAGTTTTGGTGAAAATATTAAAATTATTTGTTTTTGTGTGTTTTGCAGTTACCCTGTTGGATACGACGGGAGAAAGCCAGCTGGAATGGACACGATACCCCTATGGCCCGCAGGCGACCACTCCGGGGGTGAGTTTTGTTGTTTTATAATTTAATACACCCCAAACAAACAATTATTTTGACTCTTAATTCCCTTTACTTGCAAAATACAAAAGAAATGTTTTAATTGTTTGGTTTTTGTGCAATTTGGTCTTTGATTAGATATAACTCATAAAATATTTTATGAAATTTAATGGGGTAAAAATATTATGATAGGCGATAAAATTATCTTTAATTTGACACATGATTTGAGATTATATCTTGTCAGGAACATAACCTAACTTGCAATTGAAGTTGCATTATATTTTCAAGTAGGGAAACACGTAATTTGAGCTTAAATTGTTTATAAGTTTTAAAGTATAAGTTATAATATAAATATTTTAAAAGATTCTAAAAGACTATAAAATAACCTTCAATTTGATGTGTCATTCAACCATTTTACTTATTTGTATCATAACCTAATCTGATTTTAAACTTTCCCAAATGTTTAAGAAAAATTTAAAACACAACATTAGCTTAAATCTATATATATAAAATTTGCGTGTCACAGTGTTTGTTTCCATACTCCTCCGAAACGGCTTTACCGATTTTTTACCAAATTTTATATGCGTATTCAGTAGGTCTGAGAATCGGCTAACATCTATTTTTCATACCCCTAAGTGATAAGGGTTGTTCACCCTTAACTTTTTTTTAAATTTTTGGACAAATTCTTTTGTTTTTATTTTTTTTATAATGTGGAATTAAAAAATACATACAACCCTAAATTTTTAGCTTCTTATCACCAACCCCTATTTCTTTATAGCCATTTTCGTAATTTAATCATTTTTCATCCCGCTCAAAGAAAATTTTTATATGCGTATTCAGTTGGTCTGAGAATCGGTAACTTCATATCGCTAAGTGATAAGGGTTGTTCACCCTTAATTTTTTTTAAATTTTGGTCGAAATTTTTTGTTTTTATTTTTTTAATGTGGCATTAAAATATACATACAACCCTAAATTTTTGGTTTCTTATCACCAACCCCTATTTTTTTATAATAAGTAAGTTACTTTTTGTCTACACTAAAATTTATCTAGAAACTTGAAATAATTTATATGGCAAAACAACGTTTGCCCGGTTAACTAGTTGTTTATAACTTTTGAAAGATTTGACATAATCAAAATTTTTAAAAAGGTTTTGATAGGTGATAAACTAACCTTTAAATTGATATGTCATTTAATGAATTTGCACATCCGGAACATAACCTAACCTCAACTCAAACATCATCAACAACATATTTTCAAATACCAACTCACGTAATTCACGTTTAAATTGTCTATAACTCTTAATATAACCGTTACAATTTAAATATTTTATACGCTTCCAATACATATATTCTATTAGGGGTTGAGGAATGAATGTGCGTGTGTGTGAGGCGCTTATAACTTGTGCCTTGTGTCTTATAAGATGCGCGCCTCTCCGGAAGCTCCCAGCGGACGATTTCTTTATTTTTTCATGCGTGAACACACAACTCGTGTGGGACGTTCGCGCGCCCGCTGGCACGAGGGGTGGAAAATAAATAAAATCGTCGAGCGCATTTTCGCATATTTTCCGCGCTTTTTCCCGTGAGCTGGTTTCGTGTTTGAAGAGGTAGAAAAGGTAGAACATGTGTGGGGTGGTGTCGGGCGCGGGGCTGAAATACGGCGCGAATAAGATTGAAACACGGAAGGAAGCCGGATGTACCGAAATATGACGTCCGGCAATTTAAATTTTTATTGTTTTTCCCTCGAGGGGGAGGGTGGAAAGCGTCTTCAAAGGATATAGAAAAAGAAGTTGCAAAACAGTTGCAATATTTTGTTGTTGTGGACGGAATTCAATTTCAATTTGGTCTTTGATTGGTTGTATCTGCTAAAATATTTGATCAAATTTAATGGGGTAAAAATTATTTGATAGATGATAAGGTAACCTTTAATTTGACTTATAAGAAGAGATTATATCTTATCGGGAAGATAACCTAAATTGCAGTTGAAGTTGCGAGATATATTTGAGCACAAAAACACGTAATATGGGTTTAAATTGTTTATTACTTTTAAAATATTAGAAATAAATTAAATATTTGAAAAGATTCGGTTAGGTTATGAAATAACCTTCAATTTGATGTATCGCGGTCCCATTTTGCTCATTTGTAACATAACCTAAATTGTAATTAAAGTTGCAACATGTTTTTTAATATTAAAACATGCAATTTGAGTTTAAATTGTTTATAACTTTTAAAGTATTATTTATAATTTAAATATTTTAAGTAATTCTAACAGATTATAAAATAACCTTTAATTTGACATCTCAAACAACAATTTTACTCATTTGGAACATAACCTAACATTTAATTAAACTTCAAAATCATCGAAACCCACAACTTGACTTTAAATTGTTATTAACTTTTGAACAATTTAATAAAATCAAAAATTTTAAACGGATTCTGATGACTGACAACCTAACCTATAAATTGACATACTTTTCAATAACCTAGCGCCTATGTAACATAATCTAATCTCAACTTAAATATCAACTAAACCAAATTTTAACAAAAAAATCTATTTTTACGTAAAATACCAATGTGATTTCACCCAGAGAGAATATTTACGACTGAAATTTGTAAACCCATGATTAAAACGCCAAGTAATTATCCATTTCATAAAAAAAACGCCGTCGAAATTTACGAGCGCCGGTGACGAATTTAGTTTACAATTTCTAAAATTAGCCAAATTCTCGCCTTCCACATGTTTACAATCATCATCTCTCGGTGCGCATTCACTGCATTCACATGATGCGTTTGCACAGCGACGAATGCACTCGTTTTGTTTACGCCTCCTCATTTATTTTCCTCATTTATTTCACGCGCTTCTCAGTTTTTCTCCGCGCGCGCGCGTCCCAACATATCTTGTTACTTTACTTTACAACTCGGGTGTCATCTGTGCGTTCGCCTGCGATTTGTAAGACCGAAATGTCGAAGAGCGCCTTTTTGTGTTTGCCTTTCATTGCGCGACCATATTTCTCGCATGGGTACGTGCGAGAGTGGAAAAGCGGTGAAAAGTCATAAATTACGTTAACAAATTTGTCGTCCTGTGCGTGCATTCGGGAGCGGCAAAAACTCAAAGTGTATCAGTTTGCAGCTAAAAATACGCGGTGGAAATGTGAGTGCACGGTATTAAAATATGAAATAGATGAGATTATTACTGTATGTGCTAAGTTGGAGTATGAAATGATGTTAAATCAATCTAAAAATGAAAAAATTTAAAGAGGTGAAGTTTGAGTGGAAATTAGGTTATGTTAGCGTTGAGATATTTTATAAAATGATACATAATATTAAAGAGAATTTAATCAACTGTTGAAATATTTTTGTTTCATTAAATTTGTGTAAATATTTTAAAAGTTATAAACAATTACAGCGCAAATTTCACTTTTTAACAAAAATTTTTTAGAGTTTCCGCAACTTTAATGACAGATTAGGTTATGTTACACTCTGTATATTTTATTAAATGATACTTCAAATTAAAGCTTATTTTATAAACTTTTAAAATCAGTTTAAACATTTCAATTATATCAAATATTTAAAAAGTTATAAACAATTTACTATAAAATATCAAATTTTTACACTCAAAAACTAAAAAATTGCTATTTTTCATAAAATTCTTTATAACTCATAAAATATTTGATAAAATTTTATGCAGTAAAATCTAATCGATAGCTAATAAAATAAGCTTTCATTTGTCGTATAAAACAATAAAATACCTCAACTGTAACATAACCTAATTTAACCTCAAAACAAACATTTCCACCCGGCGCAAATAAAATGTATCATTTATATACAGTAATTTCATTATTCCGTGCGTAATAACAAGCGAATTAATTGTTTTTCATTGAAAAATTTCCGTAAATTCTATTTCCGGCCTGTGACTCTCTCGACTCTCTCGGATGATGATCATGCGTTCGTTTTTGTGCGCGTCTCGTTCGTTAACTTTATTAGTACCATTTCGTGCGCGCACACGCGGAAAGATTAATTATCAGCGAACACGACTAACTAACGGGGCGTACGATCCCTCGCCGCTGCCGCCGCCGCCTCCGCCCTCCGGGCTTGTTTATTTCCGAATTTTCTTCGTTATAGCAACGCGCGTCCAAACTCGCAGAGACAATTTGTCAAACACACAAAACGAAGAAACAGAACAAAAAATAAAATCATGCAACACAACACAAAACAACACAAAACAAAAACAAGTAGAAGATGTTTAGAGACAAAGAAAAGCGTTGAAGAAATATAATTTTTGTGCGCGACAAATGTTGCTAACAAACGATAATTTGTGAGAACGGCGTTAATGCGTTTAAAATGGCGCCGAGCGTGACACAAATCGAATTAAAATGTTTTCTTCGCGAACAAAAGACTAAATGTTGCTAATTCACTTAAAAAATGAAAGTTCTCGGCGCGCTGTTGGGGAATAACTATATGTTTATTCAACACACGGTATAAAGATAATATTTTCCCAGCTGGAAAATTACGTGTGTGCGTCGCTTCAATTTTCTCCGGACGCTGACAGATCTGCGCGCGGAAGACCTGGAGGGTCCCTTTTCTCCTAACTCAATTATCCAACCCCATTACGGGCCTGATTTAAATTCACCGGCGCGCCCCGACGCCGCCGCCGCCGCCATTGCCATCATCCGATGCACGATTGCGAAAGAGAGAGTGTGTACGCCGGTTTGCTTTTTTCCGGAAATGACGCGTACGTGACGGGGGCTGTGGATGTGCACCCAGGTTAGATCAACCAGAAAGAAGACTAAACTAAACTGGACGTCCAATAAAAATCACTCGGATATCTACTGGGTGTATTCGTTTACTTTTTTTGTGAGTTGATTTTTGATAGATGATAAAATAAACTTTAATTTGATGTATGATTTGAGATTATATCTTGTCAGGAACATAACCTAAATTGCCATTGAAGTTGCAACAAGTTTTTTAGTAGTGAAAAACGGAATTTTAGCTTAAATTGTTTATAACTTTTAAAATATAAGCTATATTTTAAATATTTTAAAAGATTCTAAGAGACTATAAAATAACCTCTAATTTGAGGTGTCATGCAACAAGTTTATTCATTTGAAACATAACCTAAATTGCAATTGAAGTTGCATTATGTTTTTAAGTTGTGAATTACGTAATTAGAGTTTAAATTGTTTATAACTTTTAAAATATATGTTATAATTTGAATATTTTAAATTATTCGGATAGGTTATAAAATAACCTTCAATTTGATGTATCATATAACCTGTTTTATTATTTGCAACATAACCTAAATTGCAATTGAAGTTGCAGCATATTTTAAAGTTGTGAAAAACTTAATTTGAGTTTAAATTGCTTATAACTTTTAAAGTATAAACTATAATTTGAATATTTTAAAATTTTCTAATATATATCTAAATAACCTTCAATTTGATGTGTCACACAACTATTTTACTCTTTTGTAACATAACCTAAATTGTAATTAAACAACAACGAATTTTCTAAAGTTTCGAAAACACAACTTCAGCTTAAATTGTTTATAACTTTTGAAAAATTTGATAAAATTTAAATATTTTGAAATAATCTGATTTCTGATAAACTAACCTTTAAATTGATATGTCATACAATGAATTTGCACATCGGGAACATAACCTAATCTTAACTTAAATATCAGTTTAAAAAAACGTCCCATAAAAATCACTCGAAAATCTACTACTACTGATTATTTCCGGTTTCTTTATTTCCGGAATTTAATCCAACTTTTCAAACACTCTGTACACACATTCGTAAGGGGGTTGATGATGATGCTGATGATGATGGAAGTCCTGGCGCTATCATCGTGCGCTCGCATCCTGTGGAGCCGAGGGTTTTACTTTACTTCCGGCTAGTGCTAGTGCTACTAACCACCACCCTCAGAAACCAACCACACATGTGTGATGGTTTTTCTTTGCTTTTTATTCGCTCATCCTTTTAGTTTTACTATTTTTTCCCATTGCGTTTTATATTCTATTTTCCGGTTTGGAAAGTTTACTCTTAGTTGCCTCCTTTTATGCTTATCCAGCGTAATAAACCGGCGAAAAACAGCGGAAAATCATTTATGATAAATAATAGCCCCACGTAGCAAAAAGCGACAACAGGAAAACCGGAAGTCTAATATATATTTTGTAATATAAAGTTTTCGGCAAAGATTTTCACCCCCTCGGATGCAATTTTCTTCGCGTAACTACATTTCCACGCAAGTAAATTGCTGTCGGAGGGGTGGTTGGGGGTGGAAACTATGAAACGCGTAACTCGGTGGAACTTTTCGGTGTTGTCGGAAAGTAGGAATGCGGAAATGTTCCGTATTCGCAAAACTATCATCGCCATCACTGCGAGTATGACGATGTCGCGTCAACGAGGGTTGATTGCGCGCAGTAGCGCCACCAGTTTTCGGCGGGGGTTGGGTGGTGCGGGTGTGGGTTGGTGGTAGTCGCCGCCGCCACTACCGCCGCCTTGCGCGCTGTTCGCGGACGCGTGAAATTCGTTTCGGATGCGCTCGAGCGTGGAATTTAGTTTACAATACGCTCTCGTGCGAAATCTCTCCGAGGGCGCATTTCACCCTCGAAAGTACCGGAAAATCGCACGCAACACTCACACAAACAATTCCTACACCCACATATATATATATAAACATTAAAAGCTTTTATTTTACTCTAGTTACCATTGTAGTCCGCCTCTGGAAATTATAAATTTTTCAAGTTTCCGGAAGTGAATAAATGCGAAACCGGAAATATTTAAAATTCAAATTTGGTGGATGATGAAGTCGTCGTACTGCGTGGGAATTAGTACGGCATCGATTTGGCCCGGCGGCGATATGCGCGTTTTTCATCATCTTCCGGTTTCCACCGGGGGGGCGGCGGCGCGTTATTACAATTTGTAGTCGCGTTTTTACAGCGGCGCGCGTTCTGCTTCATTAAATTTATTTTATTTGACAAAACGAAGCTATAAGGGCAGATATAATAAGTGCCGCCGCCGCCAACCGCCTCCATTCGTAAAATTTTCGAATTCCGTGCGCAATAAAAATACCGGCGGCGCATTATAATGACAAAACGTCGGTGGCTGAAAATTACCATAGATATTAAAAAGAGAAAAGAGTCGGAAATGCGGGCGGCGGCGGTTGCAGCGCGCCAGCAAACCAAACAAAGACGGTAGCAGAGACGCCGCCGCCGCCGCAGTCGAAGAGATAAGACATAATCCAAGCAAATCGAAGGAACGTTTTACCGTGAGTAGTGAGTCAGGCTATAGTCGGTACATGGTGGGGGCGGCAACCGCCGCGCTACCTCTGGGCTTTTATTCATTTCGCTCACGTTCCGCCAACATTCGACGTCTCGACCGATTGTAATAGTAATAAAGTTGATAAAAAGTACGAATAAAAGAATTGCCGCCCCCGCAACACATCTATACTCACCGCCTCCGCCAAGAGAGAATAACTTTCCGATGAGAAATGAAAAATGACAACGCCCTAAAATTACCACATAGAATCTCAACGCAGGAAGAAAAATCTTTAAGTTTAAGGGCGCATTTTTTGCCGCCCCCGTGATGACATCGCTGACACCGCTTGATGAACTATGTCGCCGTCGTCGGAATGAGGATTAAAAGCATGTCAGGAAGTCTTAAGGTGAGCGGCGCGTGCACCGTTAAGATAACCCTCTGATGCCGCCCCCGCTGCGCGATCACAAATCACGCGCGTTTATCACCGTCGTCTCAGAGAAGTAAAGTAAAGCAAAGTAAAGGCGACACGCGCCCGCGCGAGGAAAACGAAATGAATGTGCCGGGCGCCTGGTGAAATAATAATATACAGTGATTAGTAACCATGACGACTGCGACTGTGAATGGGGGTGGCTGGGAAGGCAAAGTCGAAAAGTCTCTGGGGTGTATTTGTCGCTGGTTATTTTCTTTAAAAAACACGAAAAGTTGTCGGGAAAGCAGTTTTAGAGCGCGTTTTGTCTGTGGGAAGCCCGTCGATAAAGTAGGGCGGGGCAAATTTAACCTCAAAATTATTGGAAATAGTATTAGGGTAATGTACTTTTAAAATGGCGGTAGAAAATGTGTTAATATGTATTTTTTTAAACAAATTTTGTTTAAAAAACGACCAAAAATGTAAAAAACTTATTTTAAAGTTGTTTTTGTGTCTGTAAGCTCCTCCCATGAAGTGGGCGGGGCAAAATTAACCTCAAAATTGCTAAAAATAGCATTAGTATACTGTGCTTGTCACAATGGCGGCGGAAAAAGTGCTAATATGTATTTTTTGATTAAAAAACAAACAAAAAATGCATAAAACTTGTTTTAAACCTGTTTTTGTGTCTTTAAGCTCCTCCCATGCAAGGGGCGAGGCAAATTTAACCTCAAAATTACTAATACTGCTAATATTTAAATTTTACCTTTCAATTGGGTGGGGGAAAAGTCTCCAGTGTTAATTTTGGTCCTTAATTCTGTAAAAAAAAAGAAACAAACGTTATTTTGACGTATTTTTGCATCTGTAAGCTCCTCCCATAAAGTGGGCGGAGCAAATTTAACCTCAAGAGTATTAAAAACACCAACAATTCAATTTTTCGCACAATTAACCCCCGGAATAATCCCTTAATACAGTTTTTGCTACATTTTCGCAAAAAACTTCAAAAAATTCTTCTAATCAACTTATATGCTCCTCCCATAAAGAAGGCGGAGCACCTTTAACCTCAAAATACTAATTTCAATCATTTTCACTTCCAGTGGGTGGAAGAATCCTTCACAAACTTCCAAAAAGGCATCAACTGGCGTTCGTACGTCGTCTGCGACGTGGCCTACAACAACGTCAACAACTGGCTCTGGGTGCCCTTCATCGAGCGCCGCGAAGCCAACCGCATCTACATCGAGATCCAGTTCACCATCCGTGACTGCAGCCTCTTCCCAGGCAACGCGCTCTCCTGCAAGGAGACCTTCAGCCTCCTCTACTACGAATTCGACGCCGCCACGCGCGAACCACCCCCATGGGAAACAGAATCCTACAAACTGATCGGCCGCATCGCCGCGGGTGAAGGTCGCTTCAACACCAACAACGAAGTGAACATCAACACCGAAGTGAAATCCATCCCAGTGACAAAAAAGGGCGTCTACTTCGCGTTCCGCGATCAGGGTGCTTGCATCTCCCTGCTGGCGGTGAAGATCTACTACATCACGTGCCCAGAGGTGACCATCAACTTCGCGCACTTCCCCGCCACGCCCACTGGGAAGGAAGTGACGTTAATTGAACAAGCTACGGGCAGTTGCGTGAAAAACGCTGAGATTGTGGACACGCCTACGTATTTATGCAAAGGGGATGGGAAGTGGACTCTGCCTACAGGGGGATGCAAATGCATAGCTGGGTTCCAGCCGGATTTTGATAAACAGACTTGTAACAGTAAGTATTTGGGACCTTAGAAACCATCAAAAATAAAAATTTACTAATTTTGATTCAAAATTTGAAGAATGTCCGATTGGTACGTTCAAATCACAAACCGGAGATGAACCCTGCCAGAAATGCCCGGAACACTCAAAGGCCACTGATTCGGGTAACAAGGAATGTCGTTGTAGCAGCGGGTACTTCCGCGCGATCAACGACCCCAAAGATATGGCCTGTACGCAACCCCCAAGCGCGCCTACTAATTTAACCGTGAATTTCGTTGATCAGTCCACGGTGATGTTATCGTGGAACGCACCGGAGGATTCCGGAGGAAGGGGGGACATCACCTATCGGGTCAAGTGTGATGCTTGTAGTCTAGGGATAGTACAATTCTCACCTAATATGGTAATACTCATTTTTTACCCCCTCCCATGAAAATTAAAAGTAAAATTAATTTTTTTTTTTTTTTGATTAAATAGGATTCTTTCAATGAGACTAAAATTACGATAAGTGGTCTTAACGCGGTGACCACATACAGATTCCAAGTATTCGCCGAAAATGGCGTTTCTAACCTCACCAGTAAATCATCCCCGGAATACACGGATATCGTAGTAACCACTGAAGCATCCGTAGCGTCCAGTGTTACTAATGTAAGGATATTATCAGTGAAAAGCACTGAGATATCCCTTGCATGGGACGCACCTTCAACCCCAGATGGTGGGGATATGGATAATGATTTAGTAGAAATCTACGAGGTAATCAATCCCACCTTTAACCTAACCTCTCTATTTTGATTCTAAAGTTATTTTTTTACTCCCCAGGTGAGGTGTTTCGTCAAAGGAGACATAGACCATTCCAACTCAACGAATATCCTCACCACTGACGTCTCCACCACCTTCAGCGGCCTGAACCAACGCACCGAATACGGCTTCCAAGTCCGCGCGAAAACCCAACTCGGTTGGAGTGCTTACACGAAAGTAATCTTCCGCGCAACTGGTCAAGTCTTAAAACAGCTTATGTAGGAGAAGAGGAAGGCCTACGTCTACAATTGGTAGCTGGGGGGATAGTGGCGGTTGTGGTGATACTCGTCGCTGTGATCATCCTCACCGTGGTGTTCATCCGATCAAGGAGTAATGATGAATGCAACAAGAAACAGCCGAGTGATTGTGATACCTTGGAGTATCGAAATGGAGAAGGTAAGATTTTTAATTTTTTGAAGAGAAGAGAAGAGAGGAACTAATGAAATGATGCACTTTTCTGCCCCTGTCTGCAAATAAATACGTGCCCCTTGTTATACCTACCACCCTGTGTACTAGGATTGGTAGTGACCTACAGTAAGTTGTCCTGGAGTGAGCGCCATGTTTGAAAATCAATGTTTTTGCATGTTTTTGTTTGTTTTTGTTCGTAAATATTGATTTATTGTTTATTGTAGTACACCATAGCATGGATAACCCACCGATTGTGACAACCCACACCAATGGTACTTTTTTTTTAAATTTTTTTAATTTTTGCATGAAAATTTAACCCAAAAATTATAAAATTCAATACCTAACCTATTTTTACGCCTACAGTGACGACGCCATTATTCACCGGCATCGGCGCATCCCGTACCTACATAGACCCACACACCTACGAAGACCCCAACCAAGCAGTGCGTGAATTCGCGCGGGAAATCGACGCGGGTTGCATAACAATCGAAGCAATCATCGGCGGTGGAGAATTCGGAGATGTATGCAAAGGAAAACTGAAAGTAAATGGAGGTAATGACATCGACGTCGCCATTAAGACCCTTAAAGCCGGGTCCCTGGACAAGGCGCGTAATGATTTCCTCACCGAAGCGTCCATCATGGGTCAATTCGAGCATCCCAACGTCATATTCCTACAGGGTGTCGTCACGAAATCCAACCCGGTGATGATCATCACCGAGTACATGGAGAACGGCTCCTTGGATACCTTCCTACGTGCGAACGATGGGAAGTTCCAAGTGATTCAACTTGTAGGGATGTTGAGGGGTATTGCTGCTGGCATGCAGTATTTGAGCGATATGAATTACGTGCATCGCGATTTGGCGGCGCGGAATGTTTTGGTGAACTCGCAGCTGGTGTGTAAGATTGCCGATTTTGGTCTGAGTAGGGAGATTGAGAGCGCCACCGAGGGGGCGTATACCACTCGCGGGGGGAAGATACCAGTGCGGTGGACGGCGCCGGAAGCGATAGCCTTCCGGAAGTTTACATCGGCTAGTGATGTATGGTCGATGGGGATTGTGTGCTGGGAGGTTATGTCGTACGGCGAGCGGCCATATTGGAACTGGTCGAATCAGGATGTTATTAAGAGTATAGAGAAAGGATATAGGTATGTCATAATTTAACCTTACTTCTATTTGTTTAGATTTAATGACACCCTGTATAACAGCTAAATTTGTGCAAAAATTTTGAGGTTAAAATGAAAAAATAGTAATTTATGCATAAAACACTGAAATTTTGAGGTTATTATGCATAAAATGCTACTTTTACACATAAAACTCCAAAATTTTCAGGTTAAAACACAAAAACCACCACTTTTACACATAAAACTTCGAAATTTTGGAGTTAAAATGCCAAAAACGCCATTTTTCCACATAAAACATCAAAATTTTGATGTTAAAATGCAAGAAATACTACTTTAACCCATGAAACTCCAAAGTTTTGAGGTTAAAATGCAAAAAACACTACTTTTGCACATAAAACCTCAAAATTTTGATGTTAAAATGCAAAAAATACCACTTTTGTTCGTACAACTCCGAAATTTTGAGGTTAAAAACCAAAAAACGCTATTTTCACACAGAAAACTCCGAAATTTTGAGGTTAAAATGCAAAAAATACTACTTTTACACATAAAATTACGAAATTTTGAGGTTAAAATGCAAAAAAGGCTACTTTTACACCTAAAACTCCAAAATTTTGAGGTTAAAATGCAAAAAGTACAAGTTTTGCGCATAAAACTCCCAAATTTTAAGGTAAAAATACCAAAAGTCCTCCTTTTGCATATAAAGCTCCAAAATTTTAAGGTCAATGTGCAAAAAATACTACTTTTATACAAAAAACTCCAAAATTTTGAGGCTAAAATGCAAAAAATAGTATTTTTATACATAAAACTTGAAAATTTTGAGGTTAAAATGTAAAAAATACTACTTTTCCACATATAACATCAAAATTTTGAGGTTAAAATGCAAGAAATACTACTTTTACGCCTAAAATTCCCAAATTTTGAGATTAAAATGCAAAAATTGTACTTTTATACCTAAAATACTCTGAAATTTTGAGGTTAAAATGCAAAAAACACTACTTTTACACAGAAAACTCCGAAAATTTGAAGTTAAAATGCAAAAAATACAACTTTTACGCACTATTTACCATTATACACTGTATTTTCCCACTTCTAACCCCAAAAACTTTGAATATTTAGATTGCCTGCCCCAATGGACTGCCCCGAAGCAATCTACCAACTCATGCTGGATTGCTGGCAAAAGGAGCGGACACACCGGCCGTCCTTCCAGTCAATCGTCAAGACGTTAGATCGTTTGATCCGAGTACCAGATACGTTAAGAAAAATCGCTCAAAACCGGTAAGTCAACCTAACCTCAACCTCATACTTAATTCAAATTATCTTCAATTAAATTATTTTATTTATTTTTTTGCTTTTTTTAATGCTTCTTTGCTTATTTTGATTTGCTTTAACCATTCATTTACTTTCCAGCCACTCGCCAACATTAAACTATTACCAAATGCCGGCGTCAAGCGCCTCCCATCACCACGCCTTAGCCACAGGCCACGCCCCACAAATACAAACACATTATCCCCTAACAACAATGCGCAGGGATTATTTAATCGGGCATTTAGAACAATCACCATCACTAAACTTTCAATATCAACATCAACACCAACATGCGTATCCTCCGTATCAAACACAAGCACAACAAAATTCTAGTCGTTTTAATTCGCTTAGACTTAATGACTTGTCGAGACAAAGGCGCGATTTTGAATTCGAGTATAAACAGAATAATCATGTGCAGAATCAGAATCAGAATGAGTTTTATATGTGTGATAATATTGAGGGGCGCGGCCGATGGGCGTGCGATGATGTGCAAGCTGAGATGCAGACGCAGGCGCATTACACTAGCGGGGAAGCCGGCAATTGGGTCACGTTCACGAGCAATAATTTGTGAAAAATTATAGACATTTTTACACACAATTTAACCTCTCAACACCACCTAACACCCAAAAATTTTCAATATTCACGCTTATAATCAACAAAGGTATTGTTTTCTTTGCTTTTAATTTTGCACGCACGCTTTGTTCTTCTTTTCATTAAATAAAAATTAAAATACTTTTTTCTACTTCTACCTTGTTTTGGAGTGGAAAAAGTGGCGCTTTAACCACGGCTGTGACTAAATACTTTAGTCACTGGGTGGGGCTTGAGCCTACGCATTCAAATACAAAAATTTCGATGTGGAAATTGAGTGGAAGTAGAAATAACAGCATAAGCATCACGTGGCTAAACTTTATTATACACTCGATTGATTAAACGCTCGTTTTTAATCAATCTTGTGACAAAAACTGTCGTTTAACCACTTGATACTTAATATACTATTTCTACTTCCACGAAAAGTGGCACTTTAACCACGGTCGTGACTAAAGTACTTTAGCCACAGGCTGTAACTTACGCCACAAAAGTTCAACCACAAAAACCCCAACGTAGAAATAAAGTGGAAGTAGAAAAAATCACATCGTTAAACATTCTCGTGACTAAAGTGCCACTTAGCGCACTTGATACTTAATACATGTTACTAATCCGTAAATAATTTTTCAAGGTCAACAAATCCGTTAGCAGCGGACGCACCAGACCTAACCAACTTTACCTCCGTGGAGGAATGGCTGAACTCAATCAAGATGGCGCGCTATCTACAAAACTTCGAAGCCGGCGGCGTCACGTCAATGGACGCCGTCGTCAACCTCACCGTGAAGGAACTCACCGAACTGGGCATCACTCTCGTCGGCCACCAGAAGAAGATCATGAACAGCGTGCAGAATATTCGCGCGCAGATACGCGTCAACGGCCCTGAAGGCTTTCTAGTGTAATGATAATAACAATAATAATAATACAAAAGTGATAAACTTCAAACCCATTCACACGACGAGAGTTAGCTGCCAATCAAAACATAAACAAGGAAAAAACTCATTTTGAAGAAGAAAATGAAGAGAAAAGACGAAATAAACGAAAATTATTTGTGATGTTCTCATTTAATTAACTTAACTTAAACAAAAAACGTTTAATATCTACTTAATTAGACTTAAAACTGACGACGAACGAAGGACGACGAAGAAAAACTTTGTTTGTTTTTTTTATTATTTTTCTTTCATATACTAGGACAGTATTGTTATTTTTTTTATTTAACGAATGAATGTTGTAAATTATAACACAAACGTATGTACAAGAGTATGGCCTATGGCAACGAGATACAACCGAACAGTTGCTCCGCCCATTAATAGCGCTTAGTGTGAGTGTCAGAGACGAGATAACCACACCCCTTTTACGAATACAATACGCCATGTTTTCTTTACGATTTATTCTTCTCTCTCTCGCAAGCAAAATATTGTTATTTATTTATATTAATCATTTTTAATGCAACGTGCAAGTATTTTTGTACAATATGACAATCGCCAATGATTCTTTGCGTTCGCAGCCGTGATAAGAGACGTGAAAAAATTTATAACAAAACGAGAAACACCAATTGATGAAACCATTTGAAACAAGTTTTAGTGATTTTCCTCTTCAAGTGCTAATAAATGTGTATAAATAAAAACCCAAATAATAAATAAATGAAAAGATTTCTAAATGCCATTGATAAAGAATAAAAGATTCCGTAAAAAGACGTGAATTAGGAAATTAAATTAAATATTACGTATACTTTTCTACATATCAAGAAGAAAACAATGAAAAAAGAAAAACAACTCGATGTTTAATTGGCTATTATAAACATTTAAACAATTATACGCCCGGTATAAGCATTTTTTTTAACGTAGTCGATGTTAATTCTCTCACGTGACACATGACATAACCTCTAAAATGTGTAAGATGGGCGTAGAAGTGTTTCAAAATTCGCTACACATTACTACCACCACCACCACCACATTCAGATTGGTTACTTCAATGTGTGAATTCAAACAAAAGCAATAATAATGAATGTATAAATATTTAATTGTGTACAAAAAGTGATTGATTGTACGTAAATTGTACTTAAACGCGCCTAATTTCACTCTTCGACTGATTCTACATTTGAATGAAGATTTTTAATCCAGTATTAAACATTCCATGAGTTTATATACATGCAGAGACACACGACGCAGTACTTCGACTTCTACTCTCTATCCATAGATATATTTCGTATACCTATGACGCCTAAATTTTTATATATAATAAATAAATGAATACAAACTAAACTTATCCGAATGCTGATGTAATACGAGATGGTGACAAATATGAGCGGAACGTAAACGAAGCGTATGAATATTATAATTACGATATTATAATGTCAGTGTAAAATTGTAATATATTTGTAAAAAAGGTATAATTCATATTATATAAAAACGATGAAATAGCTTAATGGATGCCTTTTTCTTTGTTTTATCATGACCCTCAGAATCACAATCAACACTTCAATCAAATTCAACCAAAAATTCTTTGTTTTTATAAGTTTTTCGTATGATTTGTTTTGTAATTTTACTTACAGTAGGTTGTTGTGGGTGTTCTGCAACTGCAGCCACTAATTTACACTATAATTAACGCGTTTTTACTTTGTTCATTGTGGGAATAAACTTGTCTGTTTTAACTTTCGAAACTTTTGATTCAAAATGGACGTTTTTTTCTGGAATGGGATGTTGTAGGGGGCAGCACCTTCCAGTGACGCTTGAATATTCTAAAGACTAGTTCACACATTGGAACTAACATATGTTACACTGTCTTTTTATTTATTACTATTTATACTAATAAATGTTTATAAATACTGCATTGCATATGTTTATTTAGCGTTTTAATCTGTTTGATTACTGGTTTAAATGATAATTACTTTTGATGGACGAAAACATAGAGATGACGAATCGAAACTTAATCAACTGGATTAAAGCACATATTCATAGAAATTTGTAAATATTTTACCTACACTAAGCAGCCGTGGGTGTTCTGTAACAGCTACCACTAATTTACACTATAATTAACGCATTTTTACTTCGTTTATTGTATGAATAAACTATTTTTGTTAACTTTCTAAACTTTTGACACAAGATGAAGTTCGTTTTTCAAAAGTGCGTTTTTGTAGAGGGCAGCACCATCCAGTGACGCTTACCAAACATTACTAAAGCTAAATTCACACTATTTGACATATTTTATTGGTTTATATTAATTTAAACAAAAAATATGAACAAATATTACTTTCAATTTGTTCAAAACTTATATTTTAACACTTTCTAAACTTTTTTAACCCTAAATCAATTAATAAATTAAATTTTTATGACAAATTGTGTATAGCCTTTTCATGGTAGGCAATTTGTGTTACACGAATGCGACACACCTAACAAAAACATTAACAGGTCGTAGAGCTGCAAACAAGTGCAGACTACAGGCTACAACTCCCTAAAAGTGACTCATTAACATTAATAATCACCAATTGCATGCGTTTACAGACGAATTAAGGTACGTACTACCTTCCCTATACCTTTTATCACCACTTGTACACTTAAATTTACTTCTACAACCAATTTATCCTAATTTTCCTTCTTGTTCTGCTTACATGTTCAATGTTTGTATTGTAAATTGAAATTATCATTACATTTGTTCATATTGATTATTTTCTTTTAGAATCTCAAAATCTCCAAGTGTGATTGTTTAACACAAGCAAAAGAAGAAGTAAACAGTCATGAATTATGGAAAGAAGTCACCGACTGGTACACCATCAGTGTACTCCCATGTCACTACCAGATCAAGTGCTAACCTGAGAAGTGGACCCAGTATTAAGTCCCTCAGGACACCATGGTACCAGAAACCTATTGTATCCACTGTGGCGTTCATGGATGTACAAAGGGCTGCGTTTTATATGGGATTCTTTTCACTTGTAAGTTGATTTTTTGCATAATTTTCGTGTTTTTTGTTGGTAATTTTGTTGTAAGTTTAATAACAATAGAGATATTGAGTTGGTTTAAAGTGTAGGTGATGTACAGATACATTGTTAATCAATTTATAAAATTTGGAAGATATTGATTGAGTAGGTTTAAAGTTATCAACAAAAATTTTGTTTTCGGAATATTTTCATGATTTTTGTTACTAAATTGTTTATAACTATTGAAATAATTGGAATATCTACTTGAATTAAAGTTTAGGTTATGCAGAAACACAATGTTAATCATCATAGCAAATATGAAACATATTGATTGAGTAGTTTTTGAGTTATCAACAAAATGGCGGAGAAAATTAAGTTTTAGCAATATTTTCATGCTTTTTGTTACTAAATTGTCTGTAACTTTTATAATAATTGCTATATTTGCTCGAATTAAAGTTTAGGTCATATAGAAACATGTTTTTAACAAGTATACCAAAGATTAATATTGCATTAGTAGTTTTAAAATTATCAACAAAATAGTTGAAAAATTGCCACTTTTGTAATTTTTCATGATTTTTGTTACTAAATTGCCTGTAACTTTTATAATAATTAACATTTTTAATCGAATCAAAGCTTAGATTATCAACAATTGACTATTTAATCACCATACCAATTTTGAGAAGTATTAACCCAATAGTTTTCAAGTAATCAACAAAATGGCGTCGAAGTTCAACCTTTTTTTTACCATTTTCCACGATTTTTATAAGAAAATTGACTATAACTCCCAAAATAATTATCATCTCAACTTAATTCGAACTTCAGACAATACTCAAATTAATATTTAACTAATACACACCGATTTTAAACCTATAACTCAATGTTTAACCTCTTATTTTGCCCATTTTTAGGGTCTAGCAATATTCACCGCAGTAACAGCGTGTTTCGACCTCTACTGCTACTCAATGGCCGCCCCTGGCTCAACACACTACGGCTACTACGTCCTCTCCTACCAATTCGTCTATGTTGGTAACCGCCATGGTAAATACGCCCTCTATAACCTCAATTTTCAACCCTTTCCAAATAAAAATACAAAAAAACTAATAAAATATTCTCATTTTCAGTACGCAACGCATTAGTAATGTTCGCCGTCTTCTCCCTACTGCTCTCCCTAGCCGTATTCGTCACCTCAATAATGGTAATAATCGCCGTACGCAAAGAACACGAGAAACGCATCGTGCCATGGCTGTACGTCTTCGGCGTATATACCGTATTCAGACTGCTGGCGTATTTATTCTTCGCGATTGTCAACGACTTGACGTTCGCGTATAATATTCTGGTCGTCATCTTCTGGACGCTGTTTTAGTCGTCTGTATCTACGGATGGATCATTGTGTACTCGTTTTATGTGGAGCTGAAGGATCTGACCAAGTTGGAGGACTTGGCTCATCTTAGAGTAAGACTTTTCCGTATGCATGCGATACTTTTCTACTTACTGAATGTGAATGTGTATGTGATTGAGGTGTTGAGGTGTTTTGCTTGACTAATGTGTATCTTGCTAACTATTTCATGCTAACTTTGGGTGATGGTATTGGTGGTGGTAGACTTTAGAGAGGTTGCAACTATATCGTGGTAATGTACTCGTAGAATTATGATTAATTATTTTTGTTTTTGAGAGTTTTTTGATTGTAACTTTTTGGTGGTGTGGATGTGTGTTCTTAAGAGGCTTGCAAAGTTTGAGATTGTTTGAGTTGTTGGTTTTTGAAATATTTGCAAAATGGCGATGGATTTTAGTGTTTTTCTTGTTACTTCATGTATTTTTGGTATAAAATTGCCTGTAACTTTGGTAATTATTAATATTTTGCAGTTGTTTAAACTTTATAGCATAAACAGATAAATATTTAAAGTATTTGGAGAGTTTTGATGATATTCAACAAGTAGAAACTCAGTTATTGACAAAATGGCGTTGAAATTATGGTTTTTATTACTAAATTTGTTGTATTTTCAATAATAATCAATATTTTTGATTTATTTAAACTTTAGATGATAGATTAATAGTTCCTTTATAGATTTGCAAAGTTTGATTGATATGCAATAATTAATAGTGGCAGAAAACTACAAAATGGCGTATATTTTGAGTATTTCTCGATTTTGACTTGTTTTTTGTTACTAAATTTGTTGTAACTTCAACAATAATCAATATTTTACTTTAGTTTAAACTTTAGACGATAGATTAATACATACTTTATCTATGAGCAGAGTGTGATTTAAATTCAGTAATTAATACCAACAGAAAACCACAAAATGGCGTATATTTTGAGTATTTTTCTATTATTTCCTGTTTTTTGTTACTAAATTTGTTGTAACTTCAACAATAATCAATATTTTTACCTAGTTTAAACTTTAGGTGATAGATTAGTATCTCTTTTATAGTTGAGCAAAATTTCATTAATGTGCAATAATTAATACGAGCAGAAACAAACCAAATGTCGAATATTTCGAGTATTTTTCAATTCTTTTCCAGTTTTTTGTTATTAAATTAACTGTAACTTCAACAATAATTAATATTTTGATATATTGATTTAATATTTAAACGTTAGCCTATAAACATGTACATTCTTTAAGAACATACAAATTTTCAACAATATTCAACAATTAATACCGCCGCAATCAACAAAAATAATTTTTTAATAGTTTTACCATGATATTTGCTACTAAATTGCTTATAACTCTTACAATAATCAATATTTTACAACAATTCAAACTCTAGACCATAAATATACTCCCCTTAACCAATATACAACTTCTAAACAACTTTGCACTTGTATCTCTTAAGATATAAACAAAAACACGCCGCATTTCAACTAAATATTTACTTAATTTTTCTCTATTTTTTTAACAGATGGGCACCATGCAGTCCCTGAACGCTTCGACTCTCCCGTCTCTAGCGGGCTCACGCCCGACGACGCCACACAGCACCGTCTCGACGATGCCTGTCAGCTGAGCACGGCGACCACCACCTACCACACCACCCCGCAGGACGCCGCCGCCGGCCCCTCGCGCTCCATCTCCTTCTTCACCGACACCGACCTGAGCATCGCCACCACCTCCACCATGCCCATCGAACAAGTGGTCTACGAGCGGTACTTGGGCAACATTTAAACCCCAACCACTTTTATTAAACTAATCAAATTAAACGCACAATCAATCGAATTATAATCAAAACAATCAAATATGCCTTAACATATCTCTTTTGAGAGTTGACTTTTGAAGGATTGAAAGATTTAAAGATTTATTAATTAGTACAATAACTCGTAATATTAAATTAGGCATATCTAAGGCATAGTCTATTGTAGTTGTTCCGTCCACTAGAGTTTATACCGTGTTCATTTTTGTGCACAAATCGTAAATGTTGAATTTGTATTTGTTAATATAATAAATTTTCCGTCCACGCGAATAAGTTTAACATCTCAACGAATTTTTATACAATTTTTATATATCTATAGATATGTAATGTTTAATTATTGTGCACAACACAAGCGATATGCATGTTTTTGTAACTTGTAAGTTGGTATATCAAGTAAATGTTATCGCCAAGCGAAAAAATATGATTTGTGTGACTGTTTGTTAACTTACATGTCTGAATTGTTTTGGTTTGGATGACCCCGAATGCAGGGAATGCATTTTATTGCGGAATGCATTGTTTATGTGCATTGCGTGTGTGGAATCGGTAAAATGGCGTTTTTATGATTTTTGTTGGATAATTGCTTGTAACTTTTGTGAAAATTAATATTTTTGTTTGATTTATAGTGGAGATTGTGGGGAGATATATTGTTTATTATTGGGCAAAATTTAGAAGAAATTCTTTGGGTGGATTTTGTTTAATTGGTAATATGGTGACTGATTTGCTAGTTTTGTGGGAATTTTATGATTTTTGTTAGGAAATTCGTTGTAACTTTGGTGAAAATTAATATTTTGACTTGATTCAAAGTTGAGGTTATAGCCAGATAAATTCTTTATAATTGTGCGTATTTTTAATGAATTCTGTTGAGTGAATATGGCGTAATCATCAAAATGGCGTCGAATTTCATAAGTTTGTTACATTGCCATGTTTTTTGTTAGTAATTTGATTGTAACTTGAAAAATAATTAATATTTTGACTTCATTCAAAGTTGAGGTTATGCCCAGATACATACTTTATTAACATACCAAATATAAAAGCGATACACTCAGTAGATTTTGTATAATCATCAAAATGGCGTCAAATTTGCTAGTTTTGATGCATTTTCATGATTTTTGTTACTAATTTGACTGTAACTTTAACAATAATCAGTATTTTTACTTTTTTCAAAGTTGAGGTTATGCCCAGATACATACTTTACTAACATATCAAATATAAAAGCGATACACCCAGTAGATTTTGTATAATCGCCAAAATGGCGTCAAATTTGCTACTTTTCCTACATATTCATGTTTTTTGTTACTAATTTGATAGTAACTTTAACAATAATTAATATTTTGACTTCATTCAAAGTTAAGGTTATGCCTAAGTAAATTCTTTAACCCCATACCAAATTTAAGACTGATACACCCAGTAGATTTGACACAATCGACAAAATAACCTCAAAATTACTATGTTTTCTATCATACCACGTTTTTTACTACTTAATTAACAATATCTTTGTAACTAATTAATATAACTAAAAAATTCAAACTACAAATGAATCATACATTCATAATAAAACAATATTCAAAATTTCAACAACATCCAACCACTACATCCAAACTTATCAAACAAAATAATTCTCATTATGTTTGTCACGGCATTACTATACCACACAAAGTCGCAGTATCGCATCTTATATGGGTTAATTGCTCACGCAAAACGTGCATCGCAATCTAGAACGGCCTTCCCACCTGCCCACCTGTATCATACCGCACATACATTGTATTTATCCACCTACTTATTTCCATTTGCTTGCATTGTACTCGTCTGTTCGTCTGCGTTACTGATTATTATGTAAAACGCATCGCAACGTATCCTACAAGTTATAATTTATCGTTTTGCTTGTCATACGGAACCGACTCGGACTCGGATTCAACTTGTACATTTTATGTTTTAAGTTGCAGGAGAATTTTGGCAGTGCCAAAACGTGCGCTGAATGATTCCAAGTGGATAAATCGTGTAGAAACATTGATGTAATGTGTTATTTGCGATGCGTGTCGCGTGCAAGGCAAAAACAATGCAATATTTATATAGTCGCAGGGTATAATAACAAAAAATGATAGTTAAACACGGATAGTGAACATTCTCGAAGATAATTCGTGTTGGTTGAGTCATGGTTTAGTAGTTTCTTATCAAAATGTTCGAGGAAATGTAGTTTTATTGCGTTTTGGTTGTTTAAAAGCTTGTAACTTTTGTAATTATTAATATTTTGTTGAAATTTATAGTTTGGGTGATGAGTAAAAATATTTTTAAGAAACAGTCATAGTTTGAGAAAGATTGGATCAGTAGTTTTCATGTTATAAACAAAATGGCGTCAATTTTAGTGTTGTTGTTACTAAATTAGTTATAACTCTAACAATAATTAATATTTCTTCATAATTTAAACTTTGGGCGATGGATACACTCTTTGGTTAGAAAAATGCTAAGTTTGAAAGAAATTGACTGGATATTTTCGCCATTATTAACAAAATGGCGACCAAAATACGGTTTTTCTTACTTAATTAGCCATAACTTAAGTAAAAATTAATATTTTCTTAAAATTTAAACGATAGGTGATGAGTAAGTATATTTTTAAGAATCAGTCTAAGTTTGAGAAAGATTGGTTCAGTAGTTTTCATGTTATTAACAAAATGGCGTCGATTTTAATGTTTTTGTTACTAAATTAGTTATAACTCTAATAATAATTAATATTTCTTCATAATTTAAACTTTAAACGATGGACAAACTCTTTGGTTAGGAAAATGCCAAGTTTCAAAAAAATTGGGTACATATTTTCGCCAATATTAACAAAATGGCGCCGAAACTTCTGCTTTTTTTACTTAATTAGCCCTAACTTTGGCAATAATTAATATTTTAACTCGATTCAAATTTCAGATGATAGATAATTTCTATCTTAACCAGCATACCAAAATTCAAAAGTATTGCACAAGTACTTTCTCTACAATCATCAAAATAGCATCAATTTTTGCATAAATTTTACAATTTATACATTTTACACCAAAAATCCCTCAAAAAAAGACCATCGCATGCCCGCAAACAAAAGAAACTTCCCCTGATTAGCCCTCCTAATCATTTCCATCACTTCCCTGCGATATCCCACACGCAAACCGCTCAAACACTTTCGTTTTCCACCATTCGCGTGTGCAAGTTAAAAATAATCAATAGAATATTATTCTACAGCCGTAGAAAACAGCGTAGACGTAGTACAACTCGTAAACCCCCTCTCAGCCAATAAAATAATTCATTATATACTTTATTGCTTATCACGATTACCATTTTAATTGGTTTTTCTTCAATTAAAATTACCGTCGAGTACGCGTCGAAGGTTAAAACCATCGTCAATCGAATTTGATCAAATATTTGTACGCACACATGAATAAATCATGTATTAATCAAAACATAAGATGCTGGTAGCAATTAAATACGTAAATTACTCACAATTACATTCAATTGCGCTCAGTGTATCAAGTCAAGTCAGCATAGAAAGGAAAAATTCTAACCTAAAAACCAAGAAAATCGTTAATTCAAATAAAGAGAGGTTAAAAATGCGATTTCATAAGAAAATCATTACTAGTAATATTGTTTAGGGATATTTTTATGTGTTAAACATAATATTTAACAATATATACCTTTGTTACGATGATTATTCATCAAAAAATAACAACAAACACGCGCAAACAACTGATAATCACACTTCAAATGCAAAAAGCTGTCATTTAAATTCCGACAGTTTTGCAACCTTTTTTGACAGCTGCGAATAAAAATGGCTGACGGTGATTTTGAAATTTGAAAAAAGCAAGGTTATCCATTTACCGGCGTGTTCTAGTATTCAGAAAAACGTAAAAATAAAAAGAATCAAATTCAAAACAATTTTCATTCATGCTCATAACCATGGATTGGTTGCAGGTTCCACATAGCGGTGTCCAGCCGCGCGACGCTTCGACGGGTGTGTGCACTGCACGCGTTTGTTAACCAATCAACCGTCGACAGAGACTCACACCGCATACGCACACAGCCAGAGTAATACAGCATAATACAGTATACAGTCAAATTTGTCATAGCGCTGCAGTGTTATACTCACAATCCTATCATACAACACATTTTACTTTTACCGTTTCTTTTCGGGGTGGTGCCGCCGGTTTCGATTTCCTTGTCTTGTCGCGCATCACGTTGCTCGTGATTCATCCATTCACATTCATTCGTGTATATCAAGGCGTTGACTAAACACTAACCAAAAACATAAATCTAAACAACTCAAACTTAAAACTAGAAGTTGTTATATTGTGTGTTTAGATTGATGTTAAGTTAAAGAACCAACCATGCTGTACGTGTTGTAAACCTGTCTAACGTATACAATCCGTGAAGATGTTCAGTGAGATCTACGAAGCATTCTGGAACCCAGTGGTTTGGCTGCCACCGAACACAACCTGGGCAGATATCGCACCTGGAGCGAATCCGGATGTTGAACATGCAAATTCACGACATTTGCTTGTCCCACTTGGTTTGGCTGGTGTATTATTCATTCTACGCTGCACATTAGAAAAGTAAGTAAATTTTTCTTCGATAAAACACTTTAAAAACACATAAAATGTATAAATTTGTTATTAATTTTGTTAATTTTTAGATATTGGTTCTCACCAGTTGGAATCTCCCTTGGAATAAAGTCTAATCGACCAAAGAAAGCCCCCTCGAACCCAGTCCTAGAAAAAGCCTACATAAGCACACGTAAACTAAAACACAAACAAGTCCAAGGCTTAGCCAAACAACTTGATTGGTCTGAGCGTCAAGTTGAGCGTTGGTTGCGCCTGCGCCGTATCCAAGACAAGCCATCCACGTTGATCAAATTCTGTGAGACTTCCTGGCGATGTCTCTACTACACTTTCTCGTTCACCTATGGATGTATTGTGTTGTGGGATAAGGAATGGCTGTGGGATATCCAGAAGTGTTGGAGGGATTATCCGCACCAGTCGGTGTCGACTGACATCTGGTGGTATTACATGTTCTCGCTGGCGTTCTATTGGGCGCTGTGCTTCTCGCAGTTCTTCGATGTGATGCACAAGGACTTCTGGCAGATGTTCGTGCATCATCTGGCGACGATTGCGCTGATGAGTTTCTCATGGGTGTGTAATATGACGCGGATTGGATCGCTGGTGTTGTTGTTGCATGACTGCGCGGATATTTTCCTGGAGGCGGCCAAGATGGCGAAGTATGCTGGGTATCAGAAGCTGTGCGATGCGGTGTTTGCGGTGTTTACGCTGCTGTGGATTATTACACGCATTGGGATCTTTCCGATGTGGATTATTAAGAAGTAAGTGGTTTAAGTTTGGGGTTTTAGGTGTTTTTGAGGTTATGAATGGTGTATTTTGCTTGAAATTAGTTAATTATGGTAAATTATTGGTTGGTTTATGTTGTGGTGGTGTAATTTTGTGTTGTTTTGGATGTTTTTGTTGATTTTTAGGTTAAAAATTGGTTAAAATGCGAAATTTTGTGGAAGTTTTAAGTAAAAACACAAAATTTGTTTAAAATTGATGTAGTATTCTGTAAAATGGTTAATGATTGGTTATTTTGTGTTTATTCACGTTTTGTTTTGGTTAATTATGCGCTATTTTGAACTTTTTGATAAATTTTAAGGTTAGTTACTTGTTCACCGCGTTGTTTGGTTAAAATTTCATGTTAAATCACATAATTAGCTATAGATTGACGTAGTTTTTCGTAAAGTTACTAATTATCAACTGTTTTGTGATAATTTACATCGAGTTTTAGCAAATCTTGTGTTATTTCTTGATTTTGATCGATTTAAAGGTTAGAAACATGAAAAACTCGTGTAAAACACGCAATTTTGTTAAAATTTCATGTAAAACAACATAATTAGCCATTAATTGACGTAGTTTTTCATGAAGTCATTAATGATCAGCCATTTTGTGTTAATTACATTGATTTTTAACAAATTTTGAGTTAGTTCTACATTTTTAGTTGTTTTGAAGGTTAGAAACATGAAAAACACGCAATTTTGTTAAAATTTCATGAAAAAACACATAATTAGCTATAAATTGACGTAGTTTTTCTTAAATGCATTAATTAACGGCCATTTTGTGTTAATTTACATTGAATTTTAGCGAATTTTGTGATATTTCTACGTTTTTAGTTTATTTGAAGGTTAGAAACATGAAAAACACGCAATTTTGTTGAAATCTCATGTAAAAACACACAATTATCTATAAATTGACGTAGTTTTTCTTAAAGTTACTAATTACAAGCCATTTGACGTTAATTTAAATTGCAATTTTGTGTTGTTTTTACTTTTTTGGCTGATTTGTAGGTTAGAAACATGAAAAACCCACAATTTTGTTAAAATTTAATCAAAAACCACACAACTAACCCAAAATTTAAATGTTTTCCATTCTACCTCCGCCATTTTGTACGAATTTCACCATTTTTTAAGCTTTTACTAATCAAAAATATCTTCTTTTCCAGTACAATGTTTGATGCACCAAAGATAGTCCCAATGTTCTTCGCCTATTACATCTTCAACAGCCTGCTGGTCCTCCTGCTGTGCCTGCACATCTTCTGGACGTACCTCATCCTGCGCATCGTGCAGACCGCGCTCAACTCCGGCCAAATGGAGGGCGACATCCGCTCGAGCAGTTCCAACTACAGCGAGGACGACGCGTCGCAATAATCTACACCCACCTCCCTCACACACACAAACACATACACACGCATTAAATATATATGAATGATTATATATATAAAGAAAAGATAAGAAACACATTCATTTAGATAGCATGACATAAAAATCACACAATTTTCAAGTCTTTTTAGAACTGTTGTAGAACGGCGTTGAGCTGTGGTGGCGCTTTATTAACGAGTTGTTTTGTTGTTGATTATATGATATTTTTCTCTCCAAACTCTCCAAACGTTCCATGAAACGAAAAAGATCGAATCTAATATTTGTATAAAATGTGTTCGTACAAATTAGTTACGTCTATAAACTAAATAAGTTAAATGTAAACGCATGTTGGAGGCGAGTGAGAGTCGGGGCATTAGTTATTCATTGATTACTCGTTGTGTAATTATGTTAGGTGTGTAATTGTTTCAGTGGTTGATTCTGTGTTAAATTCTGCGTCTTATTGTGAAAGAATTGTGTGTTTAAGATGATTACATGAAAAGTTATGAACAATTTAAGTTGAGAAATTGTTCAAAATCAAACATTGATGGAAATTTGCCTGTAACTTTTGATAACGTGGTGTTATCAATATGATTTATATATAGAACAATTCAGAATTTAATTGTTTATAAGTAGGTGAAGAAATTATTTATGTACATTGATTAGTCTCTGAGTAATTGTCGAATCCCGAAAAGGCGTTAATAATTTTTTGCGTTTTTTGTCATTTATTGTAGTTATTGATTAATTACTCGAAAACTATTATTCAGATTGAACTTATTTTCTGATTAGTCGATTGTTATTTAAATTCTGTATTTAACTGTGAAAAGATTTTGTTGATACGATTTTTCAACAAAAAGTTATTGACAATTATGTTGGGAAAATTGACAAAGTGAATAGAAATTAGTCTGTAACTTTTGATAAGATGATGTTATCATTATAATTTTTGCGTAGATAGATCCGGAATTTAATTCTGAGTTGTTTTGTGATTTAATCATTTAGATAAATTGATTAGGTTCCGAGTAATTAATGAATAACTTGAGACAAACATAGAATTTGTCATTTTTTGGAAACATTTTGTGTTTCCTATTAGTAATTAATTAATTACTCGAAAACTATTTGAACTACAGAGATAATTCCTTCAACAATACATTCTCAATTAAATTCTCGATTAAACTACGAAAAAAATAAGTTAAACAAATAATTAACCAAAAAGTTATAAACAATTGAATTGAATTTTCATAAAATTCTCAATACCAACACAAAAATGTCTGTATCTTTGGATAATTCAATATTATCAATATAATACTTATACAATTAGATACAGAATTTAATCCTGAATCAACCACTGAAGAAATAATTCCGATATGTTAATTAGTTTACGAGTAATTCACGAATAACTAACTAATGATAATGTTTGCGCCCCGACTCGGTGAGTTTGTACCGTACCGCATTTACACAACTACATTACATTACGAACTTACATCTTACACACAAACAAACATTGATTGCTGCATTTAGAGTGCTGAATATGTGAGCAAATAAATATTCAGTCGCTGATACAATAAGTAAATGTTTAACCATCCATTATTTACACATGCGTCGAACCATCGTCGAACGCCGGTAGACAACATCAAGTATATTACATGTGGTTGAAAATGCGATTACATAAATATTTGCGGATGATAACAGGCGATTAATCTACTACTACAAGTAAGTGAAGGAAATACAACTTGAATTTACTACTGACAAACTCGAATTGCAATGTTTGGGTTTATACATTGCAATTCTTGAAATTTGTGTCTCAACAGGTAATATCACTGAATATTTTCATCAGTTTTCGTTATTTCGTGATGAAATCTATAAAATTTACCAAATTACTAAACAAACGCGATTTTAATCAAACAAAAGTTAAGATAAATTAGAATTAAGCGTGTATCACTCGCCATTTTCTTGAAATCGGTGAAATTTGTCATGTGGTGATGTAATTATAAACAAGTTCGATAAATTCTCCTAACCAGAGATTAAAACATGACAAATCCATCTTAAAATTTGATGAATTTCAGGTACTTACTACGAATTAGACAGTTTTCTTATAAAATCGGGTCTTACGTCACTATTCTATGAGTAATTTAACAATTTTTGTAAATTTGAGGTTAAAAACTAACAAATTTCACTAAAAATTCATGTTTTCATCAATTGATATCATTTTAGCTAATTTTTTACATTTTCTGATATTCAGAGACTAAAACTTGACAAATTAGTCATCTTGTTACAAATTTACATCTTAAAATTCAATTCTATAATTAATTCAACAGTTTTTTGCAAATTAGAGGTTAAAACTAAGCAAATTTCACTAAAATTTAATGATTCTCTCAAATTATGACGTAATGTTGTCATTTTCAGTGCAATTTCGACTAACTTTCTTATTCAGAGATAAAAAGATAACAAATCCGGGTTACAATTAGATAAATTACACGTACTTACAACGAATTAGGCATTTTCACTATAAATTCAGAGCTTACATCACTATTCTATGATTAATTTAACAGTTTTTACAAGTTTGAGGTAAAAACTCACCAAATTTCTCTTTAAACCATCCATTTTCTCTATAAATTCACATGTTACAACACTATTCCATCATAAATTTAACTATATTTCAATTTTAAGGTTAAAATAACCTATTTTCGATTAAATTAATAACATTTAGCCCAAAACAAACGCAAATTCATCTCCAAACAACCGGAAATGCAACACAGATGGTGACAATGATCCATCCACACTCCATTTTGGATATCCGCACATCTGCCAATGTAATTCCTTGAATTTTGTTGATAAAACCACGCGATTGGCTTACAACCTATGACAAAAAACACCAACAACTGCTATTTTCACATGCCGACACCATTTCGCTTTCATTTTTAACAATTTAGGCTATCACACGCCATTTTGAAAGTGTTTAACTCACATTTGAGGTCAAAACCACCCCAATCATCTTCCAAACAATATTTACCTAACCATAAATCCCTCAACTCCCACCACTTTCACTTTGGAAACAATCGCTTCCTAAGATTCCTAAAACTACTCTTCCGCTTCGGCAATGGCGGCTTCTCCTCCTCCTGCTTCTGTCCATCCCAATTCTGCGCAAAAACAAGACTAATCCTCTTCTGTTCCTTATCCGCCCTCTTCGCAGTATTACTATTACTCCTCCGTCGAAAACTCTGCCGCATACTCTCCGTCCTGTTACTAATAAACGTCTTGCTACGCTGCAGTAAAGATGGCCGCTCGGTGTCATCAATCACATACACCGGCGCATCTCTCCTCGGTCCAGGCAGTCTTTCAACACTCACCGCAACAGTATTATCACCCTCACGTTCAACTCTTGCAATATTTCCACTTCTAACACTGCTACTCCTTTTAACATTGACATTAACATTAATATTAACATTATCTCTGCTTGTATGCGCAGAACGTCCACTGCGCACACTTTCCAACAACGACCGATTGGATATCGAAACATTCCGACACGCTTTCTCTAAGGATGTGTCTCGGGAAAGATCGTCATACGAAGTGGAAGCACCAAGATGGCGGCCATCATCACTACGTTGTGAAATATGTGAGTTTTGTGTGTTTAGTCGTGGTGGTATATACAAATCCGTAGTAGAATTACTTCTTCCATGTACTTTTAATAATCCATTGGTTGTTGTTGTTGTAGATGCAGGTGCAGGTGGTGTGACTTTCAGCACAGGTGGCGTTGACGGCGTACGTGGATATTTCGGTATGTATGTTGGGTTGACGCGTAATAGCGGTGTGGTTGGTACTGGTGTAGGCGTCCGTAGTAAATCTGCATGTGTGTGCGCTTGCGCATGTGCACGTTTGACTTGTTTTGTATTCGATGTACGTGTATGCATTTTGTTATTTTATTTTTCTTTTGTTTTTGTTATAGTTTTTGTTTTAATAATACACAGAATTAATTTAGACTGAAATTGTGTGTTGCGTTTAGTTACGTTGTCGGTGTGAGACTGAGCGCGTCGCGGTCGTTATCACAGCATTTATTATTTTGAGATAAGCAATGAATCAACTTGAACAAAACATTTGATATTTGAATCACAAATTCGGACGGTTTTGGACTTTATTTTGTTGGTTTTATGTATAAATACTCAATAATACCTTTGTTTGTGTTTGTGGAGTGTATTTCCGGGTGATTGAGATGTATATGGACGCCATTTTACTGTGGGTAAAGAAAAATATAGTTTAAATGTTTTATTTATGAATAACTCATGAATTAATAAAGATAGAAGAATAATTCTTTTTGGAATTGATTCTATGCTTAATTCTGCGTGTGTTAGTTGTTAATTTGTGTTGTTATCATGATTTGATAAAAACTTATAAGCAAAAATATGATTTTTTCATGTTTTTTGTTGTAACTTTTTATTTTGACGTTTGATTTCTATGAAATTTTGCAAATAGATGCAGAATTTCATAATAAATTTATATCTGAAGAGAAAATAGGTGTAAGTCTTTTAGTTTTCGAGTTATTAAATATTTTACCTTCAAATACGGACGCTATTTTACTGTGGGCATAGAAAAATATAGGTTATAATGTTTTATTTTTGAATAACTCGTGAATTAATAGAGATAGAAGAATAATTCTTTCAGGAATAGATTCTATGTTTAATTCTGAGTGTGTTAATGGTTAATTTGTGTTGTTATCATGATTTGATAAAAAGTTAGAAGTAAAAATATAATTTTTTCATGTTTTTTGCTGTAACTTTCTATTTTCTTGTTCGTTTTGTATGAAATTTTGCAAATATATGCAGAATTTCATAATAAATAGATATTTGAAGAGAAAATAAGTGTAAATCTTTTAGTTTTTGAGTTATTTAACATTTTACGTTCAAATACGGACGTCATTTTACTGTGGGCATAGAAAAATAGAGGTTAGAATGTTTTATTTTTAAATAACTCGTGAATTAATAGAGATAGAAGAATAATTCTTTCAGGAATAGATTCTCTGTTTAATTCTGCGTGTGTTAATCCTTAATTTGTGTTGTTATCATGATTTGATAAAAAGTTATAAGCAAAAATATAAAATTTTACCATTTTTCACGTTTTTCGACTGTAACTTTTTATTTTAACGTTTGTTTTCCATGAAAATTTGCAATCAGACACAGAATTTAATAATAAATAGACAGGTGAAGAGAAAATAGCTGTAAATCTTATAGTTTTTGAGTTATTTAGGATTTTCTGGCTGTTTTTACCTTCAAACACTAATTAATAATTAGATCGTTGACTCGGAGGTGGCAAATTATTAATATACGCTTGCGTCTGGCTCTGTGTACGTGTCCCCAGTGATTGTCCATCATTCGCCGACAATTTCCGTGTTAACAATGCATTTACTACCGAAAAACAAACAAAAAACATCAAATATCAACACATAACATAACCTCAAACCCCGCAACACTCTCAACATACATTTTATAGCTTCCTTGTACTGTTTATCCAGATCCTGCTGGGTTTTCCGCGCTAAAAATATCTCATTCTGCAACATTTGGACTTTCTCCGGCCCATATTCCATTTTATAATCCTTCAAATCCTGTTGCTGACCTGCAACTTCCCTTTGAAGATTCTGTATTGTCTTCTCACGATTATCCAATGTTTCCTTCAACAAATCGTAATCTTTTGACAGATTATCATATTGATTGTTGAAGTTGACAAGCATAGAATTAGCTTGCACTAAATCCGCGGCGATTTCATCGTGCATCTTCGTTTTCTGCGCGATTATCAACGTGGCTTCCTGGAGATCACGTTTTAGGACATCCTGTATATGAAAATTTAATTTTGAGGTTATAATTTGTATAATTTAATGTTTTAGGTTAACTTACGATTGTTTTAACGTTATCTTCACTCTGTGCTTGTTTCTGATGCAGTTGTCTTCTTACAGCTGACATTTCCTCATCCAAATTACCTTTAATTAACCTTAAATGATCCACCTCCATTTTGTAATCATCAATAAGCTTAATATTTCTCTCGTTTTCCAACCTCAACGCTTGTAATGAGCATAATAACCGTGCATTCGACTCACACTTGAGTCTATTCTCGTTCTTTAACACTTCCATGTCATTTTGTAGTTTGACATGCCTCCGGCCGAGTTTTGACAGTTTATCCAAGATATTTCCTTCGACTGCATTGAAAGACGCTGTAAATTTATTAGTAACTAGTGTTAATTGTTCCCGACAATGTGTTTCAAGTCTTATTTTCTCTAAATTGAGTGTTTTTAATGAGTTATTCACTCGTTTGAGGTTAGATGTGGTCGTTTCTAGTTGCTGAGTGAGGTTATGATTGTCCAGTTTGACACTTTCGAGGTTTTTCGCCATTTCATCAATGATTGCACCCTGGTTGGTTACTTGTAGTGTTAGAGAGAGTAATATTAATGATTTTAGACGTGATTTTTCATAGAATATCACTTCACAAGCATTTTGAGTGGCTTCCAGTCTTAAAAAGCTTAAAAATAGATAAAAATTAGTTTAATTTGTTAGGTAATGTGTAAAAATATATCTTACATGTCTTGATCTTTAACTTCTTTAAGCATGATTAATAATTGTTGAGGTAATTCATCGAAATCAATCTCTAAATGTTGATCATTCCTCATTGCGGTGAATAGGACATTGTCAATCTCACCAGTGAAGTTAAACTTGTAATTATTAACTTCTTGAACGTTAATTACCTGTAAAATAATCTGTATTAGTATTCTAGATAATTATATGTAGTAATTTATTATGTTTACCAGTTTATAATTGTAAAAATGTGTAATTTTTACTGCAATTGTTCGAGTAGTAGGAGTTTTTGACTCAAAATGCACTGCAACATTGTGCTGATGGTCATATATGACTGTTCCTTTATTGTAATCCATCTTTAGTACATTTTCTACTTATTTCTAGGTGTTTATAGGCACTTCGTGGTAAATTATAAGCAAAATAATGGATGAAAATGTACAATTCAAACAGAGGACAACGGTTTTCTGGGTTATGTTTGACTCGTTGAATGTTTAATAAATTTTCAAACTTTTAACGCCTTCTTTTTGTTACATTTAAGAAAAATAAGAGTTAATAATACTTTAAGAGTTATAATAATTATGTTGAAGGTTTGAATGCGTAAATATAATCTAATTTATTAAAAGATTAAAATAAATTAACATTTAGAACATAGGCTGCCATCTAAACATGTGTTATGAAACTAGAATCAGCTGTGTTTGTTTTGTTTGCAAAAGTTCGAAATATTTTCAAGAAAAAACGAGATATTTCTGTAAATACACATAAATCATGCTTATACCAGTGCAGTTCAATAAACTATGTGTATTAGGCGTGAATATCAACACATTTTTAAGGTGTACAAGTCGTGGATTGCAAACAATCACCGAAACAAAATCATCCAAGGCACAGAAATCAGGTATAACCTTAAGAGGTTTAGTTTTTAATTAATTATTACAAAACCAAACATGATACAATTATAATTCTTTCAAATATGGTTCTTCATTTAATTCTGCATCTATTAACATTAAATTTATATGTGTAACTTGTTTATTTTTATTTTTATACGTAAAAGAGTATCGTGTTTGCCAAGAAGTTGAAGTGATACTTATTTTATCTGTAACTCGAAAACTATTTAATCAATTTAAGTGATTGTTATTTCACTAAATTAAGAATTAATTAATCTATAATTCCTGAAAGAATCATGATTGTACTGTGTTTGGTTCTTGAGATATTACACAATAAACTAACGAAAGCATTCTTTGAGGTTAGAAGTTGAAATTCCCGGAAATATCGAGTTTTCTCCCGATTTACATGCGGAATCCAGCAAATTTCAGTCGGATTTACTCAAATCCATGACTGTATACGAAGGCTTCCTCTCTGAGAAAGAAGAATCCTCGATTCTGAATGAAATCGAGCCGTATTTGAAGAAAATGCGTTATGAATTTGATCACTGGGATGATGTAAGTGAATTTCATCAACTATATCATTAATTATTTTATTATAACTTGTGTGGGGCACTTGTGTATTAGGCAATTCATGGCTTCAGAGAAACCGAGCGTTTGCAATGGAATGCAGAGAATCAAGAAATATTGAACAAAGTTCGTCGTTTGGCGTTTCCACCGGAAGTTAAACAATTGAAATTCGTGCATATTCTGGATTTGGACGCAAAGGGATATATTAAGCCACATATTGATGCTATAAGAGTAAGTATATTCCTTTTAAAGTTAATTTTATTAGAGTAATGTGTCCGCAAACACTTGAAAAATACTTTTATTGCGTTTTTTATCCGAATCGCAAGTTTGACATGAAATAACCAAGAAACTAGTTGAGATAATTTGTTTATTCTTTTGACAAGTGAAAAGTAGTTTATTAAAGAGTATTCCTGTTAAATTTTATTGTTGTATCTAGATTAGTTTGATAATTACAATCCAAAATGTGAGAAAAAACATAATTTCAAAATTTGGAATATTCCAACTTTTTTCATTAACTTTGCAAGCGAATAACGGACAAACTAACAATGATATTATTATTTTCTTTTCACCAATCGATAAATAAACAAATTAAGAATTCATTTGTAAAATTTTGTTGAATTATACTGAGTGGTTCAGAAATTCAAATTTCGCTCAGAAAACATAAAATGACAAAATACCACTCGTTCATTTTATATTTGAAACTTTGAGATTAAATAACTCGTAAACTAATCAATATATTTTATTTTTGTTTACGGCATGTAATAAATAAACTCTAAAGACATACTCACCAAATTTGGTAGTAATATACCGAGTGGTTCGATAATTACAGCCAAAAACGTGATACAACACATTAATTTCAAAGTTTAGCATATTCGGACTTTTTGCATTAACTTTGCAAGCGAATAACAGACAAACTAACAATGATATTACTATTTTCTTTTCACCACCTGATAAATAAACAAATTAAGAATGTTTATATAAAATTTTGCTAAATTATACTGAGTGGTTCAGAAATTATAGTCAAATTTTGGTCAGAAAACATAAAATACGAAATAAAATTCGATCTATATTGAGGTTAAATAACTCAAAAACTAATCAAAATATTTTATTTTTCTTTACGGCATGATATAAATAAACTATCTGAAAATATACTCACCAAATTTGGTTGTAATATACCGAGTGGTTCTATAATTACAGCCAAAAATGTAACCAGCAACAAATTAACCTCAAATTTCAACTTCTTCAACTTTGAAACGTAATAACTCAAAAACCAACAAAGATAAATACATTATCTTTCTACCAAATAAACCACACACAATCCATTTATACACCTACCAAATTTAGTGTAAATCTACCTAGTGTACCAATAATTACACCTAATTTAATGCAAAATTCCAGTTTTGTGGAGATACAATCGCCGGTCTCAGCCTGCTCACCGATTCAGTCATGCGCCTAGTTCACGACAAGAAAAACCCTAACAATGGACATCCTCCTCAAACGGCGCTCCCTATACATCATGAAAAACACCGCCAGATACGACTACACCCACGAGATCCTCCGCAACGAAGAAAGTTACTTCAAGAAACAAAAAGTAGACAAAACAAGGCGGATTTCAGTCATGTGTCGAAACGAACCGGACCCAGCACATACAAAATTATAACCATAATCAAAAATAACTTAATCTATATGTAAATAGTGATATACACAAGTAATATCTTAAAATCCAATCAAATCTAAGTGATTATTGTCGCATAGCTTCATGAATCCAGTCCAAATACTTTGCCACATCAGTAAACACAACATAATGCGACGAATCACATTTGAATTGATTCTGTAACGCTACACTGATGCTTACTAACCCACGAAGCTGCCATACTTCACGATTAGGCGTAGATGTTTGCTTGGGGAAGACCATTCCACCGCCGGAATCACCATTACACACAGAAGTACCTATAATATGCCAACAAGGTTATTTTGGTGTATGTTTGGTTGCCTATACTACTCACCATTTCGAAACCCAGCACAGAAGGTTTTACTCGTTGTGAAACGCGAGAAAAAATCAGGAAAAGAATAGATACACGTTTCTTTTGATACCACAGGCATTTTCGCTTGTGTTAATTCTTCAGTTACTTTACCAGTGTGATCAAAACCCCATCCAACAACCGTACCTTAAAAAAATTTTAAAAAGTAATAAAAACTAAGGTTATGTAAGTATTTATAATTTTTAACAAATAATTAGTATTATACTAACCAGGTTTGTTTAAAACACCTTCCAGGTCTTGTCCATCACCCCACAGACAAATCGGCCGCACGAAATCACTGAAAGTCGCCGGATTCAACAACTTTAAAATGGCGATGTCATTCGCATATGTCTGTGAGTTGTATTCGGGATGTGGCAAAATGGCCGCCACTTGACTGTCTTGTATACCAGGATTCGACCATTTCTTCAAATAATACTTCCCGAGATACACCACGAGTGAGTCCGGATTGAGTGCGGTGGCGCTGCGTCTGCGTGTGACACAATGCGCCACGGTTATTACATGACTGCGGGAGATTAGCGAAGCTCCACAAATGTATTGTAAATCAGCGCCGCGTTCGTGATACAAGGCAACATGCCATGGAAATTCGCCCTCTTTCGTCGATTGGCCGAAAGTAATCAACGGACGAGGTTGTTGCTGCAATAAAGAACAAATTTTAAGGTTATGTATATTAATTTATGGATATTTATGTAAAAATGAAGTAATTTTGTGTTTTTTAGGTTATGTCTACCTCCAACGGTGCTATATCATCATCATCAACACGTGTTTTGATAAGATTAGTCATTTGCAAGTCCTGATCTGGATTTATTGCTACTGGAGGTAAGGAATTGTTACTTTTCTGTGATGGTACAACACCACCAACATACGGCATGCTTATTAATTGTTTTTCTGTTGTGGTTGTAGATGGCGTTGATGTTGCATGCTGCGCTGTTAAATCATATCGTTGATTTAGGAAGTTCAACACCCAATCGCGTAAATTCCACGCGTTATTAAACTGTGGCGTAGATACGACGCCATTTTGTATCTGCGTGTTGGCGTCGACGTAGAAGTACTCAACTTGTGGGAAGTTTGGTGTGCGATAGTCTTTGCTATGACTTTGATGTTGATGCCAGCCATGATTATGGTTGCCATGGTAATCATGGCGGCTGACTCCGCCTCTGCGCGGGGCGTCTGCGTCACGTTTGCGACGTTCATGCGCCATCTGCAAACAGAGGCGGAGTCCATGATGATGATTGTAAGGTAATAGATAGAATTCTTATCTTACCACTACTGTTCCACACTCTGGTTCGGCTTGTGGTCGCAGATGTGGACGGTTTATCAATTGGAAGTCGCCTTGGAAGACGTCGTCGTCGTCATCGTCGGTTGAGGCACTTCCGGGCCAACCACCGCCTGGTCTACTGCTGTAATTATATATTTTTTATTTAAAATTAAGTTTTTTTTGGATTTTATTGTTTTTAGGTTAGTTTTTTATTATTTTTAGGTTAGTTTTGCTTACAATGTTTGCCCTGGTCGTCGTTGTGTTGTGGGTTGCGGAATGGGTGTTGTTGATGATGTTTGTGAGATGCCTCCAAGAGGGTCTTTGCCATCTGGCGCGCTTGTGATTAACTGGTTGCCTCCCGTGATGGCGGCCGGTGTGGTTGTTTGGCCTTCCGGGCAGACGGGGCGTGCGTTTAGGCGGATGCCGATGAGTTGCGGTGGTGGACTGTTCGGGTCGTATTTGATGTAGAAACGCAGTGCGTACGGCATGTTGGCTTTCAGTTCGTGGTTGCGATTGTGGATGAGGTATTCCGTGTTGTCGGAGGTACGTATTTCACCAAACCAGTTCTATATTTTGCATGTGTAGAGACATTACCAATGATATTCATTATTTTGAGGTTAAAATGCGTGAATTTTGGTTGTTATTTCATATTTTTGTGTTTGATTTGAAATAATTTGGAGATTATTACGGGTAATTGATTTATTTCTTTTGGAGATGATTAATAATTTATCTAAGAGTGTATTGGTCAAATTTGGTTGTAATATACTGCGTGGTTCGGGAATTATATACAAATATTTAAACAAAAATGGGTAAAACCAGAATTGATTAGTTTTTAAAGTGACGGCCAACTTTGGGAGCTGATAACCTCAAAAGTATTAATTATAAATTAATTATCTCTTTACTATATGATAAACTAACTATCCAAGAGTAAATTTACCAAATTTGGTGGAATTATTTTAAGTGGTTTGGTAATTACAAAGAAAAAACACTAATAAAACGCGTAAAAACCGAAAATTCTACTGTTATTAACGTTATCATCACTTTGTGGCTAAATAACTCAAAAACTAAGGACGATAATTTAGTTGTTTCTTTAACAAACGATAACTAATTAATACCAGAGTGTCTTGGCCAATTTTAGTAATAATATAATAAATATTTCAACAATTATAACAAAAAATTCAATTAAATTGCATAGATTCAACAAAAATATAGTTATTTATACTACACTCAACTTTGAACGCTGACCAAACCAAAACTATTAGTGATAATTAAATTTTCTTTTTATAGAATTATAGATAAACAATTATAGAATGCACATGTAGATTTTGGTTGAAATATACTAAGTGTTTTACGAATTATCATCAAAATTCAATGAAAATATGAAAATTTCTATTTTTTGCACAAATTTCAATTTTAGTGCCAGATAACTCGAAAAGTGCCAAAGATAAATAAATATTCTTTGCGGGTTACGAGAGATATGCAATCTAAGAGTACATTTCCGTATTTTGGTGTAATTCTACCAAGTGTTTTGCGAATTATCACCAAAATTCAATGAATATAAAAAAAATCAATTTTTTGCACAAATTTTAATTTTAGCAGCAAATAACTCGAAAACTACCAAAGATAATTAAATATTCTTTCCGGCATAGGATAGATAAACAATCAAAGAGTATATATACTCATTTTGGTTTAATTCTACAAAGTGTTTTGCGAATTATCATCAAAAAACCTACAAAACTCATTAAAACACTTTTTCGCTCATAAATCTCAACTTTAGTAGCAAATAACTCAAAAACCAACAAAGTTAATCAAATTTTTTTCTTTACCACATAATAAATAAACAATCCACAAGTATATTCACCAAATTTACCATAAAAATATACTAAGTGTTTAGGCAAAATCAACAAAAACGTAAAAAAAAGCAGTTGTGTTTAACTTACACCCAATTGCATCGATGGTCGATCAAAAGCAACTCGCAGCCATACTCCCTTCAGATCAGTATCACTTGTCAGTGTAACCACACCAAACCATCGATCGTTTTCCTTCTGCGGTTCATACGAAAACAATCTCGGACATGGCGACACCCACAATTGCTGCGCCTCACTCAAATTACACCAAAACATCACTAATCCAACCAATAAAACAAACATTTTATTCGTTTTTATCAACATTCTCATGATTTTTATCTTAAAACCGGAGAAAAAATCAGGATCTGCAACAGAATAACAAAGATTAGTTATTACTTCTAATAATCAGAATATACAATATACAATATACAATTATGTATTATGTATTCATGTATGCATATTGTATCGTATTGATTGTGTAATTGTATGTAATCGAAGCTGAACGATTAATTTTATCGTTAGTTATCGTCAAGGTGCTAAAACCTCGAAGCTCCGCGTGTTGCAATGATCAATGCCAAGGTCGTTGTTGTTATTGTTTAGTTTTGTATTAACAATGGAATTAAATTCGAAATTAAGTGGGTATCATGCGCGAAAACCACAAAAACGTTTTGTGGAATTCATGTTGTGAGCAGGTACGCGTAAATGGGATGCGCAGCAAAGTATCAATTATTGTACATAATAATTAATTAGTGTTATCTTGATGGAATTATAATTAATTATTTACTACTGCGAGAGGTAAAAAATTCACATGAAAAATTTAATATTTTGAGTGTTTTACAAGCGTTATTCTCAGCAATTGTTTATTAATTTATAAATAACTATGATTCATTAGTTGAAGAAACTATTTTAGAGGTTATTTTGATGATTTTTGGGTAATTATGTGTTGAGGTTTATTAATTATAGTCAAATGTTTATTAAAATGCGTGAAAACTAGTGATAATTTACTAAATTTAATTAATATTAAATTTTGAGGAGCAATAACTTGGAAATTATTAATGATTTTGTGGTTTTCTTTTCACCACATGATAAATTAACTATTTAAGAACGTATTGGCTAATTTTGATGTAATTAGGGCTTTTGGTTTAGTAATTATTGCCAAAAAATAACAAACATGCGTGAAAACAGTATTTTTTATGTTTATTGCAGCTTTGAAGTGCAATAACGTGAAAATTATTAACGATTATGTGGTTTTCTTTTCACGACATGATAAATTAACTATTTAAGAGTGTATTGGCTAATTTTAGTGTAATTTGGCCTTTTGGTTTAGAAATTATTGCAAAATTACAACAAACATGCGTGAAAACAGTATTTATTAAGCTAATTGCAAGTTTGAAGTGCAATATCTCTTGAACTAATAATGATAATCAAATTTTCTTCTTACTGAATGATAAGTAAGTAATTTAGAAGTGTAATTATCAAATTTAGTTGGAGTTTATAGATTAGTTTGAAAATTATCGTCAAAAAACTGTCAAGAAAGACAAATTTTTACTTTTTTTAGATAAAGTAATGTTTAATCAAATTTGGGAGCTAATAACTCAAAAACTAATTGACTTATTGAACTTCTCTTTCTAGAAATAGATTAATAATGTATCTGAGAGTAAATTACATTAATTTAATGATTATACATTAATTATTTTACTAATTATCAACAAAAATTATGAAAAAAAACACGAAAAACCAAAAATTACGCCAACTTTCAACTTTGATTCACAATAACTTTTAATCAAACAGAGATAATCTAATTATTTTTTTACCAAATAATAACTAAACTATTTCTTAATCACCTAATCAAAGTTTTATGCAATTATTCATAATAGTTTATTAATTAGAACAAAAAACGTAATCGAAATCATAAAAAATTAAAATTTTACCTCGTTTCACGTGTTTACACTCAAAACAAAACCAAAACTAAACATAAAATCACCAAAACCAAAAATATAAACAACAAAAACACCAATAATAACACAACATAATTAATACGCTTTAATTCCAGCCAAAATTCCCAATAAGTAAACAAATAATTCAATAATTAGGCAATCACCCAACCGATTAGTTTTTATGCCATCACGGCGTCATCGGACGTGTTTTTGGAAATTTGACGCATCAACGACATAACTAGTTTACCAATAAACACATAAACTGCGCAATTTAGCCACTAATTAACACTTAATCACATTTAAACTACATTCAAACATAAATTAAACTCAAATACTACAAAATTATCACAAAATCTTAGCAAAACTTACGTTTATTATGTTTATCTTGTTGTTAAATCACAACTCGAGTCATAATCGTGACCACAGACAACAATTCACACACACTTTGTTGATATTTTCAGTTTAAATCACGTTTCAAGGTGATTTTTGTTGATTTTATGCATAAACAATAAAATTCAAGTTTAGGGACACATTTAACTGGTGTACATCCGCGCACTACTCCAAGGCGACTGATATGTTGTAAGTTTCAAGTTCAGCTTTAACTTAAGTCGCTTCTTGCTTCATTGGCTTCATTATCGCTCAATCGCCGAAACTGGTTTGCGGTTTGGCAGACGCTCGACCGCTCTATACGCGCGCGTTTCAATCCGCAATTTTATTCTCGGCGATAACCTGCTGGTTTCTTACCTGTACTTATTTATTTCTTGCTTATGAATTTTTTTTCTGCGTATTTTTATTACTTTTTGATGGTTTATTGCTCTTTTTATTGTTTATTCATTGAAATTCTTGGAAATCAATGTGCGTTTCACATGGAAATTCCAGTTTACATCATGACTCATCGTTTATTAACAGGTTTTAGTTGTAGTTTGTTTTTATTATTAATTTTGTTGATGTTTAGTGTTTTTTCAACATGCCGCCAGTTTGAATTTACCGCGGTTAGCCACTGACTATAGGCAACACACAATACACTACACACTGAACCTAACCGTATAAAAATTAATATTTTTAGTGAAATTTCAACTAAAAAAGCTGGAATAATCACAGAAAACAACACAAAATGTCTTTGTTAACACGTTTAGTACCTGGTTTCTTACGGTTTGTTATTATTTCTACTAATATTTATACATTTATGTGCATTTTTACTTATTTACAGCTCTGGATCAATGGCAATGTGTGCACCTTCGACATCAGTTGTTCCAGTGATGAATATAACTCAAAGTTTAACTGAAACAGTTAAATCATTCGCATTTTTTGGTCAGAGTATTCGCACAGTGATACGGTGTCACTTTCCACGTCCATCCGAACGTAAACGCATCAAACGACATGGTTATAAGAAGCGAATGTCTACTCCTGAAGGACGAAGAATCTTAATGAGGAAAATACTTAAAGGTTGCTTCGTTTTAAGTCACTAAACATCGAAAAACATTACAACAGATTAGAAAATAGTACAATTATAGTAAAAAAGCATTAAAATCTAATGATTTTTACGTTTTTGTACATTATATCTCTAATCTTTAAGGTTATGTAAGTTTCCTGCATGAGTTTACTCTTCTATATCAAAGAAAAATATCTTAGGCTGTGGAAGCTCACTTGTAGTAGTCTCATCACTTTTACTCGTTGTTTCCTCACTAGTTACATCTGAATTATTCGTGAATTTATCTTTAAACTGCGACCAAAACTTCCCAAGCGCTGGTTTTCTCTCCGTGGAACGATTATCAATACTCATACTTTGCGGACATATTAACAAGCCATTAACATAAATTCTTTTCACTTCTGGCGTCGGATTAGCACCATTATACTTCACATTAAACTCAATCTCAGTTATCTCCTTATCATTTACATAAAAAAAGTCTTCCAACATGTACAACTGATTATCTTTCGTTGTAATCAATCCGAAATTATTCTACAAACAATTTATACAGTTTCAAGTTGTTTCCTTGCATATTACTCACAGTAATCAAGTTTATTTGCGAATCCATCTCGATTTGCAGGAATAATCCTTGATTATCTTCATCCAGGGCGAGTTTTAGTGTTCCACCCCAGGAACCAACGTCAATCGAGGTTGGATTCACATGCAAAATGGCCGGACATGGTGATATCACCTCCTGACCAATCACAACCCTCGAAATTAGTTTCACTTCTGTTACTAACAAAAGTAAGGTTAATTTCAGCGCTAACATTGTTTAATGTTGCAAGTACACACTTGGAATTGTTGCAATTCAATACCTAATACCAATCTACTCAATCAGTAATTAATTACAAAGTAAAATGAGTATTCCAAGGTCAATTGGAGTAAAAACATTGTTTTACCGCTTATAACACAATTTTCTTTCTATTTTTAGCTGTAAATAACGACTGCGTGTGTTTCCTCAACACTTCTTATTGTATTTGCTGTTCAATCCATGGTTTATACTTTAAAACATCTGTAAACACAGCGTATGCATTCGGATTGCATACATCATGGCGTGACGCGACTGAAAACGACACCATTCCCCTCAATTCCCATCGTAAACTGCTATCGACTTCACGTTCGAAAAACATCCCCCCACCCGAATCGCCATTACACACAGATGTGCCATTTTTAAACCCTGCGCAGAAATTATTCGTCGATGTGAATTTACCGTAAACTTCCGGTTCGGAATACACGCATGTCAATAGATCAACAACGGGCATTTCTGTTTCTTGTAATGTTTCAGAAATGAGGAAGTTGTGGTCATAACCCCAGCCTACAACGGTGCCTAGTTGATGTGTAAGGTTGGTTGCATATGTATCTGTGGTTAGACATATTGGACGGACGTATTCTGTGTATTCGACTGGTTGTGATAGTGTGATGATTGCGAGGTCATTGCGATTGGTTGTGTCTTGATATAGTGGATGAAGAATTATGTTTGTGATTTGGCGTTGTTGGAGACCTTTGTTGAAGTGATTGAGTTGTGTCTGGCCTAGGTGGATGAGAAACCGTGCGGGGTCTGCTGGTTGTGATGTGCGTTGTCTTGCTACACAATGCGCAGCTGTTAATATGTGTGTTTTTGTTAGTAAGGAGCCGCCGCAGATGTATTTCAGTTCGAGCATGATGAGAGTGTAGATGGCGACGTGCCATGGCCATGCGCCTTCAATGGCTGATGATCCATGGGAAATCAGGGGTACCACCCGTTTGACAGGGACCCCACATTGTACATCGTCACTTGTGGCTATGCTACAATTAGTAAAATTTGTTTAATGCTGTTTTGTTTAAATATTTTGAGGTTATGCTTACGTGTCTTGTTTGTTTTGAATAGTTTGAATAGTTTGAATGGGTTGAATAGTTTCTAGTTGTTTGTTGGGTGATTCTTGTAGGTTGGTGACTGGAGCGCTTGTGATTAACTGGTTGCCTCCTGTGATGGCGGCCGGTGTGGTTGTTTGGCCTTCCGGGCAGACGGGGCGTGCGTTTAGGCGGATGCTTGTGAGTTGCGGTGGTGGGCTGTTCGGGTCGTATTTGATGTAGAAACGCAGTGCGTATGGCATGTTGGCGGTCAATTCGTGGTTGCGGTTGTGGATGAGGTATTCTACGTTGTCGGAGGTGCGTATATCACCAAACCAGTTCTATATTTTGCATGTATGGAGACATAACCAATGATATTCATTAATTTGAGGTTAAAATGAGGGAGTTTTGCTTGGTATTTTATATTTTTGTGTTTGTTTTGAAATAACTTGGAGATTATTAGGGGTAATTGATTTATTTCTTTTGGAGATGATTAATGATTTATCTAAGAGTGTATTGTGCAAATTTGGTGGTAATATACTGAGTGGTTCGGGAATTACAGATAAATATTTAAACAAAAATGGGTAAAACCAAAATTGATTATTTTTTAAAGTGGCGGTCAACTTTGGGAGCTGATAACCTCAAAAGTATTAATGATAAATTAATTATCTCTTTACCATAGAATAAACTAACTACTCAAGAGTAAATTTACTAAATTTGGTGGAATTATTTTAAGTGGTTTGTTAATTATAAAGAAAAAACAATAATAAAACGCGTAAAATCCAAAAATTCTACTTTTATCAAACTTATCATAACTTTGACGATAAATTACTCCAAAACTAGCAATGATAATTAAGCATTCTCTTCATCTCAAGCTCGATAAATAATTGATGAGTGTATGTACTCATTTTGGTTAAAAAATACCAAGTGTTTTGCAAATTATCATCGAAAAACCTACAAAACGCATTAAAACAGTTTTATGCACATAAATCACAAATTTAGTAGCAAATAACCTAAAAACTAACAAAGTGAATCAAATTTTCTCTCTACCACATAATAAATCAACAATCCACAAGTATATTTACTAAATTTACCATAGAAATATACTGAGTGTTTAGGTAAAATCAACAAAAACGTTAAAAAAAGCAGTTGTGGTTAACTTACACCCAATTCCAATGATGTTCGATCAAAAGCAACTCGCAGCCATACTCCCTTTAGATCAGTATCACTTGTAAGTGTTATCACACCATACCATCGATCGTTTTCCTTCTGCGGTTCATACGAAAACAATCTCGGACATGGCGACACCCACAATTGTTGCGCCTCACTCAAATTACACCAAAACATCACAAATCCAACCAATAAAACAAGCATTTTATTCGTTTTTGTCAACATTCTCATAATTTTTATCTTAAAACCGGAGAAAATATCAGAATCTGCAATAGAACACTAATTAATATCATTGATTTCTTGATTCATTTAAAATTAAATAAATTACAGTATTTTACATGTATTACATGTTTTACACTTCGATATTCCACAGTTATTTGCTTGAAGAGCTGGTGACTATTCAAATAATGACGATATAATAGTGGAATCAAAATTTCAAAAAGGTGTTTTCCAATTATGTTTTTTTTTGTTTACTAATTATCCTCGATTATTAATAGCAATACTTAACAAAAAAAAAACAAGAATTCACACTAATTTAATGTATATCAGAGCATTGCCCATAGCTTAAGAAGCAATAACATTGAAAAAGAACTACAAAGATAAGAATGATTATTAATCTTAATTAGTGCACTGACCACTTTTTCGGTGATTAAATTATGTGTTTTGGTAGCAAATATCAAAATACAGACAAAACAAACAACAACACAACTTGAAAATAAATCTTACCTTGAATTTACTTGTATTTTGCTGTGTTTCAACATGCCGCCATCTCATATTAACCGCGTTTATGCGCTGACGGTACGCAACCCACAACACATATACAAATTCACATTGATACAAATTCGAGTATTATTCATCTTCAATATAAAAAAGGCATTGTTGTTACTTCTACTTTAGTTTTTTCACTTTTACTTGTTATTTCCGCACTAGTCACGTCAAAATCACTCATAAATTTATGTTTAAACGATGACAAAACTTCACCAAGCACTGGTTCTCTCTTCATGGAACGATTATCAATACTAATACTTTGCGCACATATTAATAATCCATTAACATACATTCTTTTCACTTCTGGCGTCGGATTAGCACCATTATACTTCACATTGAAGTCAAATTCACTTACAAAATGGCCGCGCATGGCAACAGTACCTCCTGACCAATCACAACCCTCGAAAACAGTTTCAACTGCGTTACTAACAAAAGTAAGGTTAATTTCTACGCTTACTTCATTTAATATCGCGATACACACTTGGAATTGTTGCAATTCAATACCTAACACCAATACAATCAATCAGTAATTAATTACAAAGTAAAATGAGTATTCCAAGGTCAATTATACTAGAAAACATCATTTTACATCATAATAACAAAACACAATTTCTCTTTTATATTCACCTATAAATAACTATAATTATGTATATCTATATAATCTCCAAGTGTTTTCCTAACACTTCTACTCCTCCTCGTCTTAATCTGTTGCTTAATCCACGGCCTATACTTTAAAACATCTGTAAACACAGCGTATGCGTTCGGATTACACAAATCATTGCGTGACGCCACCGAAAACGACACCATTCCCCTCAATTCCCATCGTAAACCGCTATCAACTTCACGTTCGAAAAACATCCCCCCACCCGAATCGCCATTACACACAGATGTGCCATTCTTGAAGCCTGCGCAGAAATTATTCGTCGATGTGAGTTTACTGTAAACTTCCGGTTCGGAATACACGCATGTCAATAGATCAACAACGGGCATTTCAGTCTCATGCAACAACTCAGTTATGTTGTTATGTTGATCAAAACCCCATCCAACAACTGTACCTAAAAACCAAACAGAAATTTTTAGGTTATGTAAGTATTTTTTAATTAATAACAAAATTTCATACCTAGCTGATTAGTGAGGTTAGTTGAATACGAATCCGTCGTCAAACAAATCGGCCGTACATAATCCGTATAATCCGCTGGATCCGCCAATGTCAACACAGCAAGGTCATTCCGATAGTTCGTGTGATTATACCCAGGATGTATCACAATATGATCCACTTGTCGTTGTTGCAGTCCAACATTAAAATGTGTCAATTGAGTCCTGCCCAAATGGATAAGAAACCTCCCTGAATCCGCCGGTTGTGATGTCCGAGGTGTTGCAACACAATGCGCAGCTGTTATTACATGTGTTTTTGTTAGTAATGATCCACCACATGTGTATTTCAACTGTAAAACACTCAAAGTATAAATAGCGACGTGCCATGGCCATGCGCCTTCAATCGACGGGCGGCCATTTGTAATCAGGGGTACCACACGCTTGACAGGGACCCCACAATGTATATCATCACCTGGTCGTAGTCTAGGTCCATGAAATGTTCTTGCAAGATTCTTTTTACGTCCGACATTCGTAGAAGAAGCTAAAATATGTGCTAAATCACCAGTGAAGAATTCTTCGGCTTCAGCTTCACCTTCGGATGTTTCCGATGACAGTTCGGTTCTTGTCGATGATTTTGTATGTGTCACTGTGGTTGACCTTGAAGTGATGACTTCTTCTTTAGCAGGTTTTTTAGCAGATTCTTTAGCAGGTAATAATCCATCATCGATATCTTCTTGTTCCGTAACTTTTAATTCTTTTTTGTTTAAGCTGACAAACGGTGGTGATTCCGTACTGCGTAGTTTTTTATCCAGCGCACAAATCGTGCGTCCGTTTAACCTCAAATGTTTGACGATAGGTGGCGCTTCTGCAGCGTTGTAGGTAACCTTAATTTTGACAACTATACTCGGCCCAGCTGATAATTTATACTCGGGCTTACGAATTGCGTATTCTTGATTGTCCAGTGTTGTAGATTCACCAAACCAGTTCTAAAACACACATTATATTCACTAGTGAGTATTTTTGATTCAATTTATACTTACAAGTAATGTGTTTGCTTTTTTGTCGAGCACGACGTGTAGCCATACACCCTGCAAGTCATCTTCGGTGGATAGATGAATTTCCGCTTGCCACGCCCCCTCGTCGACCGCCTCCAGCGGTAGGTACTTGAGCACGGAAGGACAAGGCGTGTCTAGAATGACATTTTGACATCTCTTGCAGCGATCGAGGCAGAGAAGTAAGACGAACGCGAAATGCACGCGCATTATGTCGACGTATTTGTCATCGCACTGTTGATCGTCGATTGTTTTAATTGCGAACGAAACAACAAAGCAGACGATCACGAGTTGCAAGCGAATGCAAGCGAAATTACATCTGAAATGGAAAAACCTGTTTGGTGTTTTCGTAAAGTTTAACTTTTATCCGGGTAAGTGTTTTCTATGAATATGCATCGGCATTGACCGCACTTATGCGAAGCGTGCGCTGGAATTTATTAATAACCTTGTGTTGTAGCTTATTATGCGTTATTAATAAGAAAATGATTTTAATTTTTCGTGTATATTGGGACATCTATGTTAATTTTTATGAGTTTATAATTTTCGCCACCAGATGGCGCTAGGTACAACGTTTTCTAGTTTTTATTTTTAAGTGTTTATGATTTTGACCACTAGATGGCACTTCATGTACTGTTGAGAACAAACGCTGTTGTTTTTAGTAATTCGAGACATTTTAACGATTATTTGCGTGTTAAACAGTGTGGAAATCAAACATAACGAGCGTAGTGATAATGCGTAGTGAGGTGTAATCCGTGTGCGTTTTATACGCCTGCTGATACGTTTATCGACCCTTGCGCAACTTCCTGCTTCGATAGAAGAAAGCAATTCACGTGAAAGATGCGAATAGAATGTGATAGAATGTTCGAGAATGTTCGAGAGTGGTCGGGCATGCGGGTACGCTCCGCTCGACGCAGCACGCCGCGCCGAAGAAGTCCACGTCCAGCGAGAGTCGAAGAACATGCAGTCGTCCCATGCAGTTGTTGTGTGCCGATAAATTAACAAAATATTGACGAGCTTTAAATACCGAGCGCCGACTATGAATAGGTAACAATTACAACTTGTTAGGACTTGTTTAGGCCGCACACGTTTGCTTGACGTTTTTTTTGACGAGAAAACAGATTTTGTTTTGCGCGATGCGCAGTTGGAATCGCGAGCGAGAGAAGATGGCGGCGGCCACGGTGTGTAGGATGGGCGGGTTGGGGAGTGTGAGAGAGATAGGGCGAGGGGGATATTGGTGTGAATAATCGATGCGTTCTCCCCTCTCGATGCGCCGCGCCGCGCCCGGATGATGCTTGCTGGTCGCGAACGGGAAACACGTAACAGAAAGCGAGCGAACGCCAGCCACGGCCCACACACAAGCTGAAACCCGATTTCGCGCTTGCAAATCGCTGCGAATTACGATCAAACATGACGTAAGATATTTTATCATCATCACAAAAACGAACGCAATTTGTTTTTCAATATTCTATTATATATATATAGTATTAATTAACTAGCGATTAATACGCTTTCGTCTCGCGGCGGCCATTGTTTTATTATTTAAACGACTGTTAGTTTATTTCTTGCTCAAGTGCAGTGCAAAATATCATCGTGACCTTAGCCAACAAAACGTAGCAGAATTTGCGCAAAAAAACATGGCCGCAATTGGATATCGTGCGCGTTCGTGCTGCTCCGATGGCAGGATCCGGCGTGTGTGCGCTTGCGCGCCGCGCGGTGCATAAAACCAGCGCGCCGGGGTCGCGCCCGTTCAGTCGGCTTTCTGCGCTCACGTTCGCCAGCCCATCACAAGACAAAGAGAGAGAGAATCAAAACCCACCAAGGCGGCCATTCATAGACACAGACACGAATACACACTATTCTCACGCTGCTACAATATTTCAAAGTCGAGTCGAAATCTTGTATGTCCTGTATTTGTCCGCATGCTGCGCCGCTGATAAAATGATCACTTGAAATGTAGCGAATGTAATGTAAGCAAATTTGGTGCGACGCGCCGCGATCGTCGATTGTTCCACATACACAAACACAACGCACACGTCGAGGCCGCGCCGCCATTTTGTGTATATATGTGTGTAGCCTCGTCGTCATCGCAGGCGGCGGAGACAACGCACTACACACACGGCTGTCGCTCGCATTTCAAATTTCATTCGAACACTAATTTTCTACATGTGCTGATAATGATGCATTGAGTTTTATCAGCAGCACGCAAGCACGAATCACACAGAGACATACGAGTCGCGTATGAAAATTAAAAACGCGTCGCAATATTTTTGACAAATTGCGACTTATTTTAGGGTCATGGCTCTGGCTCCGACAAGGTTTGCCTTTTATATACTCTCTAAAACTAGTTTTCGATATCAATTGTGTATTATAAATATGCGGTATCCTGCAAGCTGCAAGAGTTCAGTGTTTACGTGATGACATTACATTTGAGGGGCGGCGGCGGCATGCATTTCTGTTGCGTCATGCTGCCGCATTGTTACGTCACATGGTTACACAAGCAGCGCGAAATTTGAAATCTTTCAACATGCAATGCCCACAAAAATGATGAAACCTGATGCAATGATTTTACAGCGAGGATGCAGTGAAGGAGGCGGCGCCGCCCGATGAGGATCTCGAAGACGGCGAGATTGAAGACGATGACGATGAGGATGTACTACCACCGCCAGCAGCGGGTGCGGTGGCTGTGTCGGAGGCAGCGGCTGTTAGCGAACCGCCGCATGCGGTGGTTGAATTAGAACGCCCGCCACAGTCCACCCCCAAGAAGAAACACCTCACTGAGGCTGAGAAGAGTGTCATGAAGCTGCACAAGTTGGAGCGGCTCGAACGCGAGAAGAGGGATCGATACAAACGCGAACAAAGTATTTATTTAACGCATTCCCAGCTGGGGATTTGTTTATTTATTGATTTACTGAGTAAATATTGTTGTTGCAGTGCACGTACCTGAACCAGTCGATGATTATGCTGTTTCGTTGGAGAAAGCGTTGGCTAAGGTGCTGAAAAAGGATCAGAAGCCGAGTGAAACTGAAGAATTGCCTGAGGATGAGACTAGGAGACTTGCACGGGGGAAAAAACGGAAGAAAAAGGATAAACATAAAAAGGTATTTATTATTTTACTTATTTTTTTGTGATTTTTATTAATTTTTTATTAATTTTTTATATTTATTTAGGCGAAGAGAAGTAAACAAGAGTCACCGAAGAATCCAGAGGATGAAATTGAACGTAGAACACCAGAATTCCCCGATGCGAAGTCTGAGGGTGAATCCTCTGATACAGAATCATCCACAGATAAAACCGAGCAGCGTAAGCAACACTTAAAGCGCGAGGCCCGCCGAGAACGCGCTAAAAGAGATGGCCGCGATGCACGTGACCGTGATCGTGCGCAAATGGATAAAATCGACAGGGATTCAAGAAAATGCGCAAGCGTAATATCGGCATTTGCTTGTATTACCTACAAGGCAAATGTAATGATGTAAGTATTAAAATTATTCCACATAAAACATAATTTTTTTATTTATTTATGTAATTTTGTTGATAGGAACACTGTCAATATTCGCACGATTGTGTCCAGCCCCTAAAACTGGAACTCTGTAAATTCTACCTGTTGGATTGTTGCGCTAAAGGTGATAAATGTCTCTATATGCATTCGGACTTTCCCTGTAAGTATTACCATACAGGGATTCCGTGCCCGTTTGCGGATGATTGTAAGTTTGCGCATGGCGGACCGCTGCCTGAAAGTGTTAAGCAGATATTGTTTAAACACATTGAGACAGCCCCGAAGGAGATTCTGGGGAATTTCCCGAGGTTAAGTCGGGAGAATGCGCATATGATGATTACGCAAGCGCAGAAGAATTTGGAGATGCGTAAACAGAAGGATAAAGATGAAATTAGTGGGGTTACAGGGCAAAGAGAAGATAATTTTGATGTTGATGCAGATGCAACGAAGTTATCTTTGAATACAGCGCAGGTGGATGCTCAGCAAGGAGGTGAAAAGAAGGAGAAACGTAATCGACGCTCAAGATGGCAGGATCCCGAACCGGAAAGTTTGAATCCCGCCGCGCAAAATGTACAAATGCTTGGGTTTCAAGGGTTTAAAGACCAAGATATGCGTATTAATAGGTAAATATCATCATAATTTATTCATATTTACCTTTAAATTTATTAATTTTTATTGATTTATTGATTAGTAATGGAGATGTTGACATGCGTGCACACAACATGGCCGTGCATCCCACAGACATTGTGAATCCGAATATATTCACAACCAAACCGCCCCCAATCATCCCACACAATTCACATCTACTACAAGCGTTTATTAATCCTGGCATACCGGAGATAAAGAGTAGTGTGGATATAGAGCAATACAAAATGGACGCCGCCGCAACGAAAGACAAACCTGACGATAACCTCAAACTTAGTTTAAGTGAAAACATTGCATCAACTTGCAAAGATGTAGATTTACGTATTCCGCCACCAGCGATACATCAACATCAACATCCACCACCTCAGATAACCACCTCAGATGAACGGGAAGAAGAAGAGGAAGATAAATTACAAATTGTAATGGAAGATGAAGAAACCCCAGCGAAGAAAGATCATGAAGAAAATATAAATCAAGAAAACGACAAAAAGAAAAAGATAATTTGATTAGTTTTGAATTACCAAAAGTACAACGTGATCTCTTCGCGCGGATACAACACCAACAGAAAGACAACACTCTATCATCATCTGATGTTAAACCAGACGAAGAAGAACAGAATATCGATTGGTATTCAGATGATGAAGACGATAATAAATTAACTATTGAACATGAAGATGACGAACCAGCAGAACCCGAACCTGAACCTGAAGCAGAGAAGACTGATAGTCCAGCGGAACCACCAATGTCCTTTGGTGACCTCTCAAAGTTTGACATCGCTGAAGTATCAAAACTCCTATCAACGATAAAAGAAAACTCGAAAAGCAGTCCGGAAGTCCCCAAAGATCCTCGAAGAGCAAGAGATCCACGGCTTGCACGTCAACAGAGCACAGAGGAAGCAGAACCCATGACTATCTACGAACAAACCCAAACATTACCATCATCTGATCTAGGAGGTAATACTAGTAGTAGTGGGGGTAATAATAATACTAATAGCAGATTAGGAAGGAGTGATGTAGATCTCCGTATGGGTATGCATTTCAAAGCGCTGGGGAATTACACACCTGCAAGCGAAATAGATGCCAGTGTGAGTAATCACCCTGTGATGACGTGGAAAGTGTATATTGTAGAGATACCCAAACCGGATTATACTGGTTTGAAGTTATCTGCTTCCGATGCGCATACTTCGGGTGATCCACGTCTGAGGAAAATATTCAGACTTAGCACCGAGGAGAAGGATAGTCCTGCAAGTCCGGGATCTTCTCCCAAACCATCAAATCCTACTCCAAGGGTTGATCCACGGCGGAAAAAGGCGATGGAAGCTGCAAGTGAACAGGTTAAACCAGATGGACCGTTGACGTATGCGCAGCAGTTGAGTATGCTGCAGAGCTCACCTTTCTATCAATCATTAACAAGTAATCAGAAGTTGATGTTGAATCAGGAGTTGGCTAGTAGGAATGATCAGTCGGGGATGACAGATCCGATTATTTCCGCCATGTTGGCCAATCTTGGACTGCAGAGTGGGAATCTTGGTGGTGGTATGCAACACACCGCACAGCAAACAGGACAAGCGTTGAATATCCTGAATAGTTTAACGGGTTTCGCCCAGGCGAATCCACTGATGTCCATGGGGGTTGCCCCGCATGTTAACCTCAATGTTGCTCCACCTAACCTCAATCTAGGTCAAGGTTTACTTGGTCCAGCTCCGGGTCATCATGATTTCAATCAAATGAATCAGATGTTTGACCCAAGGGCGAATATGGATCCCAGAGGAGTGAATTTGGACCCGCGGAGTGTGGGTCCAGGGATTTTGGGTAATCCACCGCCGCCATTTGCTCACACTGATTTTCCACCGGGTATTGGTGGAGGTGGTGGTGGGGGTAATTCGGATGATGATGAATACGGTCAATTCGATAATGGTCAATATGCAATGTATAATTCAAATAGTAATCATCAGCAGCGTGGCTTGGGGCAGAATATGAGCCAGAATCAACGCGAGCGGAATAATCGACGGGGCAGGAACAACAATAACAACAATCGCAATCGGAATAACTTCTTCCGGCACAATAATCATCGCAATAATCGGAATCGTAACAGTCCCAGTTAGAGTTGTGTGTGTGTTGCGTTGGGGTTGAGGTTATGTGCGTGTGCTGCGATACGCGTCGTTCTGTGATTTAATTTTTTTATTAGTGTTTGATAGGTTTTACTTTCGTATGATATATGATATAGTGCCAAAATGGACGCGAATTACGGACGTCGTTTTGTATAATCATTTCACTTTTGCGTTTTTCTTTTTTATGATTATTATTATTATTTGGAAATATTTAATATGTACATACTAGCGGATAGTATTTCGTAACAGACGAGGACAGTAAACTAAACAAGAATTGTAATTGTTTAAATAAGTTTTTTCACTAAAAACTAAAACTTAAACGCGGATTTGTTGTGTTTTGTCATGTAAAAATACTAATGATGTTTTATTATAGGCACAGTACATGCACAGAACGCCATTTTGATTCGAACTTTCGTGCAGTCAAGACGTGTTTGTCTGGTTTTAGTTTATTTGGGGTTCAGGTATAAAACACTTGCTTTTTTTTACTTAAAATATCAATTATTATTGCTTAACATTATGTGTGACTATACAATTGATTAGAATCGGTGTGTTGGTATGAAATTATTGGTCAAGTCGTTGTTTGTAACTGATCGGCGTTACTTCCTTCGAGTTTTGCGATTGTTGCGTGTCCATCGGCACATCTTGCACGGTATGCGAACTATAAACACACACATCATTCAGTTGAGTCATTTTTATTAACATAAAACACCCATAAGTTCATTAAAAAAACTTACAGCATGCGTTTAGGTGCACCTACAGGGTGTTATCGTTAACGTTTTCAAAACGTGTGTATGAAGGTGCGCCGAATGCTGGCAGAGTACTCGCGCTGCGTGCGATAGAAAAATAGTTACAAACAAAAACAGTTTTTAGTTAATTAAATAAGAAAATAGAAGTAAAAAAAAGTAGAGTTTTAGTCACATAGTCACACTTTCGAGGTTATGTACAACTTGTATTGATTGTGGTTATGTACACGAGTGGCGTGTGGTGTGCGGTTATGTAAGAAGTGTGACCTCGTTGGCGACCGCCTTCAGTTTGAGGCTGGAAAATTCGGAAAGAGTTAAAAATACAGCGCGTGCAAAACACAAAAACAAAAAAAGCAAAGATGAGAGGAAGAAAAACAACACACAACATACGCTTAGGCGTCCACATCAATAGACCAGCTGCAAGAAGATTTCAAGATTTAATACATAAGCACCCGGTACACATGATTAATCATATTCAAGATGGCGGCATGGCATCAATATCATCATCGAGGAAATGCGCATAATCGTACCTCGAATAATTACTGGGATTCGTCAGTGTAGAAGTATCCGTAGGACCAACAATATACTTCTGCACGAAATCATATTGCATTAGACGTGTGTTACCCATGGAGATCGCCATGTGTATCACCAGATACCCGCAGAACACCAGGTATAATATCCCGAAGAGGACAATCAAGGTCAGCGAAGCCCATTCTAGCTCTGCGGCTTTTACTGTTTCAATCACAAAGTAAGTGTTGATGCCTATCACCACAATGGATAACAACGTAGCTATCACTTTATTTAACCTTAAAAAAAATATGTTTATATTAAAACAATCACAATAAAAAAACATCCTTACCATCCATTAACAAACTCCCCCATAATCTGTGGGTTACTAGTAAATGCTATCGTTGGTATCGTCGCGAACGGCAACTGTAAAGACATGATAGCATTCAAGATGTCATTCATCCCTGTAAGGTCCTGAATCTGACTGAAGAAAGCCAAGCAGAATGTGGGGACAATCGCAATGGTTCTTGTAAACAACACCCGCTTCCACCTGGCCCATTGAAGATTCAAGAAGCCTTCCATGGTGAACTGCCCAGCGTAGGTCCCAGTCATCGTGGATGATTGACCAGCTGCCAGGATACCCACTGCCCAGATATACAACGCTGCCATACCAAAAGTACAACCCAGAAAGATCCCGCCTTTGTATAAATCCGCCTCGACGTAATCATCATTCGCGGGGAACTCAGAGGTACCATTCAAATATGGCTGACTTGCACAGGTGTCCCTCATTTGATTATTGGTCTTCTGGAATAACCCATGTGCGAAGACAGCTACTACGAAGACGTTGATAATGAAACTGACGAATAGGGCAATGGCTGCTTCAATGAAGAAGTATTTATTAGCTTCGCGGACTTTTGCGGGTTTTGTACGGTCGATATCCCTGGATTTTACTAAAGCGGAGTGTAGGTATAGGTTATGAGGCATTATCACAGCTCCAACGATTCCTACAGCTTGGAGGAGTGCTTTGGAATCACATCCTGTGCACCAAGGGAAGAACATCCCCTCCACTACGTCAACCTGTGGTGGGCTGGATATGATGTATTCATAACCAAAACTCACAGCCATAACACTTATCAACGCTCCAAAAAACAACTCCAATTTTCGTAGTCCGTATTTATCCAGGAAGAGAAATGTGAAGGTGTCTACTATGGTGATGAGTACCCCCACCCATAATTCGATGTACTTGTTTGATAGGAGGTATAATGCGATGGCGGTGCCGATGACTTCCTGCATGTCAGACCCGATGATGGCTATCTCTACCATTATCCATAGGAGGAGTCTAGGGAATTTTCTGTATTGACGGTAGCACATTTCGGCGAGGTGCAGGCCTGTGACTACGCCCAACCGGGCGGATAAGCGTTGCATGAGGAGACCTAAGACAGTTGCAGAGAGTAGGACCCAGAGGAGTTTGTATTGGGCGATTGTGCCGGATTGTAGGTCGCTTTCGATGTTGCCGGGGTCCAGGTAGGCGATGGACATGAGGAAACCTGGACCGGTGAAGGCCCATAGTTTCCGGAAGCTGAATTTCGTCTGTAAAGGTAGATATTAAGTAAGGTTAGTGAATTTTTTTTTTTTTTTGTTTTGTGGGTTTATTTACGTCTTCAGTTTCCGGTATTTGAACCTTTTCGTCAGCGAAATAGGTTTGGGCCTTCGTGAGTAAAGTGCGTTCGCTGTTTCCGGGTAGGGATTGGGAGGTGTTGGGGTTGGTGCCATCGATGACCTCTTCGCCATCTTTGGTGTTGGCTGCGTCTCGCATCTGTAAGTGAATTATTTTTAGTAAATTAGTTTTGTGTTTACTTTCATGGTGCTAAAAATATTATTGTGGTGTCATCATGTTTCGGAGGTACCTTTAAGGTTTTTCTTGGTTTGGTTTTTAAGTTTGTTGCATTTTTGTTGCTTTTGTTTTGATTTATTTTTGATTTTGTGCGTTTTTCTTTATTTTTAGTTGATTTGTTTGTATTTTTTTGCTTTGCTTGATGTTTTTGTTGGTTTTGTTGGTTTTGTGGTTTATACGGGTCAAGGTCATCCATTACTAATTTAACTTCCGGGTTAAAATGGCGCTCGTATTGGAATTTACTAATTAGGCAAAGGTACATTTTTTAAATCTTCTTTACTTCGTATTTTTGAAAGTTTATTTTGATGTTTATTTCATTTTTGATTGCATTTATTTGATTCTTTGATTGAAAATGGCCTCTTTTATTGGTTATCATATTTGAATCCGCCATTTTGAGTGAATTTGTCATATATAAAGTGTGACGATTTGACATTGACATTGGCAATGCAATTATTTGCAATTAATCCTTATTTATTTAATAATTCAGGAGTTAATGGTAGATTTTATCAAAATTCACGGTGTAGATACATAAGTAACCCATTAATCACTTAAACAAATATTTGTTAAGATTAGAGTATTATTTTAACAATTATTTAGCGTTAAAGTTGATGTTTTCGACAAATAATTCGAATTTTGAAGCAAAATTGAATTTTTACTTGGACACACTGTAATTAATTAATTACTGTGTACGTTTCATTGAGATTTGCAGTACGGTTACTTAAATAACTAGATTATCTTTTACTGCAAATTTTGTTAAGATATAATTATTACTTTTTGAGTTATTTTGAGTTAAAGTTGCATTTTTATAAAAAGTAATTCATTTTTTTTACACCAAACTTAATTTTTACTCTGTTACGCTGTAATTAATTAATTACCCTACATTTTGTACTGAAATTTTCAGTATATTTACATAATGAACTAAATTATCTTCCAAATTTGTTTTTGTTGAGATATCTTTGTTATTTTAGCAATTATTAAGTGTCAAAGATGATTTTCACAACAAAAATTTCAGTTTTACTTCCGCAAAACATAAATTGACCTTTAACACCCTGTATCTCATTAATTTCTCAACCAATTTCAATGAAATTTTTTCTATAGCCACTTAAATTAATCATTTATCGACTGCCATTAGATTAACTCTGTTATCACTGCTATCTTCAAAATGATCAACATTTAAAGTTTACATAAACTATTTTTGTGACTTTGAAACTAGTTCTAATTGAATATTATATAATAATTCAATTACAATTAATATACAATTAGTTATGTCACCTCCAAGTAAACAATATCATAAAAACAAACAGTTTTTTTTTCTTTTGAAATAATCACGAATTCTCAAGTAATTCACACAACAAAACCACATGACAACATGACGTTAATTCTAATCGTTGTTGGGTAACTACAATTATAAACCAATAGAATATTTCATTTGTTATTCAACGTACGAAACACCCGCATGCGCATAAATTTCCACTCATTGCAATCTTTTCCATTGCAACAAAACAAAACAAGATTTATTTTTATAACTCTATTTTTTCTTCCTGGAAAAACACCAACCACACATCATAAACCAGCATACAATTTCCCGGTAAATATTTTGTATGCAAATGTCATACATTGAGGTTGAAGTATTTTAATTGCATTTTAACGCATATAAATCTATTTACACACGCATTAATTGTGCTTTATTTATTTTGTAATTAATTAAAGCACAAATATTTGTTTTGTGTAAATATAAATAATATCACCTGCATTTTATTTCCCTGCTGTAAGTTGCATGTTATTTAAATATTTATAAGCGTATGAGTATTTTTGTTGTTATCGCGCGCGTTTGTAGACTTGGTGATTACGTGAGCGACGTCAAGTCGTTGGTTATCAGTGGTGATAATATTGCTTCGAGTGGTCTCGTCTCGTCTGCTGTGTGGTGTTATTAGTTATTTGCGATTTGAAGACAATATTTGCGCGTTGATGTTTTGCGCAAAAGCTTAGGGTTTTTCCATTACTTAACGACCGATTTCGTATTGGTTTATTAGTTAACTAATGATATTGGTTACTTGAAAGCTTTTAGAATTTGTGTAGGATGTATATTTAAGGTTTAATCGCTTTGGGATGGGAGAAATTTGAGTTTAATTTTGTTTATGTGTGTAATTTATTAATTAGTGAGTGGATGTTAACGAAATTTTTAGCGTATTTAAGTATTGATGGTAGTTATTTATGAATATATTTTTGGTAGGATGTTGGTAATATTTGTTTGGTTATTATGTGTTAAAGTTGATTTTATTGCTAATAATATCGAAGGTTTTTGGTTAAAAATGCAAATTTACTTTGACGCGTTGTTATTGTTTAATTAATGCAGAGATTTTCATGAAACCTTCAGTATATTTAACTGGATTACTAATTTATCTATTACAATTAATTTTGTTTATATATTAATAATATTTTTTTAGTTATTAACTTTTTAAATAGATTTTTGGTCAAATTTTCAATAGAAAAGTATTTTTGCTAGGATAGGCTATAAATAATTAGCCTACTTAACCATTGCATTTTAACGAAACATTCGGTATATATAATCAAATAAGTAATTTTTATCTTAAAAGTATTTTTATTTAATTATTTTTTGTAATTTTTTAGTTATTTACTCTCAAAGTTGACTTTTCTGTCAAATTTTTAATATTTTCTAATCAAAAATGAAATATCAACTTTAATACGTAATAACTAATTAACTTACTAATAAATTTTAATGAAACATTCAATATATATAAATAAATAATCGATTTATCTTTTAAAACAAATTTTGTTAAAATATCATGAATAGTTTTTTAGTTATTAACTTTTAAACTTGAGTTTAAATTCACATTTTGCTCAGGTATCATCAAAAACAAAATATTTACTTCAACAAGCAATAACTAATTAACTAACCAACGAATTTTAATTATTTCTTCAGTATATATTTCCACATATCTAATTTATATTTTAAAACCTTTTTTACCAAAACATCAATAATACTTTTTGAGTTATTAACAATTTAAATTCATATTGCCGCACATTATTTCCACCTTCAGTAAAAATTTAAATGTACTTCAACTCGCAATAATTAATTAACTACTTAGCAATTTGCTATGAAATCTCCAGTATATCTTGCTAAATTACCAACTTGCTTAAGCAAGCAATCTAGGTTAAAGTAGCAATAATACCTTTTAAGCTATGAAGCAACAAACTAATTGAAGGTATGAAGTCGATACGTTTTTTCTTCAAAAATAATTACACTCGTTTTTATTTTAGCAAATAAGCAGTTTATTTACCACACTAGGGCAATAAAACATTTTCTGCATAATTTAGAAAATGTCTAGTTTACAATAATAACAAATTTGTTATTATAACACACGTAGATTATAATATACAGAGTGTTTTATCAAAAATCATCTAAACGTTTATATTATGATTATTTTTTGAAAAATTCAAAATAATTAATTAAGTTATCAACATAAATCAACAAAAATTGATAATTAAATTCCCAAAAACATTCTGAACACAATAAACTTTAATTTATTTAAATATTCCTACAGGAATAAAAGTTATAATGACTCAAATTTAAACTTAATTTTCACGTGTCTTGCGCAAATAAACCTTAAATTTCATGACTAAAATAAACATTAGTCATACGATAAGATAACAACCACCATTTTTAGTGTACTATTAAGTATACGAAACTAAAACTAAACTAAAATAAGACTTACCATCTTCGTCAAGTGGTCTCGTACACAATTCAACACTAATACGTGTCTCGTTTATCCAATTATCTCAATAAAACAATCGAGACAACTTAACGCTTAACTTAAACATATACTTCCACCCTCACACGTCAACAAACCATGTGCGTTATTTCGGTTGCCTATACATTCCATAAACGTATTATGCTTGTTTTATTTTCGTCTACGTCGGTATGTCGATTGATTTGTTACGTCGTATACAATTAAAACGTGTACAATACAAAACACTACTAGTACACAGCTGTCGGTGGTAATATTCTACGTGTCACGCTGTACTTGGCAAAGAATACTTGGCACAAATCAATTTTACGCAGCATGTCTTCTCATCGTCGCGCGGTTTTTATTTGGATGTGTAGTAATTATTCATGATCACGTTTTTACTCGCGTTTTGATTATGATTACACACAGCATGACACGTCTACGATGCGAGCGGTGCGAGACTGACACCGCGACTAGTGTATAATAATAATCTAGGATGTAATTGTATAACAGTCAAGGGTACACACTGTATGCGGGAAAAGTGGTGGGAAAGCTCAAATCAGCTGTTGAGGCAAAAAAGAAAGGAAATTGTAGATAGGGGACACGCAGCGACATCGTTTGGTGATGAGTTGAATGTATTTGTAGATTACTGCCGGTGATTATCGGGTTTAAGAGATAGCTTTCGAAATACAGTAGCAATACACAAAAATTTGTTTTGAGTTGAAGTTTTGTATGTTTTTTATTTGTTTTTTATACAGATGAATGTGGGTTTGGATTAGATGATTATCCAGGAGGGTGCAGAGTTGTTGATAAAAGTTAATAAAATTAATTTTAATGATAATTTGTTGTGTTTTTTTACAACCTGTATAAAGCGCATGATTTTTTCTATTAATTGGCATGGAAAACACCCTGTATCTCATGTAAATATGGAGCAATTTCATAGTTCTTAGCTTCATTTGATAGCTGGACATATTGGCTACAATGTGAATATATTATTTTCTCCCTAAACGGCCTAGAAGTGCCCTAAAATGCCCTTTAAAAGTTGCAACTGTTTTTGAATTTTTATTAGTTGTTGAGGAAAACACCCTGTATCTCCTTCAAATATGAAGCTATTTTAGAGTTCTTAGCCTCATTTGATAGCTGCAGATATCGGCTATAAAATGAGTTTACTATTTTCTTTCTAAACCCTTTGGAAGTGCCCTAAAATGCCCTTTAAAAGTTGCGTTTCTTGTTTTAATTTTTGAAATAGTTGTAAAAAACACCCCGTATCTTCTCTAAATATGGAGCAATTTTAGAGTTCTTAGCCTCATTTGATAACTGAAGATATCGGCTATAAAATGAGTATATTATTTTTCCCCTAAACCCCCTTGAAGTGCCCTAAAATGCCCTTTGAAAGTTGCAATTGTTCCAAAATTTCAATAGTTGTTGTGGAAAACACCCCGTATCTCCTGTAATTATTGAGCAATTTCAGAGTTCTTAGCTTCATTTGATAGCTGGAGATGTCTGCTGCAAGGTAAGTATGCTATTTTATCTTTAAAGTTACTAGAAGTGCCCTAAAATGCCCTTCAAAAGTTTTTGTTTAAGTTGCAAAAGTTGTTTTGGAAAACACCCTGTATCTCCTGTAAATATAGAGGAAATTTAGATTTTTCTGTCTTATTTGATAGCTAAAGAGTTCTGCTACAAAGTGAGTACCTAATTTCCTTCCTAAACCCTTTGAAAGTGCCCTAAAATGCCCTCTGAAAATTGTAATATTTTCACCTATTTTTGATTTTTGGGCCGAAAAACAGGGTCAAATTTTTGTTTCAAAATTATTTTTTGTTGAAAAACAGGGCAAACTCAATTTTATAAATTATTTTCTGTTGAAAGTCAGGGTTGAAATAATTTTTTTAAATATTTTTTGCTCAAAGAACAGGGTCGAACTTTTTTCCTGAAAATATTTTCGGTTGAAGAACAGGATCGAATTTTTCGATTGAAATTTTTTCCTACGAAGTCAAAATAAAACTTTAAATGCCCATAACTCCTGAACTAAAAGGGCTAGAAGGAAAAGGACTTCAGATCCTGAATGCTTAAAAAATTATCTATTACATAAGCTATTAAAAACAACAAATTCTCAATTTATTATTTCGTGTATGTGTGAATTTGCATGTGTGTGTGTGTCCAATTTCGGACCGAAACCAAGTAAAATCGAGTTGTGTTATCCGGATCCCAGAAAGTTGAGGAGGCTGAAACTTTTCGCGGGATTTTTGACTATATCTTTCTCTCTCTGACTTTATATCACCCTCTCTCTCTGTAAACTTTCGCGGGATTTTCGACTGAATTTGAAATCTAATTTCTTTCTCTCTCTGATTTTTCTCTCTGTCTCTCTCTTTCAATTCGTTCAATTTTGCCTCGAAACTACGGGAAAAATTGATTTTTGGTACCAGGAACCCAGAAGTGCGAGGAGGTTAAAAATTTTATTGCGATCTTCGCACGAAATTAATAATTTCAAATCAATTTTAAGAATTTCGCTGAAAATTTTCAGATTTCAATGAAAAAATGTGCCAAAAATGCCAACTTTTAGGGGTGTTTTTAGGACATTTCTAGGCCCTTCAGGGCACCAAAAATGATACCAAACGATGAATCAACTCTTTTTCTACCAAATAAAACAAAGAACGCTCAAATTGAACCAGAAACAGCCGAGATACAGGGCGTTTTCGAGGGCGTGTTTCAAAGAATTGCAAAAAAGGCCAACTTTCCAAGTAGATTTTAGGGCATTTGTAGGGCTTTTAGGGGGTTGAAAAGTATATCAAGGGATGGAGCAACTATTCTTCTACAAGATAAAACAAAGAACGCTCAAATTGAACTAGAAACAGCCGAGATACAGGGCGTTTTCGAGGGCGTGTTTCAAAGAATTGCAAAAAAGGCCGACTTTCAAAGTAGATTTTAGCGCATTTGTAGGGCTTTTAGGGGGTTGAAAAGTATATCAAGGGATGGAGCAAATATTCTTCTACAAGATAAAACAAAGAACGCTCAAATTGAACCAGAAACAGCCAAGATACAGGGCGTTTTCGAGGGCGTGTTTCAAAGAATTGCAAAAAAGGCCGACTTTCAAAGTAGATTTTAGGGCATTTGTAGGTCTTTTAAGGGCTTGAAAAGTAAAGCATGGGATGGTGCAACTATTCTTCAATATGATAAAATAAAGAACGCTCAAATTGAACCAGAAACAGCCGAGATACAGGGCGTTTTCGAGGGCGTGTTTTAGAAAATTGTGAAAAAGGCCGACTTTCAAAGTAGATTTTAGGGTATTTGAAGGGCCTTTAGGGGGTTAAAATATATATCAAAGAATGGGGGAACTATTTTTCTACAAAATAAAATAAAGAACGCTCAAATTGAACCAGAAACAGCCGAGATACAGGGTGTTTTCCAGAGCTTGTTTTTAAAACTCACTGGAAACTAATCTAAGTCAAGTTTAGGGCATATTTAGGACCTTTAGGAAGCGAGAAAGGTTAGCAAACAATTAAATAACTCTTCTTTTTTAAAATAACAATAACCAGAAGTTAGCTCTTTATGAGGTAATAACCATCAGACTACCAAAGAATATAAAGGACATTCGAATGTAATAACTATTTTCGGTTGAAGAACGGGGTCGAATTTTTCGATTGAAATTTTTTCCTGCGAAGTCAAAATAAAACTTTAAATGCCCATAACTCCTGAACTAAAAGGGCTAGAAGGAAAAGGACCACAGATCCTAAATGCTTAAAATTCTCGATTACATAAGCTATTAAAAACAACAAATTTTCAATTTATTATTTCGTGTACGTGTGAATTTGCATGTGTGTGTGTGTCCAATTTCGGGCCGAAACCAAGTAAAATCGAGTTGTGTTATCCGGATCCCAGAAAGTTGAGGAGGCTGAAACTTTTCGCGGGGTTTTTGACTATATCTTTCTCTCTCTGACTTTGTATCACCCTCTCTCTCTGTAAACTTTCGCGGGATTTTCGACTGAATTTGAAATCTATTCTCTGCCTCTCTCTTTCTCTCTCCGTCTCTCTCTTTCATTTCGTTCAATTTTGCCTCGAAACTAAGGGAAAATTTGATTTAAATATTAGGAACCCAGAAATGCAAGGAGGCTGAAAATTTTTGCGCGATCTTCGCACGAATTCAAAATAATTCCGAATTATTTTTAAGAACTTCGCTAAAAATTTTCAGATTTCAATGAAAAAATGTGCCAAAAATGCCAACTTTTAGGGGTGTTTTTAGGACATTTCTAGGCCCTTCAGGGCACCAAAAATGATACCAAACGATGAATCAACTCTTTTCTACCAAATAAAACAAAGAACGCTCAAATTGAACCAGAAACAGCCGAGATACAAGGCGTTTTCGAGGGCGTGTTTCAAAGAATTGCAAAAAATGCCAACTTTCCAAGTAGATTTTAGGGCATTTGTAGGGCTGTTAGGGGGTTGAAAAGTATATCAAGGGATGGAGCAACTATTCTTCTACAAGATATAACAAAGAACGCTCAAATTCAACCGGAAACAGCCGAAATACAGGGCGTTTTCGAGGGTGTGTTTTAGAGAAGTGCAAAAAGGGCCGACTTTCAAAGTAGATTTTAGGGCATTTGTTGGGCTTTTAGGGGCTTGAAAAGTATATCAAGGGATGGAGCAACTATTCTTCTACAAGATAAAATAAAGAACACTCAAATTGAACCAGAAATAGCCGAGATACAGGGCGTTTTCGAGGGCGTGTTTCAAAGAATTGCAAAAAAAGCCGACTTTCAAAGTAAATTTTAGGGCACTTACAGGGCCTTTCGGAAGTCAAACTATATATCAAACGATGTAGCAACTCTTCCTCTTTAAAATAACATAAAGAATGGCAAAATTAAACAAGAAAGAACCGAGATACAGGGTGTTTTAGAGGACGTGTTTCAAAGAAATGCAAAAATTGTCGACTTTCAAAGTAGATTTTAGGGCATTTATAGGGACTTTGGTAGGTCAAAGGATAAAGATCAAAAAGATCAAAAAAACAAACAAAAACACACAAAAACAAACCCAAAGCGACATCTTTTAATGACAGATAAAATATACCAACATTAAATTATGTAATTATTAAATTAAATGTCACCTTGACGTTTTTTCTCTTAAATTTATAATTTTGTCTAAATTTATAGTGATGAATCCATATTTAAAAGAAATCTTCATTGGAGCTGTGTTTATCAGTTTTATTTTTACAGTAAGTATTAGCAATTACCCTTAAAACATATAAAATATTATAAAACATAATTTATTTTAGTTATTTAGTACTATTTGTCGTGGAAGACGTTGAAAAACCGAAAATTCCAAATCACTTCTCAAATATGAACATTCGTGATGTGTGTATTACTGGCCTCATCATGCTCATCGTCTACAACGTAAGCAGACATTACTGGCAATCAAAAACAAAGTAATCAATCATTTCACAAGATCATTACAGCATTTCGAGGGAAACAGTAGTGGCAGTGGTGATGATCGCTAAAGAAAACCATCTTTGTGCGTTAAAAAGTAAAATACGTTTCTTTATTATTCAAAATATCCACAATTTTCGAGTTCATTGATAATCGTCAAAAAGATATTATAAAAATGAAAATACTTCAGATCTGTGTCAAGTAGAAACATCTACGGCCCTTCAAATGGCGGAGCTGTATAATTCTCATCATCAGTGGCACATTCAGCTTCCCAATCGACAGGAATCACATTGGATGTCAATTTAATTATATCTTCAAGTGGGCAGAACATTTCACAGCCTGGTAACTGGTGTTGTATATACTCTGCAGTTGAGTTTTTAGTAAAGATCTAAAAAATACAAAAAATATAATGTATAATCAATTTAAATTTGATTTAATTGCAAATAATATGGAAGGTTTTTATGATAAAAATGAAAATTAACTTTGACGCGTTGTAATTAATTAATTACACCATGAATTTTAATGAAACATTCAGTATATTTGACTTGATTATCAATTTATCTATTTATAGTAATTTTGTTAATTTATCTAAAATATTTTTTCAGTCATTAATTTTTCTGTTAGAATTTCAGTTGAATTTTTACGATTTTTTGATTTTTTTCTTTGATAGCCTATAGATAATTAATTAGACATTCCACTTTAACGAAACATTCCAAATATATACTAAAATAAGTAATTTTAACTTTAAAAATATTTTTGTAAAATTATTCAATGTATTTTTTTTAGTTATTCAGCTTCAAAGTTGACTTATCAGTAAAATTTTTCGGATTTTTTAACCAAAAACTAAATATTTACTTTAATACCTTCAGTAAACAATAATTTCTACATGTAACATACCTCAATTCCATGTTGTTTTGTACTTTTATCAAAAGACATTTGTAAAATTATAGACATAGCATAATTAGGCACTTGTGGATCGAAAACTTTCAAAGCACTCAACAAATTAGCAATAGTAGAATCATGACCACCATAGAGGAACATTTTCGGTGTGAGAGTACCAGCAACCTTCGATCGCCAATCAGAAAGGATCTTCTTAAGTAAAACACCGCCTTTCAAACGTTGCATCTTGTCATTATAAGCTTTGATTACAAAACTGAACGCTGTAGCTGTTTCCATACGATCAAAATGCGGTAAGACCCAATCAGGTAAGTCCAAACCATAAGATTTCTACAATAAAATAAAATAATTATTAATATTAAAAACTATTAATTAATATTTACTTCTGCCAACATAGTAGCATAAATATCTCCAATATCATCAAACGTTTTCATTGTTTGCCCAGATTTTTCTTGGATAATCGCCATCATATCTTTATATTTCTCCAACTCAGCTTGAACCTCAGCTGACTCTTCAATTCTCTTCCTTTCAAAATTATACTGTGGGCAATCCTTAGCCACTAACAACAACTAAAACAAAAACAAAATAAACTAATTTTCTTTTAATTTCAGAATGAAAATCAACTCACCATATCATCATCAAGATTCGTCATGAAAACAGGCACAGGCATCCATGCAAAATCCTTACTAAACCTTTGTTCCTTCGCCGGAGGCCACAACCCAGCATTCACAGCCATAATCGTCGCCTGCGCGCGTTCAACTCCTGTCGACTCCGCTTTGAACTCCGAGATATTAAACCTCGAACCCAGGAATTTATCAAACCTTTGTCTAAGTATCTTCCCCAATTCATAAACACCTTCAATGCCTTTCATAGTAATCATCCCACGTCCATTCGGAGGGAAGTCATTACCCTGATGTGGATCATTCGGATATAATGAAACAGGCGCACGAATTCCATGACGCATTACAACATGCACCAGTTTCAATTCACGGTCATCATCACTTCCGGGAGGAGATTCACGACATGGCCGTCGATGGGCATTTGTTAACGCACCTCCGGATATTAGGAATATTGTGAGTATTCCAAAGGAAGCGTAGAAGAGATTCATGTTGGTGAGTAGACAAGACGATTTTGTATTCTATTAAAATATTTGATTTTATATTTAAACACTGGGAAACAAAACACTACTAAGTAAAAATTTATCTTTAGTCTGTTTATATATAGTATAGGATGATGACACTGATTAGAATATTTCGGTTTTAAAATAATATACGAAATGTAAATTGGCAGTGATAAATGAATATGAATAATATTTCATGCAAGTTTTGATAAATTTGGTTACTTTGTAGTTGTATAACAAAAAAGCACGTAGCAACCTTCACTTTAAAAATATTTTTAAAAATAAAACACTTACACACAAAGTAAGATAATTAATTATCACAGTAAACTTGTTTAAAAACCGAAATTGTTTATATACTCGAGAAGATCGAACGTTAGACTTATCGAAATTGATAAGTATTTAAACAATGATTGAGAATAAATATTAATGACGCATTTTATTCGAATTGTTATGTTATATTGTTAGAATCACGTCACCGGAAACACCTCATTAAATTCTAATCAGCGTCACACGAGAATACACTTTAAACAATGATAAATGTACGAGTATATCATATCAAGTCGTAAAAATCCAACCCATGTGACTTACCTTAAACAGGCTTAAAATCTCCATGATTTATTCGTCATGCTGTGGCTGTTATTTATTTATTTCTGCTACGAGTAACATCGCAGCGCTGGCGAAACTAGTTGTTGTGGAATGCAGTCCACATTGAATAATGAAAACTCAAACTCAAAGAAGTCTGCGGATTCGAAAACTACCCAATGATATAATGTAGTCATATGGCAATACGCCGCAAACAAGTTTATGATTGGTAATCACCTCCGGCGCATTGAAATTTACAATTTTATTATACATTTAACTCTTTATTGTGTCCGAAAGGTCATCGTGTTGTGTTATCAGTTAACAAGGTTATTAGAATATAATATATGTAGTTGTAGTTGTAGTTGAACATGTAGTAATTAATAACCGATGATGAGGCTTTCGTATGGTTTGAGTGTTAGTGGCTCGTGTGATGAAACAATACTATTAACGGCCCATTCGGAGTTTCTGCTTGCAGCTTGTATCAGTAATAGATTTGGTAAGACAGGTGGATTAACATCATCTGCTAAGTTGATGACCACATCACTATTGGCAGTGTTCATAAGCAGGAAGCTTGCTCTGTACGGAATGCCAGCGTCATTAGTTAAATATCGAATGACATTCAGTACTTTCTTTTCTTTTAAAGAATTCACCAGTAAATCACCTTCATGCAGGGTTCTAGTCCGGAAACCATCGACATTCTTATCTAACCAGAAAGTGAGCACGTCTTTCATTTCCTGTTTCACGTCAGCATTACGGTAGTTCAAATCTGGTTGAGACGCGTGGAACTGATGGAGGTAATACTGTGTGTCTTCTCCGGCGGGTTTGGTCCAGGCTGGTCCATGGAAGTAACTGATCTGTGGAAATCATTTAGGGGTTTAGATTAGGTACACTTAATGTGATGTGTGATGGTTGATGTGTTACTTACCCAGTTGCATGGTGGTTTGGCACCACTATCTAAACCGTCAGCCCAGACATAATAATCTCTATATTTCTCTTCTCCTGCTAATGCTTTTTTGAACCATTCATGTTCATCGCTTGTGTGGTTGGGTACAAAGTCCAAGACGACTTTCAGGCCCAATTCGTGAGCCTTGGTGACTAATTCATCGAAATCTTCCATGGTTCCGAATTTTTCATCGATAGCCCTGAAGTCGGAGACGTCATAGCCCGCGTCGTTCATTGGAGACTTGTAGATTGGAGATAACCACAGGGCTGTGACGCCCAATTTGACCAGGTGGTCCAATTTGCTGATGACTCCTTGCAGGTCTCCTACGCCGTTGTTATCTGAATCCTATTATTGAATTTAATATTAATTATTAATTATTAATTATTTTGGATGAAATAGAAGCAAAAAAGTAGCATACCATGAAACTCCTTGGATAAATTTGATAGAAAACGGCGGTTTTCCACCAATCTGGGTTGCCAGCATCGGCGCGAGTTGTCACATTGGTTTTATTTACGTTTACAGGCACTGCAAGTGATACGCCCACCGCGACCAGGACGCTAATTGCGACCCATAAGCACCTCATTTTGATTGAATGTTACACTTTAGAGGTAATCAACTGTATGTGATGTGAGGATGAATTTATTGCAAATATATATGTATGCAGGGATTTGATATAAAAATTTGGTCATGTGAAATACCTAATTGCTGATAAACAGTGATTGGATGCATTAGAGAATTTGCCGCGATGTTATCTAGATAAGTATTATTGGAACGATAACACTTTTTCGCTATGCTTTGAAGTACTGATATTAACAAAACATGTTGATTGCATTCTATGAGTTTCCAACTCATAATGGAATATACCGTTTATGTAATGCATTGATTTTGGATTTATTGCGCAATTCACGTAGAATACTTTTTTAACTAGAAAATAATCATTATCTTATTGAGAAGTTGTACAAAAATATATTTTTTGAGGGCGTTAATTGATATAGTTAATTGACAAGATAAATACTTATAATATAATTATATAATGTTAAAGAAAAGGGCAATAAATTGATTTTTAGTAAGAATTTTTATTTATCTGCGATTCAGTACGAAAAACACTCTGTATCTTTTGTAAAACTAATGCAATTTGAAGAGTCTCATTTTATATTTATCTGTTCTAATAAAATTTTGTAAAATATATGGAAATTTAGCGAAAATATATTGAAACTATTTTATTTCCAAACACATTCCTCTTCCTAAATACTACAAATCCATTTTTAAAATAATTTCAGCTCAAAAATTGCAGAAAAGTGAATGGTATCGCCCTCTGTTGGTCAGAAACGGAACTACATCCGAAAGTTCTAAAGCTAATTACAGATTGTAACACAAAACTTTCAAGCTCTTAGTTAGTGTACGCCACCACTAGATGGCAGCACAATAGCGCAGCTTTTATCGTGTCTGTTCACTTTCTGCGTTCCTAATATTCCAACTAATTTTATTGCTGTTTTGAAGCCATTTTGAACGAAATTTTCGCTTCGAAGTCGTCTGAAAACGATGTTGGGTACTAGGAACCCAGAACGTGCAAGGAGGATGAAGCGCGCAGCTGACATTTTTAAAATTATGTACAGAGCGCTGCATCCTAAACTTTTAAAACTTGAATTCGATTTCGATATAAATTTAAATTACGCTGCTAAATGTGCCAATATTTAAGAGCGTTTTTTAGTGTTTCTGTGGCATTTTCAAAGCGAAAGGATTGAGGATTGTTTAGTTGATAAAGGAACTCTTTCTTAATTACAACTTCATGTTTGACAGATTTGTAAAAACAGTTTTAGAGCATTTCTGAGCATTAAAAGAAGGTGGATGATATCAAATATGATTAGAGACTCTTCCTTTATCACTCAGCAAAGAGATTGATAAAATCGGATGGAAAATGACTGAGATACAAAGAAATTTTCATTTTTAGTTAGAAAAATTGAAAAAAAGATAACATATTAATGATTTTTAAGGAATTACTGAACATTTCAAGGAATTTCAATGAATAAACAATACCAAAACATACGTCCAAGATTATATTTGATAAAAATATAGGTTTACAATGTAATGTGTACATCCAGTTTACATAAATGTTTAACTATCTATCTACCTACAATACAATACAACGTACATAAGTTTGCGTTTGTTCATGGGATCATTTGGATCTTCAAATGGCACTTAACAATAATATTCCTCATCATCTCCATCATCCTCAAAAATTATACAGATACACACTTATTGTTAATATTCAAATATGGAATGTCATCATAATAATATCTGCGCAATAATCTAATATAAGCAATGACTGCTGCATTAATGTACAAGTAAAGAATTAATAACAAACAATGTGCTGTCAAAATGATTCAAAATGTTACGTCATCAGTTTAACTATTTATAATAAATATCTATAACAAATCATATAAAATTGCTGAAAAAGTGCTTCGAGTATTTCTGTTCAAAATGGATACAAACATCTATATTATTTACATAACCTACAATTAAACATTATAAACATTAGAATTGAATATTGTCGCTTATTATCCACTAGCATTAAACATAATATGGTTCTGCTTCTTGACTTATAATTATTTGTTTGTAGAATATGTCTAATATAATATTAGTGTAAAATATGATTTCTTTCATTTTCGCACAATATTTGCAGTTATCTTTTGTAACCACGTCCGCCATTCATCTGCTGGCTATGGACCATGACAGGTTGAGCCATTGGGGGCGGCGGGATTCCTCTGGCTTCGTAAATACCACGTGGCACTTCAGAACGTTCAATTTCATCACCGGACAAGTCTAGATCCTGTACCATCTGCATTATTTCACGTTCCTTCTTGATATCTTCACGGTCTTCCATCTAAAAATATATAATAATTGAGGTTATGTTAATAAATTCTTCAAAAAAAGACTAAAATTTGTTTTTTTTTACAAAATTTAAAAAAAAAATAAAAAAAATAATTGATGAATATATTGTACAATCATTACTTACATCATGTCCATTGGGTATAGGCGTAGCAAACTTCAAATTAGCAAGACTTCCATAACTCCTACTCCGATGTTCCTGCCTAATCGAATACGAAAACGCCCTTTCATTCAAATGTCCCTTCTTGCGATAAATCCCAGTATTATAAGGACTCTCACCATCCAGATTAGGATCATCCAAACCGTTCATACTCTGCGCCATCTTCTTACTCATCTTACTCTTCTCCTTCTTGGCTTTGATGCTCTTCGAAGGACTCTCCATCGTGGCATACTGCTGCATCAAATACGCCTCATGCGGAAAATTCACCGGTTGATAACTGGCAATCGGCGACAACGCACGATTACTCGGCATGTAAATCGGCTCCTCCATGACTTTATTCTTTGACTTTTTACCCTTGGATGGCATGGTCCCGGGGAGAATTATCGGCGCCACTGGTACCAATGGTGGTGGAATGGGTCTCGCCGGGATTAACATCTTACCACGTGGACGATGCGAGAATGTGTTACCATATTGACGTAAAAACTTCGGATTTGGCAGTGTTTGTGGATGATGCGCCATTATGTAAACCGGTTGATGTGGTTGATGCATTGGTGGTTGATGATTACGAGGTTTCAACATGGTGCCTAAAATAAACACGCATTAAAACCCAACATAACCTAATATAAGCTTTTTAGAGGTTATAATACAATACCTGCGATACTATTTGCTTTGCCATTCATCTGTGGATGATACAAATCTTCTTTTGACGCCGCCATCTTCTTTTTACTCTTCTTGCTCTTCTCTTTGACCGGCGGTGGTGGGACCGCGACAGGTGCTTGTATCTGCCTGGGTCTATTCGGCCGCGAGATGGTGCTGCTTGCGTACACATCGTAGATGCCATCGAGGTTATCCTGGGATCCTGCCCAGACTTTGTGGTTCTCGTCACCGTTGTAGATGCTGATGTCGTCTTTATTGCCGATTCCGATCGTGTTGATTGTCATTGTGCTGCCGGAGTTTGACCGGGTCATTTTCCATTCTTCGACGTTGTTTTCTTTAGGGCCGCCGCGTTCGGAGGGTAGCGTGCCGTAGATGGAGCCGTTGGTGTCCACTTGTTTGGCGTATGAGGAGTCGGCGTAGGCGTGGAAGCAGCAGCGGACGAGCGCGTTGGCGGCCACTTCGCGCTTGCAGATGAATGCGTGGCATTCGAGGACTTTGATGCCGCTGGTGCGGCGCAGGATGGCGGCGAACAGAGGTGGATGGACCGGGTTGGGGGCACGTGCGAAGGGTGAGTCGAGTGGGAGGAAGCGGGGACTAGGATTGTGTAAAGTGTTCTTTTCCGGTACCAAAACATACCTGAAAGATGAAAATTTTTAGTTTTTTGTTGATAACTTTTAAGATAATAGAGATATTGAAATTGCATTAGATAGTCAGATAAATTGTTTATTTATTTATGTAATAATAATGAAATTTGTTTAAATAGTTTTGTTGTAATTTAAGGTTAAAGTTGAGAAAATTATTTTTTTAATGAAAATAAATTTGTTTATAAAATGTTTAATAACTATTAAACTAATTAAGTTATTTATTTGAAATTTATACTATTCATAGTTAAATAAATTCTCTATAATCTGTTAAAAGAATAATTAAAATAACTATCACGGTTTTGGAGTAATTTGATTGCAAAGTTGATACACTTATAAATTTAAAAAAAGTAGCTGTAAATATGTAACAACTTAGTATTTTCATCATAAAAGTATCAATTTTTATCATGAAAATAAAAGTAATACACAAAATGATAGCTGGATAAATTATCTATAACATAGTGAAAAAATAAATAAAATATCTTTGACAGTTTTCGAATAATTTGATCACAAAGTTAGTATAATTAAAAATATATATAAATTGTTCAAAAATCATCTTAGTATTTTATCAATAAAATCTGCAATTTTTATCTGAAATCAAATATTTAAACGTCAAATTATAGCTAGATAAATTCTCTATAACATTTACTCATTAAATGTTTCAATACTTAATTGCATAACCTAAATATTTAACCTCAAAGTCAAACTTAATTTCGTCCACTTAAAGTTGCACTTTCAACTCAAGAACTTCTCCATTTGCGTTCACCGCAGTCCCTGTAAACGTACCTATACCCGTGTGTGTTTGTTTCTAAGGTATTTGCACGTAATAATTATGCAATTATGCAGGTCGAAGCGTGGCGAGATAGACGAACGAACGCTCTCGATCAACGAACGAACCAGCCGTAGCAACGAACGTTCGAATGTCCTTGGCGCATGCGATTCGCAACCGCGTTTTTTGTGCAATGCATTTATTCATTAATTTTGTTGTTTATTTATTTATAACTATGCACAACTATGCAATCTACACGTGTTTTTTCGGGCAGTAAAAGTATGAATTCCATTAGGATACTGACTCACAACAAACACATTCGATACAGTCGACGCGGTCGACGCTTCGTCAAGTTTAATGCACAATCATTCGCAAACCAATAGGAATAATTGTATACTGTTTGCGGTGATTTGTAAAGAATTTATCTGTTTATTATTGTGGAGATTTTTATTGCGTTTGTAATAGAGAATAATTAGATATGAGAAAAATAGTGAAGTAATGCATTTTTAAATGTTATTTTTCATGTTTGAACTTTAGACGATTATAACTTGTTAAATAATATAGTTATAAACAAATTGTTTTTACTAATTTATAGAAAATTTTATCCTGTTTCAGAATATGTATATATGTCTAATGTTACAAGAGGTTAAAAGGGTGAAATATTTAAATAATATAAAAAAGTCATATTTTTAAAATTAAAATTTAAAGTTGTTCAAGTTTAAACAATTATAACAACTAAACTAATTATGCGATAAGCTTGGTTTTTATGAAATATTAAAGATAATTTAATTCTCTTTCAGAATATATTATAATTTATCCTCTTATCATTATTTAAACATAAAATATCAACAAAAACATGAAAAAAATCAAAAAAATAACTTTTTCAAGTTTAACCTCAATTTACTAATAAACAAATAAAGTTACCGTAAAACTCTTTACATCAAATAATAGATAATTTAATCCTCTTTCAGAATATATACGCATATCCTATGTTACCACTCATTTAACCACTAAAAACAATAAAAAAAAAAAAAAAAAAGACTTACCTAATGGCCGCGCAGTAGTGCAAACTCTCAATCGGGAAAAACCTCGTGATTTTCTTGTGATTCTCATCAACATTCTCCAACAGAATACCATTAGACCACACACTCAACCAGCTATCAATCCCTCTTGCCCCTGTGGCACCCTGATCCGGATATAACTCCTGCAGCGGCTCCTGAATCCCTTGCAATCCATCTTTCGTCTGCTGCGGCACCGAACTTCCCAGATACAACACGCGACAACGACAAATCGGCGTAGATTCCGACATTTTCCTCCAAAAATTAAATATTTTGATTCAACAACTCAATATCTTCCAGCCTGATGATTTTTCAATGTCGTCAATCCAATGATGAGCACATTATCTAAAAATAACATCGAAATGTATGAGTCAACAAGAGTTAACATTGAAAACAACAAAATAACAATTGAAGTAGTTAATTACTATACACGCCGTCGCGAATAATAGAATCTATGAGAACTTTTTCTTTTTACAACATCGACTTCCTTTTAATTTTTTTCCGTCTGCATTCTGCATGTCTTGTGAATTGATTCAATTAACTCGCCATGCGCGCGTTGAACTTGAAAACAATTCCGTTTTTTGTGGTGGAGAGAAAATTTTACAACATTATAAGCTCGCAACAATCGAGATTCGATGTATAATTAATTTTGATACGAGGTAAATGACTCCTGGTGCGTGTGCGCATGCGCGCCGCGCGGCTGCCATTTTGGTTTCGACGTGCGTCGCATAATGCCGACCGACGTGCCGCTTGTGTAACGCGTCATATTGGCAATATGCGTTTAATTATGTATTATGCGGATCGTAATTAAAGAGTACACTTTCGAATCGATTGTCATTCAATGCAGGAGAAGAAGTATTAACTGTATAATATTAATGGCTTGCAGTGGCATGAAAAATGGATAATATCAATTTTCAACTTTAAACATTAATAACTTTTGATCTAACAAACGGAATTAATTAATTTAAACGGTATTGTGTAGATAATTTAATTATCTATCATTTTGTTAATAAAAATGTTTAATATTTTATGTTTATTGATTATTTAAACGTAAAAAACTAAAAAATATCATTTTATTTGTTCAAACCTTAATAACTCAATAAATATTAAGTTTAAATATTAAAAAATTAATGTAAAATACGTAGAATTTATTCTACTTTAATTTTTGTTAAGTTTAATTGTTTTAACAATGATTTCTGAGCGTTTGAAGTGTCAAAATGACATTTCACATTTGGAATTTTTCCAATTTTCAATTAGCATTTACAGTTGATAAACTTTACGACGCTGTAACTACGATGATAATATATGTGCGGACATGTAAATACCGCCATTATATAGAGAATTTATTCCTCTATCTATTCATAAACAAATGTGTGCATATATTTTATTGTTAACTAGAAATAATTAAAGAAAACTGAAAAAATTCAAAGTGCAAAATTTATGTTTTCGAAGAATACGTAATACTTGATGTTTAATGTTTTGTAACTTTGAGGTTATGGAAGATATCTGGCTAAAGTTGATATGTGTTTATAAATAATTTAATTGGCTTTAAAATGATGTATAATTTGTTGAAGATATATTGTTTGTAATAAAGGATAATTTGATTTTAATGACAAAATGCGCATTTTTGTATTTTTGCTTTTTTGACTTAAAATGCTTATAATTTTAAAACTAATTACGATATTTTAATGAATAATATATCAAATGAAAGATAATTAAACCCTCTTTAATTATGTGTATATAAAGTTTTACTTTTTTGTTGTTAAACCCAAGAAAATTGTTAATAAACTCAAAAATAATTTTTTCAACATTTTTCTTTGAAATATTGCCAAATATTATTATTATTATACCAAAACATGTGGTAATGAAATTGATTAATTCAATAGCACGATTATTACCCGATGTTTAACGCCATTGTCGTGAAGAACAGCGGCGCGCGTGCGCAATCACGCGGCGAAATTAGTTCGCAGCGTTCGCGCGTTCGTTTTCCATCAAATCGCTGCTCATTAAGTCGCGTAATTAATGCAATGCATTTTGCACGCGTATCAGAATGCGAGGCACGCATGTGAACATTGTGAGCACATAGATTGCGCCTTGTGCAACGCGTTCAACCCATGCGCACACAGGTTTGTGTGTCATAGCAATGGGATGCAATGCAAACTGCATTAGAATAATAATAAAATAATAAAAAAAAGAGAAAAATGTAAGTCTTTCATGCACCATTTCATCAGGCGCATAATGGGTGTAAATAGGGGCTATTGTGGAATTAATGGGTTTATAAACAAATAGATTAAATGGTGTTTATAATGAGATTTTGTGTTGAAATGTGAAATATTGTGTTGCTATGAAGAAATAGATTTTGATAGAGGATATCTTTTGTTGTGGAATTGATAGAAACATGAAATAAACGTAGTTTTATGGATAATTTAATAAAGTTTCATAATATTAATAAAAATTGTCAGATTTATTAATATATAGTGAAAAAATTTGAGTAAAATATGAAAAAATGAAATTTTTAGGTATTTTTGTGTAACTTGTACTTTAATTGTTAATAACTTTTGTTGTATTTACTCAAATTAGTTAAAGTATATATCAAATTAAAGATAATTTAATAATATTTAAAAAAATGTATAAATAATATAAAATTTGTTATTATTTAATACGAAAATTTGAAAAAAAATTGAAAAAATGAAATTTTAGTATTTTTTTTCATAAATTGTTGTTAAACCATGAATAACTTTTGATCTAATACACAAAAATTGTTCAAATATTTATCAAATTAAAGATAATTTTATTGCCTTTAATAATATGTATGATTTGTAGCAGAATTATTGTTATTTGTTAATAAAATTAAGAAAAATAAAGAAAAAAAACGTATTTATCTATACTTATCTTGATTTGAACTTTAAACAATAATAACTTTTATTCTAATTATTAAAAATTTCCCAAATTCACATCAAAAGCAAGATAATTAATTCCGCTTTAAAATGATATATAACAATATTAATATATTTTATCCCAACTATCAAATATTTTAAATTTACTCAAAAATATTTTCTCTCAACCAAAAAAACTTACTTCAACTTCAACATCCTGTATCTTCTATAATAAATAAAATATAATTTCAATTTTTTTTCATTACACGCAAAATTTAATCCTCTTTAAAACGATGTACAATAACTACAAAAACAACGCATATTCACTAAGTAAACTATAAAATTCTTAGAAAAATCATCAAAAACCAAAAAAATCTCCGTTACTCCTATATAAAAATATTTCAAGTGTGACAATTACATTACATCCACAAAATAAATAAAACCGAAAAAAAAAACTAATCAGAACGTAAAGGTGTCTTACACCGAAAACAAAGTCGAAATTAAAGCAGACTTCGAGCTACAAGGTGTCGAAACGTGACTTTCTATTACAAAACGCCAAACACAAAATTGTACAACCGAATAATTTAAATTACCCTCGAAAAAATGCAGCAACAATCCACTACTGACCAATCTACCAACCGAACGAAACAATAGATCATTAAATTGTTAACAAAAAAATTGAAACAATCGTAATTATGAGTATGAGCGTCCTTGGCGCGCACAAAAGTAAAACAATTTAAATTGTATCGAAAATAGGCGCAATATTAACAACGCCAGACAATTTACTGATAAAGATAATTATCAATATTTTGAATATTGTGAATTGTGAATGTATTTTGTAATAAAATGCATTCAAATTTGTGTAGCTATTAGTATTATTATTGAAAGTTGTTTTATTGCGTTTGGTGCATTTTTGGACGTGACTGGAATGAAAATGCGGCAAAAACAGAGAGACGAGTGAAATTTCAATTTCTAATTGAAGTTGAAGGAAGAATTTCACTTGGAGGAAAAACTGTCAAGTGGTAAAATCATTTTGAGGTTATGAATTTGATAAAAATAGGTTATAACGTTGAATTATAAAATATTTTAAGGGAAAAACAGTTAATAACATGATTTTTTTATGCCAAAATGTAAATATGATAATAAAATTGATAAAAATAAGTTTATCAATGAAAAATTAGGCAAATTCAGCGTAAAACAAGTGATACTTAGTGAAATACACCAAATATAACCTCAAAATGTAAATTTTGCCTAAAAAACGTCAAAAAATCGCAAAAACTGCAAATATTTTGTGTAAAAACAAACAAAAGTATTAAATTATTAATAAAATTATTGAATTAACTAATATTTAATTATTTATTTGTTCTTTTCAGTAATATTACATTGAAATACTCAAAAGTTAACCTCAAAATGTCAATTTTAACCAACATAACCTAAAAATGACCAAAAATGAACCCTAATATCAATTAATCTTCTTAAAAACGTTATTAATCATCAATTTATTACCTAAATTAATGAATTAACTAATATTGCACTACTTTCTGACACGAATCCTAATTTTTTCATAACATAATTTATCCTATGAGTAAATATCTCGGTGCGTAAGCAAAACGTCAAACAATTAGCGCCCGTACGCGAAATAAGAATTCGGGTCGCCGTGGATTACGCCGTGTGCAACTGAAAAGAATTAAAAACGATGTCGACGACGCTCACATGACTCTTTCTTCTCTTCTCTCCTCTTTTCTGCTGTCTTCTCTTCTCTGCTGTTATTTTTTGCGATGCAGACAACAATTATTTCGAGCCCGACGGATCATCATCATATTTTCGTTGCGTTGCGATTAATAGATGGATTTCTGCGCGTTGCGAGATCCGAGAGAGAAACCGCTCCGCTCGCATCCGCGAATGCAGGATAATAAAACGTATAAAATGCGTCGAACGCCACCAATACTAATAGACCGCAGTATTGTATATTGTATGTGTGTATGAATGAAGAGAATGAAGAATGCCGCGGAGTTTTTGTTGTTTTTTTGTGTTTGCTGCTCTTTTATGCTTTGAGAATCGAGAGAGAATCAGAAATGTCTGCTCCAGTTTGCGGATCAATGTGGAAGCGCGATGTAAGCGCGATTAAAGTTTATTGTAAATATAATGCAGGATTAATTAAGGAGAGAAATGGCAGATTGTGTTTGGTGTTATTTATGTGTGTATTTACAGTTTTATCAGGATTCACGTTGGAAGTAATTTTAAAATTTAATTTTTTGCATTTTTTTATAAATTTGAGTTTTAAAGACATTTTGAGCATTTTTAGGTAATATTTTTATACATCATCTTAAAGATAATTAAATTCTGCATTAAATAGTGGTAATTTAAATATTTTACTCCTGGTAGTACTAATTTTACAGACGTTTAAACTTTACCTTTAAAATGGCAGTCAAAATTTGACTTTTTATAAACAAAACAAATTTAGGGATTGTTTGAAATGTTTTTTCAAATATTTTTATACACCATCGTAAAGATGATTAAATTTGCTACCTATTGATATCAAAAATAATAACCTACGCCTACCGATACAAATTTGACACGCGTTTGAACTTTACCCTTAAAATGATCGTCAAATCTAATGATTTGCATGACAATTTTTTCAACAAATCAATTTTAAAACAATTTCCAAAAAAATTCTATAATATTATTATATATCATCAGAAAGCTAATTAAATTCTGCTTCTAATTTACCTAAATTTAATAATCTACCCCTATAAATACAAATTTGATACGCAATTGAACTTTACTCCCGAAATTGCTATCTAGTGATATTTTTATCATGACAATTTTCATAAAAATCAACTTTAATAATATTTATAATTAAATTCAATAATATTGTTATACATCATCTTAAAGCCAATTAAATTCTCTATCAAATGATACTAAACTCAACCTCCTACCCCTAATAGTTTATAATTTTATCATCATCTAAACTATACAAATTAAAATATCAAAAATGCATCACAATTAAAATGAAATCATTTAGTTATTAACAATTTAATCCCAACTAAAAACAATTTAATAAACATTATCATACATCATCTTAAAGCCAATAAAATTCCACACACAATAGCACCAAAACCACCCCTCTACCCCTCTTAATACTCAAGATATCTTAACCCAAACATAAAAACACTAAAAACACAACAAAACTAAATCTCAACTCACCTTGCAAGCAATATCCTGTTTAAATCCTTCTTCTCTCTGACCACACACTTGCTATCTTCTTATGCAACAGCAACAGCAACAGCAAATCCCTGCGTTTACGTATCTCACACGGCAGTCCTTCACCTCTATAACCTAAATCTCCTCTTGCCTCAACTTACAACTTAACTTCTTATTATAATAAACAAACGTTCAATATGTCCACACACACTACCACACACAGCATAGGCACTTGCTGGAAACACACCTTAGAGGAGCGCGCGACAAGAAATCGAGGCCTTCGACGGCCACGACGACGCGCACTCGCTCGCTCGCAGTGAGAAATCGGCGAGACGTCGACGTGGTACGCGCCGCATTCCACACGGAATTCCTTCGGCTTAAGTCAACTCACACACACACAAAACTCACAAGTTATCAATGCGTACACGATTGTTACGCATTTATTTTGGTGGAGAGATGAACACTGAGTGTAATTGCACTTGTTGATTAGGGTTTTTCGGTGTGTGATTGGGTTTTGTTGGGTTTTGTGTTTGAGTATGAAGTGTGCGAAGCGTTATGGCCGCCGCTCTCGCGCACCGTGTTTGGTGATTGCTTCTGCGCGCTGTGGTTGCGGCAAGAGCCAGCAACAGGTAATCCCTCTACCTGTGAGGCGAGTGTGGACGAAGGCAGGCGGATGTGGACGATCAGGTGTGTAGTTGTGCGGGTAGATGGTTTAGTATTATTATTTAGGTGTATCAGTGAGTTGAGTTTTTATTTTTGTTTGTTTTGTTTTTGGTTTTTCTGTATGAAGAAATGTTTTGTTGTTAATTTGTTGTATATGCTTTTGTAGCTAATTAAATTCTCTTTAATTTAGAGTTTATTTGATGATTGTATGATAAAAAGTTTAAAAGTTATACGGAGTTGAAGTTGAAACTTGTATTTATTTTGTTTTTATGTTTAAAATTGTTATAATTTCTTTTCAAATAGAAATAAATCATTTTTGTAAAGATAATTTGATGTAGAATTTAATTGGCTTTCCAAAAATATGTATATGTAACTGTTTTCTGTATTAATTGTTTAAATAAATGAAATTGATGAGAAAACACACAAAAAGTTCAAATAAAAACTGATATTTCTTTTCGTAATTTTAATTGTTTATAATTTCAAAACTATTTGTTTAAAATAATCAGTCCAAATTCAATTAAATACAGAATTTAATCCTCTTTCTGAATATGTTTTGATTGAAATTGTTGTTCTATTAATTATTTAAATAATCGCAAAAATTCTTCAGAATGCACCAGAAAATAACATCAACTTGTGTCAATTTTAACTTTGAATAAAATCTAAACTAATTGTTACTTTTATACAAAACAAAGTTTAGTTATTGCAAAATTTAATTGTCTTTAAGATAATGTATAATTTCATATGAATTCTTGCCGATTAATGCAAAATATTTAACAAAAACACAAAAAAATCAAAAATAATTTAAAATTGCACAATTACTAACTTTAAACTATAATAACTTTTAAACAAATAGAGATAAACAATCACTCTAAACACAGTTCCATCCAGAATTCAACCAGCTTTTAAAACATATACCCATCAACATACATCCCTCACCAATTATATAAATAATCATAAAAAACCTCCAAAAAATCCACTTCATATCTCCCTCCATTTTAATTCAACTTTCCACCTTAATATCTCATCACACATTCATCAATTCTCCACCATTCCACCATAAACCCCTTCAGAATCTCATCCGCTTCACAACAAACCCATACAATCTCTTCTCCCATACCCACAGCTCTCTTATCATTCGAATTTCGTCCGCGCTGCCAACCACTCTGTATACGAGCAAGGCGACGTTACAGGTGGAATTAAGGTGGGAAATCGTCGCACGTCGACCGCACTGCACTCATCGCAAGAATATGTGAATATGAATGGGCAGCATCATCATGGGAACGAGCATGAATACAAGCCGTGCGTCGTTGTGTGTGTGTTTACGCGTTTATTATATGCGCGCAATTTACAGTTACGTTCTGGGCAGTGCCCTTACTCAATAAAACTCGCTGCGGCGTTCGCTCGTAAAATACGACGATCGACAATTAGGCAACAAGCGCATTCCAACAAGAGATAAATAAATAATCATTCTTTTAAGTCTTTTAAAAGAGAAAATGCGAAAAAAATGATTTTTGACAGAAAAAGTTAAATTTATCTACGAATAAATAATATTTATTAAATTGTTTATATATTGTTTAAAAGAGTGTTAAATTCTCTATTAGTTGATGTTTTATTTGTTAAAATCGAGTGAAAACTTTTTGAGTTATTGTTAATTAAAATTGCGATAATTTTTTCATCCAGCAAAATTTACGTCATTTTTTCAGTTTTTAATTAATAACTCACTTCTATGAATATTAATAACAATAAACAATATATCATTTAAAAGGTGATTAAATTCCCTATAAGCTACAATTTTTATAAACAAAATATCTTAATTTGTTTAAAAGTTATCGCTAGTTAAATTTTACCTTTTCTATAACTTGACTTTTTTCATATTTTATCAAATAAACAATATTTAAACAAATAAATTCTATAAATACTATACTCAATCTTAAAGCCAATTAAATTCTGAACAATTTAATACATAAACAATTCTCCTACACATATTACTTCCCGAGTTATTAATGTTTAAACTTGAACTTTATATTTTGCCTATCCACCACCATAATTACATATCTCCATGCATTCAAACCGAACGAATTTGTAAACTGTCATCAACCTAACGTTTTATTCTTTGTATTATTGTGTTATTCATTGTACTGATTCGTATTTTGTGTGTTTTGTTTGATTGACGTGCAATTATTACGGCAAAACAAACTGAATGTATCTGTGTATCAGCTCGTTGGTGAATTTGGTGTAAGTAGACTGATATTAAGTTGGGAGCGTCCCCACCGAAGTGGAAAACTGTCGAGCCGCGTCGCGGTCGCCGACATACCTGAATATTATTAAACTCGAAGAGTTAAAGATTCTTGCGTTCGAGGCGCGTGTTTGCATTCCGATTGGTTGCGTATGTTGAGCGTGGCACATCCGGTGGACTCGCGTACCAAACAGGTGAATATTTAGTTACATACATAGTAGGTATATACTAGTTGATTTGAGTGTGTGAAGTTGTTTCAACGTAGGCAACCAAGTATACATAAAAGTGTACAGCTGTTGAAATGTTTCAATTAATTCTCTTATTTTGCGGATATTTACGTCTTATCTTATGGAAAATTACCTGTAGATTAAGAATATTCAATCTGTTTTGTTGTATCAAGTTTAGTTGATGAGATATATGTAATCTGCTTCCATAAATCACAATTTTACAAGGTTGATTTGTACCAGTCGAAGAAATCTATAAATCAAGTATTAATTCACTTACCAAACACATTCTAAAAGAAAATATGTGTTAATAACATTGATACAGACTAAATACAACTAATTTAATTGAATATACTCACTGTTATGTCTCAGATTAACCACAAAATCAAAATAAAATAAATTTACAACCGTCACATGTTTCTAAGGTCATACAAATCGTATAACTCACCAGTTAAACCTCAGATGTCGCTGCAATTCAAATCCCAACAAAATTCAAACAAAAAATACACAAAAACACATCAAAAACACTCAAAATATATTTCTCCCAAATAGTTCCATCACAATAATCAAGATGTAACATAAATTTCCGTTTCCTATACTTTTTATCAACTTCTCCACGCTTAAAACTTAAAATCTTCCTTTTACTTACGCCGTACCCACACCAGATGGCGTTGCAGCCGTAACATTCGCATTTGCAGCTTGCGGTGACTGAACAAACTGCGCACGCGTCTTATTACTATTCTTCACATTCTTACCCTTGATAATCTTCAAGTGATTATCCAGCGTGAATGTAAACGGAATCGCAGGCGGCAGAGACACATGCACAGCCTCCATTTCACTCAACTCAGCAAAGCGTCTTATCAACGCACAGAGCGATGTATTATGCGCGATAACAATCACTTTGTTACGCATCTTCAAAGAAGGCACTATGATATTCTCCCAATATGGCAGCACACGATTATAAACCATCTGGACGGATTCTGCACGTGGGATTTGATCAGTTGTCAAATGTTTCCTTAAAAAATTTTATTAAATTTTATTTTTTACTGCGCATGCGTAGCTTACTTATGCATATTATCCATGATACTCTTATACTGCGGGTTTTCTACTTTGATGATAGGTGGCATAGCGCTGTATTCCTCCGACCATTCTTTAATCTTCCTCTCGCCGTGCACCAACGCCATCTGACTACGATTATAACCACTAAGATCACCAAGATGTCTGTCGTTCAACCGCCATGTTGCAAACACTTTCGGTTGTACCATCAATGGTTCCAGGACATGTTTAACTGTTGCTTGCGCACGTTCCAACTCACTTGTATAAGCCACGTGGAAATGTGACTCATCCATCGCCATGATCTTTCCAGCGCGTTTTGCTTGCTCCACGCCGAATGGCGACAGCTTGGAATCAATCCATCCGGTGAATTGTTTGGTTAAGTCATCTTCGCACTCGCCATGCGCCATTAGTGTTATCTCATAGGTTGGAAATCGATATGCTCTTACAGAATTGACATCATGCACTACAGGGCGTTGGAAAATCTGCTTCAATCTTTGCGGGGTGTTACGTTTGAAAATCGACGCCATTTTGGAAATATTTCAAGTGTAATGATAGAATAATGATGATAAAAACGTAGAAAGTGAGAATTTCTGCTTGGGTTGCGATGATTCTTTCCGAAAAACTTAAATTTTTATGACTGTCAGTTGGGAATCTTTTTTACCGACATAGCCGACTTAAATAAAAATAAAAATGTAAAATTAAACAAAACCACAATATTCAAACAAACAATAAGTGTATTTACATAGTTTTACAATTGTTGGTAATATAGGCTTAAATTTAAAACAAAACGACGCCATTTTGTTTCTTGTTTCCGGTTTCTATTACAAAACACATTTTATACATATTTAGGTTAAAAAATTACAAATATTCTAAAACTGGTAAAATTTCTATGCGTAATTTGGCTTCAATATGTCTTCACACTCAACATAACCTTAAAACTAAACAACTTGAACAGTATTGTAAGCACTGAAGGTGACTTTCTTTCCCTGTCGACCGAATTTCCGGCCTGAATCAACGTTTTTCTTTATTACACTCTTCAGTGTGTTACTTTGTGTTTTTTCATTGTGTGCAAGCAGAGTTAGATTACCCAAACTACCGCTGCGTCCTAACCTCGAAAGTTTACCTAAGAATTTATCATTGTGTTCTTTTACAGGATGCGCATAAGGATTCACTTCATGATCATAGCGTTTATTGGGATTACATCCACTTTGTAATGATCCAAACTCTTTTAGTTTACTTGACATGCCGAATAAACGATTTGTAAAGTTACCATTACTATTAGGGTGTAATGTTGGTTGCATACAATGCTGCTGTGGCTGTGGCTGCACTATTATTGGCTTTTTGACAGATTTATACATTGGAATATACAATTTCAACGCGGAGAAACCTCGTGATGCTTTTGATTGTTTATGAGGTTGTTCCTTTTCCTTGGATTTCTCACAATCCTTTTGTTGGTAATATCCTGTGAGGTTTTTAGGATCAGAAAACTTAAAAGCATCGAAATTTCGTGGTTTTAGCGTGTTTTTTGTCTTTACCGCTTCGTATTTCAATATTTCCGGTGTGGGCTTTTGTTTGAAGTTTAAAATAGGATAATTTGCAAAGGATCTGGTATGGTCTACCTGCACACGTACGAATTGACCTTGAAACACGTTACCTAACCCTAAACTAGATTTATCTTCATCGTCAATGTGTAGATTTGTAAAACTCCTGCTTATTGGATGATTTTGAGCAATTTTTTCATTTTCAACTTTAGTATTAGTAATATTACAAGGTGGAGGTGGGGCAGGACCCTTTTTCCGACCCTTTCTAGGTGGTACCTTGGGTTTTGTCTCAATGGTATCCTTAATATCTAAAATATTCTCCGCGGAGTTCCAGATTTTCCTCAAGGGTTTCTCCGAATCTAAAAAATCCTCAATAGACTTTGATTTCTTCAGAATTCGTTTCCTGGTAGGTTTACCCATAGTGGCAAACTTTTCAAACTTAGGTTTCACAACAGGTTCCTGTGGGATATTAGGTAGACTAATCAATGATGAATAATCCTCTTGATAATCATCCTGTCGTGATATCCTAATATGTGTCATACCATCAGAATCGGTCCTCTGGAGGAGATTAAAAGGTAGGCAACCAACATTACTGCTTTTCTGGTTGCATACAGCTTTCACTGTACTAAAATTCTCATGAAAAGCTTCCAGTTCTTTCTGATTGGAGAATTTAAAGATTAGGGTCTCTTCTTCTTTTGATGGTGAGGCAACCACGAGGATTAGAATGTCTGGATGTGCTGAATCTGTATAGCAGACACAGTTGACTAGATTAAAATATTCTGTAATGATATCATCTTCTTTTGTAGTAGTTGTAATAGCTGTAGATGTAGAATTTGAGGTGGTACCAGGAAATTTCTGTGTTTTACTAGTTTCAGAATCATCACTGTCAGATGATGCGCTCCCATTCGCAGAATCAGTCTCCCGAGATTTCGTCATCAATGAAATCGTAGATTCTGTGGATACCAAAGAGATGGTATCCACATCAGATTCGAAACCTTCGTCTAATTCACGCTGGGTGATGGTAGGTTTACCAATAACAGAATTCTGTGTCTTTTTACGTGTGGATTTGATGATTAACTGGTTAGTGTTGGGATTCAAGTCGATTGAATGCATATCGCCTACGTTTTTGTATTGATGGTGTGACAGTACACCTGAATAGGCAGCCATGTTGACGTTGGCGTTTTGTGACGCTTCGACGATTTGCTTCAGTGACTCGATGCGACGACTCAGATCGCGGTGGAGTAGAGTTAAGCGAGACATTTCTAAACATCTAAAACAAAAGATACAGAATTTTATTATTAATAAATCAATTACCAAGGGTACCATCAAATAAAAATATTTATATCAGAATATATTATAATGTCTACAGAAAGTATTTCCAATGATCCCATTAATATTAACCTAGTCGACTTTTTTTATAAAGAAATTCTAAGACTGGCTGTTGAAGATTATTCTGAGAACCTACCAGATGTCTACGAAAGCTCAGATGAAGAACCCACATATGATACAGAATTCCACCCTGATTCAGATGATGCAAGTGCTAATGTGGTACGTCAAAGTGAATTCCAAGATTTTGATGGTAGGTCAAAACTACAAACCAGAATCATTCTGAGTATGAGTCATTACCAACTCCAGAAAGATAAAGAGATATCAGGAGGTACCCTAGAGAGACCTGGGACACCTTACAGAAGTGGTATAAGTGTCATCTCAGAAACAGAACAATTAACAGAAGGTGATCCTCTTATTCCAAGCAATACCTCCTTGAAAGTACGTGATGGTGACTCTGAGAAATTCATTGTAGAATGGTATGACCAGGATAACTCAACTGTAGAAAATAAACGCATCAGATTCAAATCAGGGACGGTTTATTGTGGGGAAGTGGTAAACCATAGATTTCATGGTACCGGGATGTATATCTGGCCCAATGGGGTTGTCTACAAAGGTAGTTTTGAGAATGGTACCATCACGGGTTTCGGGAAGTTGATTTATAATGAATTATCTTATTATCAAGGTATGTTTGTGGATTGTAACTTTGAAGGTACCGGGAGTTTCTTCCCAGGTGCCGTACCTGTTGCCTATTCAGGGAATTGGTTCAGGAGTTTACCACATGGTAAAGGTCACCTTAGTTTCTCCGAAAATAACTACTACACAGGTGATTGGTGCCATGGTAAGAAACATGGTAATGGTACCCGTGTATATGCAAACAAAGCAGTCTATAGTGGTACCTGGAAAAATGGTAAACCCTCCGGAGAAGGATCCATGCTTTTTTCAAATGGAGATTATTACCATGGTGAATGGTCTGATGGTATACCAAATGGTTACGGGGAATACACTTGGAGAGCATACCTGAAGACCGGAATGAGTTATTCAGTCAAAAGTCAATATACAGGGTATTTTGTGAATGGTCTCAGGGATGGTTATGGTGTACAGGTATTCGGCATGGATGGTTCCAAAGTAGCTGCGTTGTTTAGTGACAATAGAAAAAACGGAGCTGGTATTCTTATCTGTGGAGATGGTACCACCATCGAAATGAAACCCTTGTTTGTTTTTGATCACCCTGTAACACTCCGTAACTCTGAGAATCAGATCCCAAGGACCAATGAACGCCAACATTCACATACCATGCATAAAATCTCTACAAAACCCAGGAAATCGGTTTCTGGGTTGAGGGTCAAATCAATCATCAATTCAGCTCTGAGGGAAAGCCCCAAGGAAAACACCTCGGATATGTACTACTCCCGAAGTAGGGTGTCCAACATATTCCCTGCGATTTACACTCGAGGTGTACCTTTATCCCTACCTCTACATGCAACTGCCAAGGATGTATCCATATGGTACCATGTCAGGAAACTATTGGATTACCATCATAACCTCACTCAGAATCAATTTAATTTATCCAAAATGGCTGAAGATAATGAAAGACACCTTCTAAGTAGATCCATAGCTAATAACAATGTGTATCTCAAGAAGGTATACCAGCAATATTCCACTCTGAACCCTTTACACACCTGTTGTCCAGAACTGCGTAATCCTGTCTTAAGCCGACTTAGGTTATGGCAATTTTTACGAGATATAAACATAACAAAATTGAAGGTATCCCTAGTGGATATCGACCTGTTATTGTTAGACATACCTAACATCCATCTGGAATCTGAACATGACCCATTCGAGACCATCTACTTCTGGCAATTCATGCATTGCTTACTTTTACTGTCGTACCTTCAATATACTTCGAGTAAACCCGAGGAGAATACCCACTTTAAACCATGGACATACCATGAAATTTTCAGGACCTTTATCTGGGATGTGGTGAGACCCTCAGAGGGTACCTTCAAAGGGCGTGCGTTGTTTTCATGTCAGGATCTGTTACCGATTCAAGGTGTGTATGCTTTGTATAAAACAGTTGGTGAGCCACATTCTGCAAAGGTGTTACTCAATAGGATCTGTTGTCGGGCTGATAGACCGGTTTTGGATTGTTTCGTCAGGTCTAGAAGGGTTTATGACCCGCAGGGACCTTTTAAGCATTTTGTTATTGGTGGGGCTAATATTGCTTATATTAAGGTGAGGGAGAAGGTACCCTGGGATGTGGAGGAAGCGCCTGTTTTGAATAAGTATAGTGATGACCCTTTTTCTACTGATTTGAGGGTTTTTAGGGTTCTGGGGTCGAGTAAAGTTGTGGAGTGTATTAGTAGGGTTTGTGAGAATGTCAAAGATGGGGAGGATATTGTTTTTATTGAGTATCAGATTACTTTCTTGGAGTTTTATGAGATTTTGATTAATTTGGCTGAGGAGTTGAGTAAGGTTAAGAATTTGGAGGATGGAGGGGTTGTGGATAAGGTGGGTGATGATAAGAGTGTTGATAACGTGGTTTCAGTACATGATTCTAATGTTGGAAGAGGTGGGGGTGTGGGAATGAAGAAAAAGAAGAAACATAAAGTGACTTAAGTTAAGTCACTTTGGGAAATAAATTGTTTAAATTAATATTGCGGGTGAACTATAAAAGATATTAACACGTATGATACGTCAAATAAAAGCTGATTAACTGTAGATTTTTATAAGTTGTTAATAAATTTATAAATTTTATTAGCAACAAAATGGCGGACGTTTTAATTTGGTTTTTATTAAATTATTCAGTGTAATAATGAAATAAAAATTTTAAATTGATGCTATTCAGAGACTATTGAAGATAAATAGTTTATTTTAACAGCATCCATAGAATATTAACTGTAGTTTTGAATGCCGTTTATTTGACGTAATTATCTCTTTTTGTTTCAAAATGGCGGATGATCAAACTTGAAACTACAAATTTTAACATTTTTAAAACAGCATTTTTTAAATTACTGATAACGGCAAGAATTTTACTTCAAAATAAATAATTTTTATATAAAATGAGAGTATATTAGTCATACTTTTATATACAGCTTGTTTCAAACATCTATCTTACTTAGTTAAGCCACTACACTACTTTAAAGTTGACTTAAAAAAAATTAACTCTATTTTCACATCACCACTGCCTTAGATGCGCCAGTTTCATACGCAAAAAGACTCTTCTACGCCTCGGCCACAGCAGCCACATTAGATTGTCGACTGCGAAGCGGATTCGTCGGGCGTCCGAGTTAAGTAAGTAAGTAGGTAAGTCATAATAATAATAAATAACGAGCGCACGCTCACTCCGGCCGGCGCAAAAACGAATTCCACGCCGAAATCATCGCGCAATGAATGAACGAGCCACAATTTCTATACGCCGGCAAAAAATTGCTGCCAAAAATTAGATCGCCGATGCTTAATTAATGCTAATTGGGCGGGGAGGCGCATTTAGTCGAATTAACGCTAATTAAGCGCCGCGGATTCGGTCTCGCGTCGAGTGTGCGCTCGGCCAATTAGTCTAGATGCTTATTGGAACAAGGAAAATTCGCGCGGATTGATTTTTCATATATACTTCCATTATAATATGACTTAAGTTAAGTTATGACTAGTTACGCAGACATAATTTTGTGTTTTGTGTTAAAATGAGTGATTATAGCCAAACTACTTAAGATAACTAGAATGTTTGAACGTGAAACAAAAGAGAATAAAGAGTTTTATTATTTGCAAAAAGAAGTAATGATTTTTGAGCAATAGTTTCAAAATGGCGGACGTTTAAAGTCAAAATAACATTTTTTTTATACAAATTTCAATTTTGGCTCAAAATATCACATAACCTAAAAAAGCTACTGCCAGCAAGTAAACATAATATGAAAGAGAATTTTATATACTATAATATGCAATTTCTTTCAAACCAAAATCTTAAACCGTTCCTTAATTATACCTGATTTTGTAAACCTCGGCATTTATAAACAAATGTCTTTAAATATTTTTTACTTACTTTAAATCAAAATAACTAAAAAACTAATTGCGTAAATACATTTAAACAAATACCATTCGATAGGTATTTTCATAAGCTTTAATATACAGTTTGTTCCAAATGATTATCTCCAATCGTTTCAAAATGGCAGCCAAAAAACTTTACACACCGCACTTTTTTCATGTTTCTCAACTTTTGCTTGTTGTTTTAAAGTTTTAATTTTAATTATTCAATCAATATTCTCATCCTGTTTCATCTTCGCCTTCGATAAAACTTGTTCTCATCCTTGAACTCGTCCATGCGCAATAGCCTTCGACCACTCTACGCAGCACTGACTTAAGTCAAATTCTGCACACACGCAAACTTTGACATTTTGCCAAACCAATCCAAAACCAAGACCAAACCGAATCAAAACTAGTCAAAAGTGACTTAAGTATGTATGCGCATATCATATGACTTAAGTAAGTAAACTAACACAAAAAGTCAACTTAAGTCATCTTACTTATTTATTCCAGTAAGGTACGACGCATGCTCGAAATAAAAATGCAAACAATGCGTGGAAGTGACTTAACAGGTCGGAAACTGACTTAACTTAAGTCACAACAAAAACTTAACACTCATCTTATTGTCGCAATAACAATTAGATAAACATTTAATTATAACAAATGTCAATGGTTGTATAATCGCACTTATAGTTGACTTAAGTTGAGTTAACTTAAGTTAAGCAACTTTCCAAAATGTGCGCGCAAACAGATTTTAATTTAAGTTCTGACTTAAGTATTAATGTTACATCAAACACTCCGCGGCGCTGCTAATTTAATATTTATTTAGAAAGCGCATGTGCACTTTGCACGACCATGTTGTAATTACTTAAGTCACTTCAGGTGACACACACAAACAATACACGAACCGACTTAACCTCAATTTATATCAATATTCCTATTATTATTGATTTCTATTGTTTTTATGCGTTTTAAGTAATTTCAGAGTTAAGTCAAGTGACTTAAGTCATCGAGATGAAATTTTGATGCTAAACGGCGCGTTTTGCACACAGCATGTGAGAGGTAAAATGCGTAAAGAGAAAGTAGAATGAGCTGGACCTCTTTCGACTTAAGTCTTAAGTCTTGTCTGCGATTGCTTGGAGCAAAAGTCTCGCAGACGTGCAGACATTTGAGAGTTGAATGGCACACACATACATGCCGGTTGCTTAAATTTAGTTAATTTCGCCGGCCGAAGAAATCTCACCGGTTTGGGCTTAAGTTAAGTCAAGATGGCGGAGAAAAAGCCGCGGAGCAAAAACACACGCGATTATTTCGCGCGCGATTAACGAAACTCAACTGAAATCAAATTTAGATTTAGCATAGATTGATGCGGCGCAAAAAATGCGAATGAGATTAAGAGTACAATCGGTTTTTTGGTGTGACTTAAGTCAATAACTAAGTCAATAAGACAAGAGTTAGGTGAATTTTTTTGGTATCAACTTTGAATTGGGATATCTCCTAAACTAATTGAGGTAACAATTTGATTCTTTCATTATTTTATAGTATGTTTAAATAGGTATCACATAAAGTTTAAACTTTGAAATTTGTTTAAATAATTATAAAATGGCGGATATTTTGGTAAGAAATGATATTTTCAACGTTTGTTTCAATTCAAAATTTCAAAAATTAATAACTAAATAAGTAACAAAGATATTTTATTGTTTTAGAAAGCAGTCTATAAACAATTTATTTATTTATAAGATATATATTTTTCAAATATGTATCTTAAAGAGTTTTTATTTCATTAATGATTTAATGACTTAATAAAATTCTGATTGCAGTAGTTTATGAACACAAGTAATACCAATTTTAATTTTGAATATCTCTGTAAATAATAAAGATAGAACAACAATTCTTTCAGCATTTTAAAGAACGATTATTTAGTTACTAGCACAGGTAAAATTAAATATTTTTGCAAAATAATAACAAAATGGCGGATGATTTACCAAAAAAATCAATTCTTAAATAAAATTTTCAAAGCTCAACTTTAAATAATAATAAATAATAAACTATAAACAATATAACCAACATCTATACCACAATTGATAGCAAATATCATAGTTTATGACATACAGGGTGTTCAAACTTCTACCTCTTATACTTTTCTATTTACAGCTCATTTTTCAACAAATTGCACACAGCCGACACAATTTTCTCTCAATTTGCGCTCCACGTCTCATTTATTCACAAAATATTTACACAAATATAAATAATATGTGAATGTCTCTCGTGAGAATCACATCCAGACAACGGCGAGACAGTTATCCACGTCGGCGGCATGCATGCATCGCAAAGAGAAAGAGATTGGAATTGTTTTCTGCGTTTCCTAAATAGTTTGAACATTTCTCCGCGCGTCTAAATGTGCTTAAGTGCGCATGTGAGGCGGGCGCGAATCGAAGAAAGAGGAGAAAATTCGTGGGAAACATTCGCACGCATTATACAATTACGCCGCGCTAATATTTACTACGTTTACTACCACATTTGCGATGGAGAACAAACAGAATGTCCGAATGAGAACTGGTAACTTGAGACATGCGCTACTAAAACAAGCGCCGCACACTTGGGAAGCGAAAAAATCGTTTATTTCTGGAATTAAATAAAAGAAAGCCGAAAAATGCTAATGTAGACTTAAATATGTAAAAGGTGTAATTGTTAATAAACGGCTAGAGAATCTAATTACAAAATGGCGGACGTTTAATGATTAATTTTGTTTTGATGTAGTATTTTTTAAATGTTTACTTTAATCAACAATAACTTAAAAAGTATTAGAGATATTTGTGTAATTTAAAGTGTAATTATTAGTAGATATATTAAAAATTAATATACAGGGTGTTTTTCGGTGAAATTTAATTAATTCTAATAATTATAAGTGTTTAAGTTACAAGATGCAAAAAATGATGGCAAATTTTGTTTGGTAAGTAATGCCAAGTTTAATTGTTAATAACTTTTAAACTGTTTAAACAATTTAAATAAAATTTACAGAATTTGAAAGTACATTTAAATGAGTATTGAATTATAAAAAAAACAATTAAATTTGTACTAAAATTAACAAAATGGCGGAGGTTTTAATAAAAAAATCATAATTTAGGCAATATTTTTGCAAGTAAAGTTTAAACATTAATAATTACAAAGATAATAATGATATTATCATATTGTTGACGACAATTGATAACAAATATATCGAAAAATAATGTATCAGGAGTTCATAATTCTAATCATTATACTTTTGCTATAATAAAACATTTTAGTTCATTAATGCAATTTTGAAAAATATATTTTTTTGATTAAAGTAACATCAACTTTAAACTTAATTATCTCTGGAAATAATAAAGATAAATTAACAATCTTTTCACCAAATTAAAAAAAATTTAAATATTTATCAATTATATTATTATTAATCAATTTAATCGATTAGTTCAAAAATGGCGGACGTTTAAGTGCAAAAAACGCAATTTTCTAAACATAAACTTTATCCTCCAATAATTATTAAAATATAAACAATATTTCAACATCTCTCATCAAAATAAACAATAGAAACTCTCTAAAAACCCAAAACATTTAACCCGTCAAAAATCCGTACATGGTATAATAGTTAATAAACATCCTAGAACCTTCTCGAAACCAAATGAAATAAATTTGTCAGATTTTCATTGCATGGGTTGGGCATGTGTGAATAAAAACCCATACCCATACGTACAAAATAAAGAGTTTTAGTTTTCGTCGCGTTTGGTTGACTCCGAATGACACACTTGCACGCCAAACATTCGTGTCACGCATCGCACACTCACCGAAAACTCCTCACACTCGCGCCGCATTAGACCAAATTATGATTATCTGCTGCTGTGCACGTATTCGGGTGAATTCCTGCGAGTATGCGAATTAAATAATACGCAGTTAACTGGAGTACTAGAGTAATAACACCATAAACCACATTAGAGTGTTTCGAGTCGGAGTTTTCTGCATTCGTCGTATTTGCGTGCGGATTTGTGCTAAATGTCTAATTATATGAATTTGGATGGTTGTATATGTGGTGTATGTAATTGGTTATTTGTGATATATGTAATAGAGTAGTGAATTAGTAGGTTTCTTTTGTTTGTGGTCAATTTATTGCGGTTTGAGTGTAATATCTTTATAAATTTGCTTTTTTTTAGAAATTTGTTGGTTTTGTAGTGATTTATTAATAAAATTGGGTAGAAAATTGGTGGGATTTATTGATTATTAGTTTGTTTATTATATTTAGGAAGAAAAATGGTAAAATTTTATGTTTTTATGTGTTTTTTGACGGTTTTAAATTTGGAGACTTCAATGCTAGTGCAAATCAAGACAGTAACCCAAAACTTAATTTTTTTTAAAATTACTAAAAAATTATCTTAATGAAATAATAGTATAAAATTATAAACAATATATAAATTAACACCTATTTTACAGTTTCTGATAAAATTTGATTATATTAGGCTTTGTTTTTAATTATTTTTTGATTTTTGAAATTTTTTTGTTGATTTATGTCAACACTTTAGAAAATGCACGATAATTCTTACATCTCTCAATATAAAACAATAAAAATAAGTAATAATGGAAGATACATAAATACTCTTTTAGATTGCGAAATAAAAACGTATTAATTTTATTTCTAAATAATTGTTATTAATTTTTAAAATGGAATATCACTTTTTTCTTATTTTTCTCTAATAAAATTTGAATTTAGTTACAAAACACTCAGTAACTTAAACAAAAATTTATATAAATTCATAAAAATATATTCATCTTATAGAGAATTAAATTATGAATAAACTCCTATAATTATTTTTGGCAAAAACTGCATTTTAACCACTTATTTATTTGTTTAAAATTAATTTTTAATAATTTGATTTTTTTAATAAAACTATGAATAAAACATAATTTAAGGGTAGTTTCCGACCGGATATCTACCTAAATATTAAGTTACTGTGTCGCTAAACACAGTATAAATAAAACAAACATCAAAAACCGGATGTAAACTCAAAATAAAAGCGGAAAACGCGTCAAACCAAAAGAAAATAAAAAATAAACACAAAAAATAAATTTAAAGCAATGGGAAGTAACAGTTAGAGGGTTGCAACTCAACCGTAAATTCCCTAACTTAAATCCCCTACACAACAACACTATTACAATTTCCTGTTTAAGTTTTATTACTATTATTATTTTTCTTTGACATTCAAACCACAATTTTTCTCGTTCAACTTTTTAATTCGTTTATTCATTTAATTTATTGCACGTTTAGCATTCGACCATCACGCATCGACATTCGAAAGTATTTCCTTCCTTCCTGTCTGTCTACCGATACCATTACCATCACCATCACCATCACTACTCTCCTCTCTCATATTACTTTTGATGGTCAAGCTCGTGCGTCTCGAAATGTCGATAAGAACAGCAAACACAGACAAATAAGAGAGAAAAAAAAAACGAAATTGAAGAAATCGTAACTTTACTTCAACTTTACTTCTACTCTGTAACTCGCGCAAGAATTTCGCCTTTCTGTTTTGGGTTGGTCGATGTAGCCACCAGCATCCACAACTACAACTATTTCGAGTCTTGAGGAGAAAGTATTTTATAAATATTTGTATTGATTTTGAAGTTAACTTTAAATCATTTTTAAAGGTTTCAAATCAAAAATTTTTAATTTTTTTGTTTTTAGCAGAGGAAAAGTAAAAGCAACCGGAAATCATTCACTACTATGTAGATGGATTGGTACTTGTACAATTGAAACATGAAACAATCAAATGTAGTGTGTTTTTCTTTTTGCTTGTTTTGTTTGTTCAAGGAGCGTTTATGTGTTTATAAATTGATAGAGTGATGATGCACTCACTTAGATGAAGATGCAATGAATGGAATTGAATACAAGACTCAATCGAAACGTCCTCGTGACCAAATCAACGAAGCATTGCACGTTTACTTAGCGCAGATCACTTTTTATTAGGTTTTTCTAATGGAGACTTTAATGCTTCAAAAAATATAACAATAACAAAACAGTAACCTATATATTATTATTTTTAATATTTTAGGTTAATTTATGGTTGATTTAAATGTTTCTTATATTGGTGTTTAAATATTATAAATATATTTTTATTAATTTTGGAAATTTTTTATGATTTTGTAGAAATTTATGAAAAAAATTGTTTTTTTATTATTTTCTTAAGATTATAAACAAATTATAGCCATAATAAATTGTCTATAATATGTAAATTATAGTTTTTGATGTATATTATCGATGTAAGCAAAAATATTGGTTTATTATTATTAGTTCAGGAGTTATTGCAATTTGAAATTTGTTTATTAGAAAATTGCAATGTTTTACTTAATTTTAAACTATGTCTATACCATGATAGATACAAAACTGTTATTTTGCGCACTTTATCTGGATTAAATTATCTTTTTATTAACGTATTAAATTATATTTTATGTTTATTATTAACAAAGTTATCAAGTTTTAAAGATAGACTACCTTTCTTTGATTTATTGCAATGTTTTTTATTGTTTAAAATCAAAAATAGCAAAGAAGCATAAAATTTTCATTACTTTCCATGAACGTACTTTATTGCCATTAATTTTATCTACTAATTAAAATAAAAATCAGGTTTCTATCTTTATTACTTCAAAAGTTATAAACAATTTAGTTTTTCCACCAAAAAAATCTCATTTTTTTTACTCCAACCCTGATAACTCAAAAACCACAAACACACCAAAATCAACCCTTATCAGATCATAATCTACATTAAATTCCCTTTCCAAAAACATCTCACTCAATCCCCTACAATAAAAATTCCCAAAGTTACAACAAAAAAACTTTTTAAAATCCATAATCAAAAAAATAGAAACTGTTTCAATTAGAATAAATGCATTTCAACGAAAAGATTTTTTCTAGTTTCGACTTAATGCTTCGCCTCCTCCGTAATTTCCTAAACGCTCAAACTCACATTATTTACATTTCCAGCACTTCAATTAATTTATATTATTTATTAACAACTCGAAATCACAATAAATTTCTATTTTATTGTATTTCTCTTCGCTGAATTCGATTAACACCATGTCGCAACATGTTCCAAGCAAACTCAAAGTTTCCATTTCATGTTATTCATGTTATTCGCAGTAATTCAAGCCACAGTTGATAAAAAACGAGTCTAAACTAAACTAAACTCAATACGCACCGCGTAATTAACACCGAAATGGATTACATTACACATGTCCAACAATAGCAAACAAATTGTAACCTAATATCACTTCTATCTCTCTTATTAAACCAGACATAACCTAAAATATAAATTTTTATTTAAAATTAATTCTCACCTCTTAATTCACTCGTCCTGATTGATGAACTGTTTTATTTCTAAAACTCTTGTTGATTATTTATTCCTGAAGTACGTGTAGGAGTAATCCAAGTGGAAGATAATGTCCCCAAGGCACATTGTTCACTTGATTTTAGAATTGCGTTCGTAAAAGTCTGTTTTTTTCATTGTGTTTTGTTTTAATTTTAATTTTAATGTTGATATTGATATTATTATTGATAGTTTTTAATACGCGTGTTGGTTGGTGTGTGTTGATGTTGACTCGCCGACGTGCTGGTCGGTATTGAAGGCAGAACGGAGTGTGCGGTGTAAGTAACAGGTGCGCGAGTACCTGCCTCGACGCTTAATGAAACGTTAGTGGCACATCGTGCACATGCTTGTAACGTTCCAACGTACCAGAGTATCGTGAGTAGTGTGTGTGTGTGTGTGTGTATGTGTGAATGTGTGTGTTATTCGGTTTTACTTCCACTCTTTCACTTTATTTCTTGCTTTCCTGGGGCTATTGGAGCTATCGGTGTGGTAGCGTGTGTAAAATGTGTGTTTTGGGCATGCGAAGGGAAGTGCGGTGTATTTTATGTGTAGATGTGGTAAAATGTAAAACAATTTATTGGTTTTATTTGATTTTTTTTAATTTTGTGTAAATGTAAGATTTTTGAGTGTAGAGTGTATAAAATTGTGGTTTTAAGCACGTACAAGGATTAAAAATGATGTAACTTAAGTAATAAATCTTTATTTATGTTCAGTGTATACCAAAATAGCGAATATAGATGTCATTTGATTTAAAAATTGATTTTAATTTGTTTTTTAGTGATTTTTACTTTTTATTCAATAAATATTGCTTTTTATTGTTTATTAATTAATTTTTATCAACTTTTGTTATTAGAAATAAATAATATCATGATTTTTTTCTTTTAAATTTAATATTTTTCGCAGAAAATATATATTTCCCAATAAATTGTGTTTATAAAGTTGCCTACCTCATATACTACATTAGTAGCAGTTAAAAATGAGCTTGGCAACCAATAATACATTTAAATACGTTTTCTTTACATTCTGTTATGAAAAAATTATAATTTCCTCTTTAAAAACTTACAAAAAACACAATTTTAACACTTTTAGCCAAAAATTTACTTAAATAATCACATTTTATTCAATAAACACTTATAATCTACTCCTTATTAACTATTTATTATTTATTAACAATTATAGTAGATATTTTTATATATCTTGTTTCTGTTTCTGTTTCTGTTTTTGTTGTTGTTGTTGTTGGTGCGGTTGAAAGAGAGTTTTTGAACGCCGAATTATTAAAGAAATGAAGCCAATATTAATCGACAGATGGTAATTTAGTCTGGTGGTCGACGACCACTTGTCTGGCCATGTGAAAGCCAAAGTTAAATTTATTAGTTGTATTACTTTTCTACTCTCTGCATCGCGCGAGGCTTTGGGTATTCAAATATTTTGTGAATGCAGCACGTGAAGAGTGAGTTCTTCGCTTTTTTTCTTTCTTTATTTGACAAATTAGCTGATGATTTGTGTATTGAATAGACGAATTTGTCAGTACTTTCGAAAAGGAAGGATTATTTCTTTACCACTTGATTAAAATGATTGAAATTTTTTGTATTGATAGTAGGATGTATAGTGTATAATGTAGAATAGTAATAGTTATGGTATTTTCTTTATAAGTTGGGATTATTAATTATTTAAAATTGGAAAAATATTTTTTTCTTAAAAAGTGTAATTTTATTAGAAACACTATGCATCATAGGAAATAATTTGTTTAGAATTATGAAAATGAATATAGGGATAGAGAATTAGATGATGAACAACATTATTTTTATATTATTCTAAAATAATAATTATTAATAAACTTTTTGTTGTTTTAAAGTCTAAATTTAAAAAAAAATGAAAGTTAAGAAAAAATTTACACTGATTTTTGTTACAAAACACCCTGTAAATTACAAAATACTTAGTAAAAACTTACAATAAATTAAATGTTGTTTAAAAATTAAATTTTCTTTCATATTCCGTATAAATTTTGCAAATATATTAACTTTTAATAATTATTTCGTATTTTTAAAAATAAAACTTATTTTTAATGATTAAAAAAAACAAAAATTACAAAAACCTCCATAAACTAAAAACTAAAACCGAAATCAAAACAAAACAAATCCAGAATTATAAACAATTAAATTATAAACCATATTATTTTTGAAATTATTTAAATAATTAATAACTAATGTGTTTTTGAACACTTTAAACCTCATACTTCGAATAAAAATCGCAAAAACAGCTTATTCATAACAAATTAAATATAAATTAACTTATCGGGACAATCAAACGTAATCCAAGCATGAAATTAAAGCAATTATATATTTTAATCCAAAAAATAATTCATTTTGTCATTTCAAGTTTAATTCTTCACAATAATCAGTTTATTTCCATCAAAACTAAATAAAATCAAATAAAATATATTAACAAAAAAACATAAATAATATTATTCCAAATTCGCATTTGACAATGGACGAACGTTCTTGAACAGCTTGACACTTTATCACCAGTGTTTATTTATTTGTTAATGAAGTAATAATAAATTTATGCAAATGACCACTCGGCGTATTTTTTAAATGTCAATGAGATGTACACCTTTCACAACCGCAGCTACAACTTGTTTTTTACCCAATTCGTGAATATACAGCGTGTGTATAATCAAATTAACACATTATTCACGTTTTAAACGTTTTCTATAAATGTAACAATTACGTAACTGTGGCTATATTTGTACGGTGTGCAACTGGATGCGTTTTGCTAAAGGTAGAAGGTGAATTGATGCTTTGGACCTTTAAAAGTGATATCACGTGATCGGTTTTCACTTTGTGCACACGTTTTTGCGCAAGTACGGCGCGGAGAAGATGCTACGAGTCGGGAAAGTTGCGATTTCGTGTACTTATGACTCTTGAGAGTTTTCTTAAAGGTGTGCTTCCTTGTTTTCGAGAGTGCGCTGTGGAGATCTTCCGGCATTGCGATGCTTTGCGTGCTAAAGCATGAAGAATGTTTAAACAATGTAAATGTTTGATTTGTAATTCAATAAGGAGGAAATCGTAAAAATTTCTATGCATAAAGAGGAAAAATATGAATTGTTTTAGTAAAAGTTTTATAACTTTGTTGATATTTGATGAAAATTAATTATTTTTTTAACAATAAGTAAAGGAATAAATTGTTTATCATATAATGTTTAAATTTTTTGAAAATAATAATATTTTATATTTATTTTTGATTTTTAAAATTTGAGTAAAAATTTTTGGTGTTGAAAAAAATCAAAATTTATTAAAGCACACAGTAGAGGTATTAGTTATAATTTAAATTTAATGAAAATTTATAGTTATATTAACAGATAGTTTATAAGTAAAATGGCGTTTAGAATGGTTAAAAATATTAATAATCTATATTTATTTCTATTTTTTAAAGTTTGTATTACAAATTTTGTTTAAGAAAAATCAAAATTTATTAAAACACTCAGTAAGGGTTTTAGTTATAGTTTAATTTTAATGAAATTTTGTAATTATATTAACAAATAGTGTATAAATAATATGACGTTTAGAACAATTTAAAATATTAATAATTACTATACTATTTTTACTGTTAAAATTGAGATTTTAAATTTTTTTTAATAAAAATTTTGAAAATTTAATTAAAAACTAAGAAAAACGCATGAAATATTAATTATTTTACATGTAAATTATTATAAATAATTGAATAAACAAATAATCTTTAATTTTTACCTAAATTTATTTTTTTATAACAAATATCAGAAGTTGAAGTTCGTAGAAAGTTGGAAATTGTTCCCATAAAGTTCACAAAACAATAATTCACTCACAACATGCTCACATTCTTTCTCCTCCATATTATATTAATATTTAGTTAGTTTTGACTTTGTTTTCATAAAAAACGTTGCCGCGAGAATGGTTCTCAAGTGTCTCATCGCACAATGCGCGCTCGCAAGAACAAGGCGTCAACAAAACAACAATAAATCACCGCCGGAAATGAGAAATGTTTTGAGAGCACGCCAAATTGGATGAATTAACAATTTAGTCGTAATTAACTGCGACTCGGGCAAAGGCAAATAATAATAGGTACATATAATTAATGCTAAACGTTCGTTAAACAATCGCGAATCGAGATACAAACGTTTTCGGGAGGAAAAAATACAACAAACTGAATTGGAGTCATTAGAAGCTTATAATTACAATTTTGAGTGTTTTTGAGAGGATTAGAAAGACTAATGGATTAGTTATACGTGTAATTAAGTTTGATCTAGTTTTTTTGTTAAATTTTAAGATTTAAAAACAAATTAACAATATTTCGAAATATTAGATTGGGCGGAATAATTAGTCAAGTTTGACATAAGATTACCGGCGTTGTAATTATTCTAGAAACAAAAAATTGCAGTAATATATTATTTAATTAATAATTTATCCAATAAAAGTTTAATTTTTGTGTTTGAGCTTTTAGAGACCTTTTTATTGAGCTTTTATGAAAATTTGTTATTTTGGACACAAAAACGTAATTTTTGCATATTATCTCTAATAACAACAAAAATATAGTTTATATTTATTTGGTTTAAAACCTAAATAATAATCCAATAATTTATCGATTTAGTAACGTTTTGTTTGTAGTTCTAACCTTAAAAGTAAATAAGTTATGCTTTTTTGAACTTTGACATAATATTTACTTCAATACTTAAATTTGCATTTTAAATTTATCAACTTTAACGCTATATTGTAATTGTTGAAATTATTTAAACTATTTGCAATAAATTGCAGAAAATAATATCACTAATTCTCTATCTATTGACATAAATTTTACTAAAATTTAATTAACAGAAATCTCAGAATCTTAAAACGAAAAAAAAATTACAAAATTTTTATTTAAAATTGAATCTTTTTAATTAAACCTAAATAACTCATCAACACGAAAACATATTTTGTTTATCTTAATTTATAATTATTCTCTGATAAATTTCCTTTTTAATGATACTTTATTAATTATTTTACGATAATAATAACAAAAGTTATAAGCACTGAAAATTAAACATTAGAAAACACAAAGACAAAAGACAATTACCCGAATGAATCAAACAAATGTCTAATTTAAAAAAGAAAATCACAACCGAATCGGAAGTGGAACAAATTGTACAAAAGATCTCTGCCTTAATTACCACCCAATTGTTCCTAATACTAATTAATTAATTAATTAATCTCCAATTATGATTTGAATAAAAGTGATTAATTTCGAAACAAAGTCAACAATTCCGAATTGTAAATTGTATTCTTGTGCACCAGTTTAGTGACTTTCATTCAATATAAAACTTTAAATTATTAATTAATTTAACAACAATTAACGCTTAACTCTTCTCCTTAAAAGAATAAGCCGAAGAAGAAGAGAAATTTGACTTGTAAGATGAAACCAACGCGTATTTTAATGAATGAATGAATTTGTGGTAATTCCGTGGACTTCTTGCGGAAGAGCACGACACTCGTGACTTTTTCCGAGTGTCGAAGGTGACTCTTCGGTAGTTCTTCGGATTCCTCGCCGCTCCGATAGAAATCGCGCGCGACCCGTGAACTTTCTCACCTTTCTCTCAGCGTGTGTACCGCCAGCAAATCGAAGACGTTGCAAAATCAACAAAAATTGCATCCTACAAACAATTTCCGTTTTTCGCGCCGAGAAGAAAGTTTAATTACAGCAATTAAAACATACAGCACCGCGGATAATAGGATAATAGCGTGATCCTAACCTAAATTTATTTTTTTAATAAAAACTGCAAAAAATTGTTTTATGCGATTTGGACGTTTTGACGGAGGATGCGAGTCGTTAACTTGTGTCGCTCACCTTGTGCCAGAAAAAATACAGTTTAAGAAGCTGTGTGTGTATCAATCGGTTGAAATTAACCAGCGAGAAATGAAAAGTTGATACACTTGAAGATAAAAGTAAAAGTATTGGAATATTTACAGAAAAAACATAAAAAACGTGATTTTCTTTTGTGTTTATTAATTTTTCTTTATTTTTATTATGTGCGTGTTTTTATGCGGTTAACAGAATCTAATCTAAATAATTAATTAGTAATAATAAGATATTAAGATGATCTTCAGTCTCACTCTCTACTCATCAATCATTTTATTCCAGTTTATTGCATGTCGTTATTGTTTATCTGTTTATATCTTTCCAATCGGTTCTTTTCTTTGTTTTTTTTTCTTTCTGTGCTTTGGTGTAAGTGATAATGTGTAAATATAAGTGTAAATATAGTGAAAGTTGTAGATTGTATGCATAAATGTTAATGTATATTCATTTGTTGTTTTTATTGTTTATTTAATTTGCAATTTTATGTTTCGTGCTTTATTGTTGAGTTTGTTGCGTTTGTTGAGTTTCCGGGTGGTTTTAATTGTTTAGTAGCTGTGAAATGGTTGACAATTTAAGTTCCTTCCGGAGGTGGGTATTGTTATTGTAATTATGACACGTAAAGTTGTTTAATATTTAAAATTAATTATGAAAGTAGAATTTTTTTTAAAGATTTTTTATTTTTTTGCTTTTTTTTATTTAAAATTTAAATAAATTAATGTTGTTAATTGTTTTTAATAAATATTATGTGATAGGTTTGTTTATAATTTATTATATTATCTTATAAATTATGACTTGTGGATGTATTATTATTATTTTTTAGGTTATAAAGACTTTTAACTGAATTTGATAAAATATTACAAATAATTACATTTTTGTCAATATCATCCAAACTATTAAACATACAAAATAATCCTTTAACAATTATATTCTCTATTAAATTCCCTTTCTAATGACACTTTGTTTCATTCTCTACGACATTTATTAGCAGAGTTATTCACTTGCAAACTTTAATATTAAAAAACAAATTAAAACTCATACTTTAATTGCAACAGAGTGTAACTTTTAAGACTTATCCACTTGTAGACTTTTAATTTATGCAATTTCCGTTATAGTTCGGCGTTTTGTCTTTAGAAAGAATTTGCGTTGACGTAATAAATTGCATTTTGCATTACTCAATCATTCAATCGGACAATCTCCTCAGCTCTCCTCGCCAGTCGCAGTTTCTTGAGAGTCAAGTGAAGTAAACGCAGTTAACTATGTATTACATATGTTTTTACAAGAATGCTATGAAGTATGCATAATACTGTTATAAACAATTAATTCCTTTGGAATATTGTAGCATTTAGTTGTGCATTGACCACGTGTGCATAACTAAAGCTAGTTAGAGACTACCGGTATACAATTACAGAAGAATTAATAAGCTGCTTATAGATATTATATTGAAATATGGTTGTATTATGGAATTGTAGTGTTTATTTTAAGAAATTTTATATGGAAAAACGTTGTTTAATTATTTTCTATCATTTCCTGTGCTCTAAACTGCCTGAAAATGATATAAATCCGCTTTTAGACTTTCAGTTTTGAGCACACATTTGTATAATTTATAAAATCTGTTGAAATTGTTTAAAATAATAAATTTTTCGATTTATTTTATATCAAAAATTAATGGAAAAGTGTTAACTAGCGTCCTCTATCTATGAAAACATAATCAACCACAAAGTTTTCAAAACTGCACAACTTTCAAAAGCAAACATTGGTTGCATACAGTCCCGGTAAGTGAAAGCTTCCCGCCGAGACTCAAACAGCCTACTCACACATTCTGGGTTCCTAATACTACAAACTAATTTGAGACGTTTTCAAAGCGAAAATTTCTTTCAAAATTGCTTCAAAACGACAATAAATTCAATTGGAATATTAGGAACCCAGAAAATAGGCATAGACGATAAAAGCTTCGCTATTGTGCTGCTCTCTTGTGGTGACGAATTGTAACTAACTTTTGAAAGTTTTCTCATGCGCTCTGTAAGTAGCTTTGGAGCTTGGAGTTGTAGTTATTGTTTCTTGGCAATAGAGGGTTCGTTTTTTTAAGTGTTTCGATGAATTTAAATTGTAGGGCTGTAAGAAACGCCCTGTAACTCGGTTGTTTTTGCTTCGATTTTGTTGATCTTTTAATTATTTTATAGACGCTGAACTGTTTTATTGTTTTCTGGCTGCTTTTTTATTCTAAAGGGTTTAAAAATACCTCAAAATCGACCTTGCATGAACACTTGCTTGGTAACTAGGTAAAACAGGCTTTGAAATATACCCTGTATCTCGGTTGTTTCTGGTTAAATTTGAGCGTTCTTAAATTTATATAGTAGAGGAATAGTTGTTTCGTCGTTTGATATACTTTTTAACTTGCTGAAAGCCCACAAATGCCCTAAGATCTACTTTGAAAGTTGACCTTTTTTACTATTCTTTGAAACATGCCCTAGCAAACACCTTGTATCTTGGTTGTTTCTTGTATAATTTTATCATTCTTTAAATTGTCTTAGAGAGGAAGAGTTGCTACATTGATTGATATCTTGTCAGACCTCTTAAGAGCCCTAGAAATGCCCTAAAATCCACTTTGAAAGTCGACCTTTTTTGCATTTTTGTGAAACACGCCCTCAAAAACACTCTGTATCTCGGCTATTTCTGTTTTAATTTGATTGTTCTTTATTTTATTAGGTAGAAGAATAGTTACTTCATCGTTTGATATACTTTTCGATCCTCTAGAAGCCCTAAAAATGCCCTAAAATCTACTTTGAAAGTCGACCTTTTTTGCAATTCATTGAAACACGCCCTCAAAAACGCCCTGTATCTCGGCTGTTTCTGGTTCAATTTGATTGTTCTTTATGTTATTTGGTAGCGAAAGAGTTGATTCATCGTTTGGTATCATTCCCGGTACCCTGAAGGGTCTAGAAATGCCTTAAAAACACCCCTAAATGTTGGCATTTTTTGCGCATTTTTCTATTGAAATCAGAAAATTTCCGGCGAAATTCTTAAAATTGATTTGAAATTATTAATTTCGTGCGAAGATCGCAATAAAATTTTTAACCTCCTCGCACTTCTGGGTTCCTGGTACCAAAAATCAATTTTTCCCGTAGTTTCGAGGCAAAATTGTACGAATTGAAAGAGAGAGACAGAGAGAAAATCAGAGAGAGAGAAATTAGATTTCAAATTCAGTCGAAAATCCCGCGAAAGTTTACAGAGAGAGAGGGTGATATAAAGTCAGAGAAAGAAAGGTATAGTCAAAAATCCCGCGAAAAATTTCAGCCTCCTCGACTTTCTGGGATCCGGATAACACAACTCGATTTTACCATTGGTTTCGACCCGAAATTGTGCACATGAAATTTTGATTTTTTTATAATTTGATTGCAGATTCTTTAAGAGGATTAAATTGCGCATCATATATTCTAATAACATTTTCCTGTACCTTTTTTAATTAAAGAGTTTTTCACGTTTCAAGAGATATATTATTTTAATACATTCAAGCATCAAAAATCTAAAGTCATTTTTTTCCAAGCCCTTTTTGTGCAAAAGTTATAAGCATTTAAAAATCAATTTTAATTTTGAGCGAAAAAAAAATTTAACCAGAAAGTGCGTCCCTGTTCTTCGACTGAAAATATTTTAACACAAAAAGTTCGACCCTTTTGTTCAGGCGAAAATTATTTCAACAAAAATCGGAAAAATATAGTAAAAATTGGTCACTTTCCGTGGGCATTTTAGGGCACTTCCCAAAGGTTTAGGGAGTGGGTTGGGTACTCGTTTTGTAGAGAAACTCTTCAACTCTTCTTTGACGTAGCAAAATCCCAAATTGCATTATTATTAGAGGAGATACGGGGTGTTTTCCACTGCAACTTTTAGAAAGTTTCAAAAAATTGCAACTTTTGAAGGGAGTTTTAGGGCACTTTCCAGGGGTTTAGGGGATGAATTAGGCACTCATTTTGTAGAGGCACTCTTCATCTATAAATTGACCAAGCAAAAGCCCAAATTGCATCATTTTTACAGGAGATACAGAGTGTTTTCCACGACAACTTTTAAGAAAATTTATAAAATAGCAACTTTTGAAAGCATTTTTAGGACACTTCCCTGGGGTTGAGGGGGTAGGTTATATACTCATTTTGTAGAGGCACTCTTCATCTATAAATTAAAGTAGCAAAATCCCAAATTGTACCATTTTTACAGGAGATACGGGGTGTTTTCCACAACAACTTTTTAGAAGTTTAAAAAAATAGCAACTTTTGAAGGGCATTTTAGGGCACTTCCAAAGGGTTTAAAGTAAAAATATCATGCTTATTTTGTAGCTGACATCTTCAGCTTTCATTTGAAAATAAGAACCTTAAAATTACTTCACTTTTACAAGACATACAGCGTGTTTCCCGAACCACCTCAAAACATAACAAAACAAAAGGGATTTTAATATATTTTATTGAAATATTTATGTACATTTTGTAATAATATTATAAAAAGAGTTACAATTAATAAAATAGTAATTTGATTTGTTTATATTCATAGAATTATGACTTTATATATTATAATCATCCTCATACGCATATTATTCCATTAAAAATCAATATATTAAAAATATAAATAAAATAAATGGCAATAATATATTAGTTCAAATTTGTGTTAATTACCTCCATCATAACAACATCTCCATCATCTAATTAAATTATCCTCAAATACTCAAAACTCATAAAATAAAAATTAAAAAAATACAATTATTCATTAATAAATGAGCAAACACATTGTATATAATATTAATATTAATATTAATATAAATAACTATTAACTGTTAGCACCTTGAAAGATTCAAAACCTTCGTTTACAAGTATTATGTACAGATCCCGATTAATTTAAACATTTAAAACATCCAGCAACCGATAAATTTCTGTGTATTAATTTCTAAGCGTAGTAAAACTCTATTATTCTAATAAAAACAATTCAATAGGGATGTACACTGGCAATGCCAACCCTACCATTATTCGACACAGTCGAATTCGTCCTGTGCAGGATATCAAATCGTGTCCTACCGTTATTCGCAGGATACTTCCGGTTATCCTGATGGATACTAGGCTCTGCATAACTATTCCTATAGCGTTGGTTTGGCGTGAATTTCCTTTTCACGCATGAGAACGTCTCGGGATTCACGTATTTCACGCATGTCACGGACTCCTTCACGTCCATCACGGAAATCAGGACGATCGGATGTGTCTCGTGGATTGTTATCCCAATTTTGATATTTTTCACGTTCTTTGAATTCCTTTGTGTTTTTCATTCTTGGGGCGTGTACTGGAGGATCATCAAAACCATCGTCTTCAGGTTGATAACTTTGATCCATGTAGGATCTTCGTTTGTATTCTTTATTCAATGTTCTTGTGTCTCTATTGTCTCGGTTGTCCCGGTTGTCTCGATTGTTTCTGTCGTCGGAATATCTTTCAGGGTAGTAATTGTTATCCCTGTCGTTGGGTGATGTTGATGTGGATAAATTAAACATGGATCTTCTTTTAACGTCGTATTTGTCTACTTTTTGTTGGCTGGATCTGTATCGTTCGAGGGGGCTTGGGGCTTCCCCGGGAGTTGTTGGTCCTGCGTTCTGGGTTACGTTCATCTTGGGAGGATTTGAAGTTTCTGGGTGCTGGTATAGGTTCATCGTCATAATATCTTGAGTTTCTAAAAAATTTAAAAAAAGTTGAACAAAATAATTTTTGGGGAGTTTTGGTAGGGATTCAAGGGTAGTTAGAAAGGAGTTAGATAATGGAAAAGAATTGTATATGATAGAAGAACTCTTTAACTAAAAAATGACAAAGAGAATATTAAAATTATAGTATTTTTACAGGAGATACGGAGTGTTTCTCGCGAAAACTTTTTGAAAATTTCAAAAAATATCAATTTTTAAAAGAAATTTTAGCGCACTTCCCAAGGGTTTAGAAGTTAGATAAAAATTGCATTATATAGAAAGACTCTTTAACTATTAAATGATGAGAAGAAACTTAAAATAACATTAATTTTACAAAAGATACTGAGTGTTTTCCAAACTAATTTTTAAAAAATTCAAAAATCACTCTTTTCTAACAAAAATCCGAACAAATAAAACAAATAATAAATAAAAACAAAAAACACTTACCTTTTATCCTTAGAAATATTAGGAGAAATAGGCATTTCCCTAGTAAAAAAGTCCTGAGAGTTCCCACTAGTCTTCTTCTCAAGTAACAAAAACTTCTCCTTGGCGTCATTAAACCTCTCCCTTGGAGAAAAATGTAGCACACTAAAATTATCCTGGAATGTCTCCTCTTCATCCGGACTTGATACTTCCCTGCGCCTATCCTGCCTCTCCTGTCTATCCTGCCTATCCTTATGATCTTTATGTTTATCAGATCTTTCCGGATAACGTTCAATATGTCTATCATTATGATACCGATCAACTATCTCACGTGAATTCCTCCCTTCACGTGAATTATTCTTCATATTGAAATTATCGGAACGGCCTTGTTGACTCTTCAACGTATCCTCAACATCATAATATCTATCAGGATAATCTCTATCTCTATTATCTCTATTATACTCCCGTCCATTTCGGTCGTAATCACCATAATCCTGTTTGTAATCCTTGTATTCAGGACTCTTGGACATATTACGCTCGTTCCTGTACTGATTGCGATTCAACGATGACGAATCCTCTTTGTAATTGAAAGATTCCTGCCCGTGGTATTTATTCCTCTGCTCGAGTTTCTTCCGGATGTGCTCCTCGAGATGTTGCCGAGTGACTTTCTGATCGAATTGACGGGGTTTCCTTTGTTCGGCACGATAATCATATTTGGGTACTGGTGATGGATACGTTGGTTGATCGATGAGGTATAGGCCTGTATCCTGATCAGCATTCCAATCTTCGTCTGAAAAATATTTTTTTTAATTTAAATTTAATTTTACTAATTTAATTTGTTTTTGAAATTGTTTTTTAAATTATTTCCGCTATTTGGTAAGCGTATGTGTTTTGCATGTTGTGGTGTCGATTGCAAGGCGTGAACGCACTTGTCTCTTCCGCATTCCGGGCGTGTGACGGCAGCTGAGAAAATCGCATCGCAATCTTTAACTCATCAACAAGCTGCGCGTAACAGCGCAGAATCCAGTTATTTATTAATTTTATTAAGTTTTATGCGAAAGTTTATATTTATTCATTGCATATTTAAGCAGAATTTTAACCGCACATAATCTATAATATAGGTAATGAAATCTGTGTAAAATGAAATTTTTTAATGAAATTTGTCATTAAATTGTTTATAGGATATACATTAATAGTGAAATGCAGATTAGGAAAGACTGGTAAATTCTCTATCAGATAAAATAATAAAATAATTATATTTCTTACAGTAAAAGTGGTATTTATCAATTTTTGCCAATTTTTCAATCGCGAATATCTCGCAAACTAAAGATAATTAAGATCTGATCACAGTGTCTTAATCTACGGACTGTACTATAAGATAGGATAGTTAAAACGAAATCTGAGAGATAAAATTTTTCAGTTTTATTAGAAAAAATTGCCAGGGGTGCTTCATACTTATTTTCAACGATTTTCAATAATTCATATATCTCTTAAACTAAAACTGTTAGCAACCAACGAATTGCTGATTTTTTGATAGATTGGAAAATTCTTTATCAGATAAAATATAAAAATAATATTACTTCTTACAGTAAAAGGTCGAAAACGCGACCAAAAAGGGTGCTAAAAGTGACATTTACAAATTTTACCCATTTTTCAATCCTTGAATATCTCGTAAACTACAAAGATAATTATAAGATCTGATCGCAAGTCTTAATCTACGGGACTATTCTCTATAAGATAGAGGATAGTTAAAACGAAATCTGAGAGATAGAAATTTTCGTTCTTAAGAAAAAAATGTAAAGAGGTGGGTGCTTGATACTTTTTTCGACGATTTTCAATAATTCCTTTTATCTCTTAAACTAAAAGCGATACCTTCAATTAGTGATTATGATAGATAGGAAAATTCTCTGCACCAGATAAAAATATAAAATAATAGTATTTCTTACGGTAAAAGGTCGAAAAACGCGACTAAAGTGCTAAAGAAGTGACATTTATCAATTTTTGCCCATTTTTTTCATCCGCAAATATCTCGTAAACTAAAAGAGATAATTAAGATCTGATCATGTAGCGTCTTAATCTACGGACTATTTTCTATGAATGGGATAGTTAAAACCCCAATCTAAGGATGAGGAATTTTTCATTCTTAAGAAAAATTGTCAGGGGGGTGCTTGGGGCTTTTTGACGATTTCAATAATTCATATCTGTAAAGCTAAACATGATAAAACTCAACGAATTAGTGATTATGATAGATTGGAAAATTCTCCATCAGAAAAAATATAAAATAATATTACTTCTTACGGTAAAGGTCGAAAACGCGACTAAAGTGCTAAAAGTGGTATTTATCGAGATTTTTGCCCATTTTTTCAATCGCGAATATCTCGTAAACTAAAGAGATAGTGAATCTGATCGCGGCGTCTTAATCTACGGTTTATTTTTCTACATAAGATATGATAGTTAAAACGGAAATCTGAGGGAGATGAAATTTTCATTCTTAAGAAAAAATTGTCAAAGGGGGTGCTTGATACTTTTTCGACGATTTTCAATAATTCATATCTCGCAAACTAAAAGCGATAGCACGCCAACGAATTGTTGATTATGATAGATTGGAAAAATTCTCTACCAGCAGATAAAATATAAAATAATAGTATTTCAACACAGTAAAAGGTCGAAAAACGCGACTAAAAGTGCTAAAGTGACATTTATCAATTTTTATGCCGAATTTTTTTCAATCGCAAATATCTCGTAAACTAAAAGAGATAATTAAGATCTGATCCTTGGCGTCTTGATCTTACGGACAATTTTTCTATAAGATAGAATAGTTAAAACGGAAATTTGCTTAATACTTTTTCTGCGACGATTTTTGTAATTATATCTCTTAAAGTAAAGCGTTAGCAACCAACAAATTGCTGATTATGAAAGAACGGAAAATTCTCTATCGATAAAATGTAAAATAATTGCTGTTTCAATGAGTAAAGGTCGAAGAAAGAAACACACACATTTAAGTGATAAAAAGGGTGCAATTTTCAATTTTTGCCATTTTCTTTCAAAATTTACTAAATATCTAGAACTAAACTAAATTTGTAATCAATATTCAGAAACTATAAATTTGAAACTGACGAAACTTTTAACGCTACTATAACCTATAATATAACAAAACTACTGTTGAATTTTATTTTATGGTGCCTCGACTTGTTTATCGGTGTGTGTCCTACTGCCGGAGGTTTTCCTGTGTGTGCGCGTCAAGTTAACTTTAAGTTGGTTAAAGAGTTAAGGGTAAGAAAAACTATGTTTTTGCATCAAAAATCAATTAATTAAGCGTTTTTATCCATTCCTAACCTTAAATTATGTTATAGAAGCACTCATCAACTGTGTGAGAGGGCGCTGCTGGCATATTTAGTCCGCAAACCAGCTGAGGACAAAATGGCGCCTATAAAAGGAAAAAATCAACTTTTTCTTAATTTTTGGCCGTTTTTAGCCAATATTTCAATGTTTTTCTCTAAATTATACTCTCTGGCTGTTTATTGTTATAGGTTATAATATATTTAACAACTTTTGTTAATTATTTATTTAAAAAAAAACATAAATAAACCCTGTTTCTGCATTAAAAACCAATAAATTCAGTGTTTTTAACTATTTTTAATCTTAAATTAAGTTATAGAAGTACTAGTCAACTGTGTGTGAGGGCGCTGCGTGTATATCTCATCCGCAAACCAGCTGACATCAAAATGGCGCCCAAAAAACAACAAAAATCACAATATTTCTTAATACTTTTGATTTTTTAAATGTTTTTTCACTGATTACGACTCTACACATTCCAATAACTCATAATATATTAAAATTTAATTATTGATCTCAATATTTATCCGTTTATCCATCAATTTTTCTTTATTTTAATTTTTTCTTTAATTTTTATAATTACGAATTACATTTTCGAAAAGCCTCGCAACGAAACAAGTGGATTTCAGTGGAAGTAGTCGAACAAGTGGAGATTTTACACACTTGCCACACACAAAAATTCCAACTTGCTGTGTTATACATGTGTGTGTATGTATGTGTGTGGCTGAGTTATTCGCGACCGACTTACACCGAGCGCGACCTCAATCTCGCGCCTCTTTCTCATCGCCGCTGCGCGTCTTCGGAAGAAGGGAACTTTTGCGCGCGCGAGCGCAGGCGCAGGCGCAGAACGTATTATAACACGTATGATATACGATCGGTGATGATACATGATAGCTGTGCGCGTGATGCACACGCAAATGTCAAGAAATGGAAAACGTGCAAAGCGTGCAGAAAATAAATGAATTAGATTATCATGATATTAATATACACATGAGTAATACTTGTACGTGTAAGTTAGAAGTAATGAGAAAATCGTCGTTATGACTTAATGAGAGCAGAATGCAGTGTGAAATGAGGAAAAGGTATGATGAATTGTGTTTATAACCTGATTTATAAGAATTCAAACCTCAAATGGGTTTAGAAATTAGGGTTTTGCTTGAATAAAAACAATATGGCATAGGGTAGAAGGATAATTCTTTCAAAAATGTATTTAATGTTGTGTTTTTCATTATGTTTATTAAAAATTTTGTTTAATATCTTTTTAAAGCAATGGTTATTTGGGTTTTAAATTTGAAAACTGGGAAATTATTAAGAAAATTGATACTGAATTGTGTATAACAGATAAAATATTATAGTTATTAGTTAAATTATGATATAATTAAATTCTTGATTAATTTATGAACTGATTTATGTTTATTTTATTACATTTGATCAAATTTTGACAGAGTTATATCATAAAAACCAAAAATTTACTGAAATAGATACTAAAAGAGATTTATTTATGGATTTTTTTTACTAAACTACAAATAATTCTAGAGTTAAATAAGGTATGCAATTAATTCCTTCATAAATCTATTTTGTATTAAATTTTTCATCATACTGAACATTAATATTGTTTAATAAATTATTGAAACAAAAGTTATTAACATTTAAAGTTAAAAAACGCAAAAAATTTTTAAGAAAATATGAATAAAATTGTTAATAACTAATAAAATAAACATTTTATTATTAATATCAATATATTACTAGAAGGCTGACTAAATTATGATTCATCTTGTGATTATTTGAATAAATTTGATCAAATTTTGACTAAGTTATTTTAGAAAAACCAAAACTTTAAAAAAATATGCAATAAAAGTGACATAATTGTGTTCGAAACCTATTTCTATCTACTCTAACCTCAAAAATTGACTACTCAAATATTAATTAAGGTTTTACTCAGTAAAACTCTCATTGCACATGTAAATAACCCAAAATATTGTAGTATAAATTACAATGTTTGTAATCTATTGCAATACATGTAATATTTAATCTTTAGTTTATTGTTTATTGTCTAATGTCTTAAATGTCTTGCAGGTATTTAGAAGTACGAAGTAATGTTTTCATTTGTCTAAGAAAAAGTGGGCTTGTCGACCAACATGCGCCGTGTTTGCTTCATTTTACTTTTAAATTATCCTCTTGTGTTGTTCAACAATAAAAATTGCGCTTAATTTTGGTCTGATGTGGGCTTGACACTAATATCGCTGGCTTTTACGCAATGTCAACATTACAAATCAACACACAAAAAAAAAAACAAATTGTGTTTGTAAATGCTAAATACATGCGTATAATTAGCCTCAGATGGACTTAAAATGTAAATATCTGTCAAAAACCATTAAAATGGCTGTAAAAGAGTTAAAAATGTAAAAATTTTATTTTTTTGTGTAGAAATTATGTTTTTATGAGTATAATTATCCATAAAAAGTGTTTGTAGTATGCTTAACCTCAAAATAAGTTATATTGCTGTTAGTAAACTGGGTGAGAGGGCGCTGGTGATGTTTGACAGCAAGAAAATAAGCTGAAGTAAAAATGGCGTCATAAAAATCATCAAAAAATGTTGTTTCTTTTAATTTAAAACGTAAAAACAACTAAAACAATTATTTTTGATAGAAAATTTAAAAATATCTGTAAAACAATAAAGTTATTGCATTTGTTTTTGTTAATTAAAACAAATATATAAATATTTTTAATTAAAAACACAAAA